TCTCTGAATTTGTAAGAACTACAGTAACTTGACGTAAACGCGATACAAGAAGATGGAACCTATAGAAGAAGCCTACTGGATTATGTCTGTCATAAAGGCTATGGTTTGCATGCATGGTTCTTACTAATGTACATATCTGCTCATTTATGTCTCTGAATTTGTAAGAACTACAGTAACTTGACGTAAACGAGATATAAGAAGATGAAACCTAGAAGAAGCCTACTGGATTATGTCTGTCATAAAGGCTATGGTTTGCCTGTTTTTCATGCATTAATGTATATTTGCTCATGTTTGTCTCTTAATTTGTTTGAACTAGAGTAACCTTACGTAAACGAGATACAAGAAGATGGAAGCTAGAAGAAGCCTACTGGATTATGTCTGCCATTAAAGGCTATGGTTTGCCTGTTTTTCATGCATTAATGTATATTTGCTCATGTTTGTCTCTTAATTTGTTTGAACTAGAGTAACCTTACGTAAACGAGATACAAGAAGATGGAACCTATAGAAGAAGCCTACTGGATTATATCTGCCATTAAAGGCTATGGTTTGCTTGGTTCTTATTAATGTATTTGCTAATTTTTGCCTCTTAACTTGTAAAAACTACATTAACTTGACGTAAACGATCGAGATACAAGAAAATATAGAACTTATAGAAGCCTACTGGGTTATGTCTGCCATTCAAGGCTATATATGGTTTGCATGGTTCTTGTTAATGTATATTTGCTCATTTTTGTCTCTTAATTTGTATAAACTACAGTAACTTACGTACGGTAGGTAACTGGTAACATGCATGGTCAATATATATAAGGCAATATATTTCATGTGTATAATATCTGCTAATTACATTGTGTGTTACAAAGCGCGTGTATTTTTTACAATATATAGCTAGGTATGGAATTCAATTTAATTTATAACAAATATACTCAGTATAGTTTGGCAAGATATTTGTATATTTACATCGTTTCACAATTATTTATTAATAATTTTACAACCGGAGTTACCGAAAACTAAATGCGGGGATTATGCCTGTTATTAGTTCAGTGGCCATGATTAATGACAATTTTACAGTCTACGACTATAAATTATATTCCGAAAGCCGCAAAACACCGGACAAGATTATTTCAATCAAGACAAGAGAGAATGAGAGACAGAACCAAGAAACAACCTGGGATAATGTTCAAGATTTGCCATAGGAGGCTATATTGTTTTGTATGTACCCGTGTGTATGCACCGAAATAGTGTATGTAGCGTTCCGAGAGATGGAACCAAGGAAGGACCTATGGGATCATGTTTGCCATTCGAGGCTGTGACTTATGTTCGTGTTCATGGCTTTTTAGCCATTTATTTTTCATATAAGCTTAGTTAAAACAATTTATTTTAAAAATTTATTTTATCAAGCAAGCCTAAGCGCGAAGCCGGATGCTATAACCGAATTGCTTAAAACTTATTTACTAACATGCAAATTCATGACACGTGCACCATGCATTAGCTATGTTCCTGGTGGCCAGAGCATACAGTTAACTGATATTTTTCCGTGTGAAATCACATCCTACCCTGCATGCACATTTTTTGACCACCAGGCTACTCTAACCTGAAACGATGTCGGGGAACATCGCCGTTACGCCGCCGTTTAGATCTACCAACTTTTAACGTCGTTTTGGCGTCGTTTTCGCTCGTCGGTTAGGCTATGGCTGAATGGAGTTGTGATTTATAACACATTTGCGGATCAACCTGAAATAGGATTTAAGAAAGATAAGCGTAATCTAATCAAAATGCAACGATATTAATATATGCTTTCCTTTATAGGAAAATAGTCAAACGCAGGTAAAAAATTTGAATTGAGAATTTTGCGTAAAAAATTTGAATTGAGAATTTTGCGTAAAAAATCTGGTTGCGTTGATGAATGAAGGCACGCAGAGTCTCAAAATTCCTGTTAATTATGCATGCCTGATTCGATTATTTTTTGCCTTTATATTATAGCCGTCGTCATTCCCGTCCTAAATCTAGGCCTGGTTCACACTTGTCCTAAGAATCTGGGATCCCCTTTGTCGGAGGTCGCTGGTGCGCAAACTGCTTTGTCTATCAGAAATTAATACAATGGATCCCCGATTCTTAGGAGCTAGTGTGGAACCAGGCCTTAAGCTCCCCATTGTTCGCTTTATCTGTTAAAAATTCAATTGTTTAATTTAATACTTACATTTCACCATGAACAGGTTTATCCGTCATCATCGTTTGACTCGCTAAAATGGCTTTAACTCGCTAAATCTTCACCTGAAATAAAGGAAAAAGGTGATGCTTATTAAGCACGGATTTTCAAACAGTTTCCTTCAATTTTACAAACTTAAATCGGTATTTAAAAGAGATTTTTCGTTTAAATAATTGCATTCGGCAGATGAAAGAGCGCAAGAGGCAAGTATATATAGCCCCGATCAAGCGTTTAAACTTTCCTATCTTCTAGCATGCATATGAATAAATAAGGACAGTTAAATTAGACAATTTACCTGTTCATCTCAGCAGCAAGTGTAGAAGAGCAGCTTTAGACTTGCTGTCTTCTCGGTTTTGTGCAAACGCGAGTCATCTCGGGCAGTTTCATGTAGTGTGTGGTAGGTAATTTACGGTGGTTAATTTCTTGCCCGCTACATTTCCTCTTTTATAGTTTGGCTTTAGCCTTAAACCCGACCTGAAAAGAAAAAGCAACGTTAATTTCCTGCTATAGCATAAAAGAACAAAATGCAGCGATATTATATATTTGCTTGAAATTTAAGTGAATGTTAGCGGATATGATGCACGTGCATTGTGCGACATCCAAACTCCTTTAATCTTATACGATTAGGGATATATTACCTTTTTCATTTCACTGAGTTCGTTCCGAGAAGAACCTAGACATGCTCTCTCTCTTTAAAGGCGAGTTATCTTGAACCAATTCAGCCACAGTTCATTGGTCAATTATCCATTGGTATAGTGAATTTAGCCTGGCTTTATAACTGAGTTGTCAGAATTCTGCGTGGAAAGAATAAAAAGCCACGTTAGTGTGATAAAAAAATTTTCAAAGCGGAGCATTACCACGAGGTAAAATTGGATCACGTGTGTGAAAGTCTGCCCCTCATAATATAAACAAGCAGAAATCCGTATAAAGCAAAAGCAAATTACCTGTTCTTGGACAAACGACAGGGCGGCAGAGATATTGAACTTCTCTTCTGTAAAGGGGCAAAAGGCATTGATAGCAATTTCAGTCGAAATTTTCACGTCTAAGAGTAACAAGGTATTTAATGTTGATGCTTCGAAGGCCAGTGCCCAAATGATGGCAATGATTAATTTTAAACACTTTCTATGTCTTTCTGTCAACTCAGAAAATGAAGCCATGCTATTGGGTAAACACACCCGGCCTGACAGTTTAACTATGCTTCTGATTGGATAATCTTATCATTTAAAATAATATGATAATTCTTATGCATAGTACGGGCCGGGAAAGATTGACATTACAGTGTTCCGAAAAAATTTACCCTCGAAAAAAGCCGATCTTTTGTTGTGATTCACCTCTGAGATAGAGAATTTGAATTGTTGTTTAATTGATTTAATGTAATCAGTATAAGGCCTAGGTTATACGTCGCATTTTGGTGGCATCGTGTGCAATTCAAACAATAGATAATGAGATGATCAACTCCATTCGGCTTCATTACCACTTCATTATCTATTATCCAAAATGCGACGTATAAAGTTCCGCTTATTTAATATGAGAATAAAAGCTATTGACCGTGTCCTTCAACATGTGTCTTACAGCATTAAAGACAAAAGAAAGCAAATTAAGGAGCACTGAGGATAATCTCTATGAAAGGTAATTGTACTGTATATTTGCTGTCAGGAATTTCACATGCAATGTACGCATTTATTTATCGGTCTGAACGATGATCTGTCTGAAGGCTAGTTTACACTCAGGAAAATTCTCTTTTAGATCGGACAGGACAGGAAAGTTTCCTTTGTATAAACGCCGCCTGAGAGCTCACCGAAAAAAGGAAATTTTCCTTTCCGTTCCGATCTAAAGAAGATTTTTCCTGAGTGGAAACTAGCCTTGACAGATCACTTGTCTGAGTATAAACAGAGGAAAAACTATATATTAACTATCTAGACGAACTATGTAGACGAATATGCCAAACGATTTTTTTCCATACAGCGAAACGTATTTACTCTTGTGTGGTCCAGATTTCCTAGAGGATTTGAACTTTTCTCGCGGATTTGGACCCCACGAGATTATAAAAATATAATTGTATCATATGGGTTTTTTTTAAATATACATGCTGTCAGGGCAGGGCAATTCGTTTATCAGAATCCACAAAGGTTATGTCCTATGACCACCATAATCTATTTGCAACATGGTTGTATACTTGATACTATTCATACGTTGCGACCGCGAAAACTCATGATTTAAATGGTTTGATGGTCTTACTTATATTTTTGAAACAATACACATATAATTGCATACTACGGCGTGCGCGCCTGTTAGCGGGCTACTGTGCGATTACATGCAGAATTCCAACGTCGTTGGTTAACTTATATATCGCAGTTATATATACTCTACAAAAGAGAAATAATTCAGGCAGTAAGACCAATGAAAAAAAGACTCAATTCTCTAGCTTTTATGCGAGATACGGGGAAAAAACTGTCGCCGCCATTACTATAAAAATGATATCATGATTTTAGCAACAAGATGAGGAAGGACGTCATTCTACAGTAAATATACACGTGTTCATAGTCACTGTCAATTCTCGGTGTGTGCCAATTCAAATAAGTAGTTATTTAGTGGAATAAAATTAAATGACTGTGGTAATGTATATGACAAGACACTCCTTTTAGGCGGTTACATAATGAAATTTATTATCTTCAGTGAAGTTACAACTACTGAAGTATACCATCTCTAGTATATATATATATATATATATATATATAATTATATATATATATATATATATATATATTAATATATATATATATATAGACGGACAGACTAGTTTTGCCTTTTGTTATAAACATTTCACTACATAAACTACAAGGGTTTTTTTAAAACATCTATAATATGTTGTTCCAAACGTTATATTAGTTATCAGTCACGTTGAAAGCCATTTCTTCAACACTGGTTAGAAATTCTGCAATAACAAGTGCCTCGCCGTGTTTATTTTCCAATGCAACTTGTTTTGCAATCCTTTGGGTAGCCTCGCTGTAGACCTTTTCAATCACAAACTTTGACATATTTTGTGCCGCACCATCCATTTCAATTTCCCATCGTTTTAGTAAATCATCCAGTTCCTTTGAAACTTTGAATTTTTTAATTTCAACTTCAGGTTCGAAAATGGAGCCATCTATAATGGGAAAAATAGAATCGCAAATTTAAAAAAGACAATTTTTTTCTAAAATTTACTAGAATTGACAAGCTTATAAAAGCGCATTTGGAACTGAATCCTAACAATGAATTATTCAATAGTTCTGGGAAAACATTTAAATTTCCTCGAACTCTGCGGGAGCTCTCGCGAGTGTTGAATTCTATGGCGTCATATAAATTGTCTGAAGTTTAAATCTTTATATGACCATGCAGTTTTGAGTAGAATTCCCGTCTTTATAGTCTTTATATCCTTAAAATCATACGAGAAATAATATTTTTATACATCATGTATATAATGATATTTTTATACATCATATATAACCCTTTTTACAGTCATTTGACTTTTGTTTGAAACTAACAGCCTGTCAGCCTCGCGATCGAATTTTGAATAGCTAGTCTATATGATATAAATTAAACAGTATATGGCTCACTGGACTAGATATCTTTACGACTTATTTTCCAAGCATATTTTTTCACAGTACTTTAAATAGTTGTGTGGGGAAGGATAAAATTGATAAACTGGACTTACCGCCTGAATTGCTTATTATCTGTAAAATGTCTAGTCGACGTTGAAATTCTCTGATTGCCGACAATATTTGACTTGAATCAGGATCGTCGAAATTTATCAGAAAATCATACGGCAATTGTAAATCATTCATGCTGATATTACTGGATTGCTCAAGCTTTATTAGATAATCTACAATGGTACAATCCATATTCCTGGCTGGAATGTAGCCGTAGGTAAAGAATTTGAAATCTTCTTCTCTTTTATTCTTTTTGAGGAAAGCCAAAACCTTATAAAGAATTTTTCGGTAACTTCGATAAGGCGTTTCTAATTTCTTTCTCTTTAAAAGCGAAGCCATCGTTGTCATCAACGCCAAAATCGAATGGCGGCGATTTGCAGTCGCAGAGGTATAACATGATTAACATCACCCCATCGTCATCATCCCTCGGTCACATGTTAAATCTTCCTCCCACTATTGGGTATATATACTGATCACGTGTTACATTACATATTCGTCTTTATATAACACCATTCTGATTGGCCAATTCTGTCACATAACATGTATATAGTTCAAGCTACCTTTTTATATCTGACCCGTGGAGGCTGATGAATACACGATTACGTTGTAATTACAGACAGTCGTTATTACGTTGTAATTACGAAGTCATACGCTCATATTCATCATCGTGAGAAAGGCTAATACAACAATTCCCGTTCCGATTTGCATGAAATTTTGAAATTCATCAAAGTATGATATTATCTGTTCAAATGCATTGTTTTCATCAAGGCATGTAATTTTACTTAGTTTTGACCAATTTCGAGGTATTTTAAACCGAATTTGAAAATTTCGAAACACTGAGGAAAATCACAATTTTTCCTTTGGTCCTTCGTCACCGATATGCCTGAAATTTTGAAATTCATCAAAGTATGATTTTATGTGTTCAAATTCATCGTTTTCATGAAGGAATTTAATTCTACTTAGTTTTGAACTATTTCGAGGTATTTTGACGAAACTGACGAAAATTGCGATTTTTCCTTTAGTCCCCCTTTCCGATTTGCATGAAAATTTGAAATTTATCAAACTATAATATTATGTGTTCAAATGCATTTTTGCATGAACAAATGTAATTCTACTCACTTTTGAACTGTTTTGAGGTATTTTGAACCAAATTTGGAAATTTCGACGAAAATTGCGATTTTTCCTTTGGTCCCGCGTTACCGATTTGCATGAAATTTTGAAATTCATCAAAGTATGATATTATGTGTTCAAAAACGTTGTTTTCATTAAGGAATTTAATTCTACTCAGTTTTGAACCATTTCGAGGTATTTTGAACCGAATTTCGAAATTTCGAAAAACTGACGAAAATTGCGATTGTTCCTTTGATCAGAATAACCGGAATTGGGTCCAAAAACCGCTGACTACTATTTCAGGCTCTGCAAAAAACATCAAACCTCGTTTTGATAATGATGGTTCCACAAAGAACTCAGCAAATTTTATTCACTAAAGCTATAGCAATCATTAAATATTCACTGACAAGAAAACTATGCAAATTTTACTGATATAACTTCAGGTTGTCATGCTAATCTTTCTTTCCATGCTGGACTAAATAGTTATTTACATAATTACATTGTTTCTCCAAAAATATCTTTCCTTGTATACGTGCTATGAATAATACTTTTGGGTAGGCTAACTGTAAACATATATACAGCTAGGCTACCCAAAGGAATCATAACATAGCAGAAAGTAGCATTGGTGATACTGAAAACAAGCAACCTACTGTATGATTGATCTAAAATATGAAAAGTACATGATTCATTAATTAACCTACAGGAAAAAAGTGCAACATTTCATTCTGGATGATAAGGAGGAGTTTGGTTCATGAGAAAACAACATACCTCTTTCACATGTAAAAAATGAACAGTATGAGAAAACATATTTTGAAAGATTTTTTAAGCAGATAAATTTATCTCCATTTACCTCTTTTTAGGCTTTTAATATGGAAAGACATTTTTCAATATACTGCAAAAATGAAATACATCCATAAAGTGAAATGAATGCAGCCAATACATAGTTTTTCAATTTGTTCACACTTCTAATTACTACCGATCCAGTTTTCACAGCTTACAATACTCTATGAAAATGTAAATCACATTTCATAAACAGAAATCTATCATTGTATTGAGATTATTGTCAATTTACACATTTCTGTTTCTGTACTCATTTGTTTTTCAGTATTAACATTTACAGTATAGGAAGGCAAAAAAAATGTGTACAATATCCATGTAGACAGTAGGTAGCCAACTTCTGCTAGAGCATATGCAATTTTAATTTAGGATGTTAAACATTGATAGAGCATGCTTATTTTTGGGCTGCCTATGTTCAAGGTTACTAGATTGCTAGTATAAAATCACCAAAAATATTTAACAAAATACCAAATGACTGGCGGATGACTTTTTCTTTAGAATTAAGATAAGGTTAGAATTCAGATTGGGGTTTCTTGGCTATTTATTCAATAAGGAGAAAAAACTAGATGACCACCTGGCAGCTATGTAGCCACATCCACTAACATTTGATTAGATTGTATTATGGCCTTCATAAGTACTGCTTTTCATGACTAAAGTCACATAATCAAAAACATTTAAATCATATCTAAACATGCCAGTGATGCCACCACATAAAGCCGTATTTACCTATAAAGTCTATAAATGTCCAAAAATATGTCTGGCTGGTTGAGGTCTTGAGGTTTATAGTGAAAAAATATTTAGCATACATATCTGTAAAATTCTACTGCTTACCGTATTTCCTACTTGAACAACTAAGTTTCAACAACTGGTAATTTCTTTTTCTTACATACATAGCCTGATAGTGATAGCCACAGTGAACTCAATAGCCACCATAGCAATATCATAAAGAAGTAAAGAACCACTGAAATGACTGAATGCAAGCCCGCAATTCTCCAGGAAGGAAGAGATATTACTACTGAAATACTTCATCTTAGCCCAGCCTTAGCCTCATACTGATTTACATTTTAGATTCACAAAAAACTTCCAAATTTAACGAGTACATCTTTGGCTTGACATTACCTACATACTGTCATGTGTTCAAATATTCTGTATAAGCCCATGTCCATGGATTAATTGACTTACCGAATGTATTCGATTAAACATTAAAAGGCCATTCTTTTTGGAAGCATAGCGCTGACAAATCATGCACTGCGACGTACTAGTCATGAAACAGCATGAATTAAAAAGCTATCTTTATTGATTTAAAAAACAAACTGGAAGTGAAAGCTAAGTAACTAAATATAATTCATTAATGGATGAGAGTTTTTCATGCGTGCTTAGTCTATGCCATCTCCGGCAATCTATTCTTTAAATCTTGATCAGTATTTAACGTGTAGTGGTTAACAACAATATTCATAGGTATAATCAATCTAATTCTTTAGCCACACTATATTAGATTGCATAGTTGGTATACTTTCTGGAATTCGGGAATATATAAAGCCATGGTTCACTACCTTTCATGAGGCGTATTCCATTCAAGAATTACAAACGGTTTTACCAGACAAAAAAGACGTAATTATAATCCGTTCATGTAAGTCATGCAATCATCATGTCGAATAATGTACCTATTTAAACGATTGAAAATTCAGAAAAAAACGCTCAGAAATGTCAAGTATATTTTTAAATTGTACTCTCAAAATGAAATTGAGATGTTCAAATATAGCGGTAATAAAACGGATATATGTTACCCCAATTGTTACCCCTCCTTTAACTTGGACTTTGCATGAGAAACGATCATTGAGCGAAGCAATGAAAAATAATATAGTGTGACTCAACTATATTACCTGCCGGTTGCAGGCTTCTGAAGTCCTCTAACTAAACCGTTCAATTATCCGCGAAATACAGGGTATATGAAAAATTCTACAAACGTTTTGGAATGTAAATATTTCCATGGTTGAATAATTTAGCAGTACCTAATCGCACGCGTGCGTGAATCAGTAAAAATAAAATTAATGCTTGGTCTTAGCCCCTAAACTAAAAGACTGATTCTTATTGCTCGGCGACCTTTCTTGTCTGTGGTCATGAATGCATAACATGCATGCCTGTCAAAAAAATTTTACTACACCGGGCACCGACAATTGGTCACAGAGCGACTGTCTGCGAGTGATAAAAACAAGGCTTAAATTGCACTTTGTTGTGTGGTTATTCTAATGACCAGGACGATTATGTCGAATGTTTAAAACCTGGAAGTATTATTATTAGCTAGTTGTACTGGCATTAGAATGCTGTTTGGGAAGAATTTACTACAAGTATTTCGGAGTATCTAATGCAAAGTGGTGTTTGCAGATTTTTTATACACCCTGTATTAATCCAGTTATAATCATAAAAAGATCGCATAAAAAGTCGATCGTTGAGAACTAAAATGTTACTTTCTTACTTAACGTTCAAAAACTATTCAGAAACAAAAGTTTCCACTGCTTCAAGAAGCCCCTGAGCACTTTCAAAAGCTCTTTCTGACTGGTCTGTACTGAAGGCGTCCGCTGGAACAATAGCTCCTGGTTGCTGGTTTGGGTAGCGAGTGGTCAGATAATAATTACCAACGACAATGGCCAAATCGGTGATTTCAGCAGGTGAATCTCTCAGTTGACATACGTAATTCGCCAAGAAGTATACGTCGTGTGTGTGTAGCTGATCGTTGGTTAAACCACATTTGGCGTACAATGCTCCTTTCAAACTCTTCTCTACTACCTGGTGGCTTAGGAAACACACTAAAGCATCAAATGATTGGGATGAGGAAAGCAAAAGCTGGGCAGCCTCCAGATCACGACGGGCTTGTCTCAACCAACGCCTTGACTCGAATACATCAGGATAAGTGTAGTCAGACACTGAGCGTGGAGATGAGCCACCACGTGGGCATGAGCCACCAAAACTTCCTCGAAAATTTACATACGTCTCTCTTTCCCGTCTAGCTCGGCGACTCCAACCAGTGAATAACGTGGAAAATCCACAACTATGATCAACTCCAGATTCTTCAGCCTCCATTCGTTTGATTTCACTTAGCAGGAATCTGAACATTTCTCCTGCAAATTGAAAATTATCGGGATTCTTGTCGGGATGCCATCGTAGATACAGACGTCGTATGACTTTTCGGCGGAGCATAGCTGGCAAACGCCATGCTTTAAGGATGGCTTCTCGAATTTCTTTTTTCGCCTCATCAAGACTGCTTGGCAAGCAGGTTGGATCGCCTGTGAAAGGGACTAGATCATAGGTCTGGTTTTCTCCGGCATCGTCTTGGACAAACTTGTACAAGTCAACAACACTGACTTTCTTATGTTCATTCCCCAAGTCTATCAAATACTCAGCAGTGAAATCGCACGGGTCGTCCTCTTCATCAACGCGTGAGATCACTTTAGCTAAAACATATTTCATGTCCATGAATCCGTCGTCTTCTATTCCTTCTGCCATTTCATTTGACCCTACCTCTATGCCATAAGCAACAATCTCTCCTGCATGGAAAATAAACAACGGATTCTGTTGAAGAAGATAATGATACACCATAGGTACCTCCACACCAATCTTAAGCTCTTCTTCAGAATAATCCTCTGCTATGTTAAATTGATCTAAGATCCCGGGGATCTGAGATGGTGATTTACACAATAACATGCCGGAAATATATCTCAGAGAGCTTTCATCGAATGCTCGGTATGCGATTCTATCAATGCAGTATGCCAAGTGAATCGCTACAGCTTCTTCAGCTTTATGCTTGATATAAAGCTTCCACGACTTGTTTTCTTCAACAACGTAGCACTGTCGTCCTATAGCACTGTTCACGAGTGGTTCTTTTGTTTTTGTTTCGATAAGGTGCACCTTGATACTATGCATACAAATAATTTCTAACTTATTTGTGCTAAATACAGATAATTGACTTTCCTCATCTTCGGTAAGCTCGGTGGAATTTTTTTTGTGTTTCAATAAGCGGATAATTGCTGAATGGAATTCCGGCGATCTTATGACCAGTATGTAACTTTTAATAAAGTCACAAAGACCATCTTCTTTACATAAGGAACATCTTTTGTTAAGGCAATTTGGATCCAATACTTCATTGAACAAACTTTCCATTAACTTAGGTCGTAAACGTTGAGGTAGTGCATTCAAATATTCATTCTCTTTTTCCCTAGGTAGATCACACTTTTCCAAAGGAAGCAAAACGTTCAGATTTGCACGATTGGCTAAAGCTGATTTATATCTAGGAGCAATTTTGAGGATTAACTCACTGGATTTGACAAGAATTTCCTTTTCGCTTGGTAGAAAGAGTTCTGTTAGGTCACATATCTTCGTTTTGTTGCCACCATGACTCTCAACCAGTAAGCATTGGAAGAGGACTGTCATTGCCGCTCTAGCCTTTTCAAAAAGATTGGGATTCATTTTTGTATTTTGACATTTATCTCTAATAGTTTTCAATACCGTGGCAAATTGCAAGGAGGTGAACTTCTCCGTCGCGCCAAGTCGCTTCATCAAGTGCTCGTAAGTGCAATACCTCCGAGGAACAGTGTACAAAAATGGGATAAATGTTGAATCAAATTGCCTAGTCTCAAAGGACAATCTATCACCAGGGACCATGACCATTCCTTCTTCTACTAGGACACATGGAATGCCACTTAGACGTTTACCAATGCTCTTGCAATCTTGACTGCAACCATCTGAAATGTCTTTGGCGTCACTGCAGTTTAACTCTTTGCTTAAACCTTCATAAATTGATATCATAATCTTCTTTAACAAATTTGACTGTGGCAACACTTCATCTCTTCTGCATATCTCTGCAAGAGAACTTGAAAGATTTTGCAGGTGGCTTACAATACTCTCAACAGATGGTACTTCTTGGACTCCCAAGTAACGTTGCAATTTCTCATCAGGCTGTGCCCAAGGTGGAAGGAGTGCAGCGCTAGTCCACGTTAAAACATGATATTTCCAAGGAACGGCTTCAAAAAATTGGACAAACGGTGGTTCATCATCAATAGTATTGCATTGAAACTGTCTGTGTAATGACAGAAGACTTGATTCTACTTTTTCGGGTGCGATAAAACTAATACTTGACAGGGAACACAGGAATTCCTCACTTCGGAGATGTTCGCTGTTGAAGAGATAATTAACGAGTATCTTTGACTTCTCGATATCAGTTGTTGGATCAAGATACAATGCAACTTCTTGACAAAATTCTAAAAACTGATTTTCTTCTACTTTTGTTTTCATACCAATTTCAGTCAAAAATTCCAGCCACCCATGACTTCGGAATGCAGCTGGTGGAAAATGATCAGAGTTGTCCTCAAGCATAATTTGGAATACTTCGTTACGTGGGTCATGGAATTCCCGGGCATAATGAAGGTCACCTTCCTCATCAGGTATGCACAAACTTCCTGTTAAGAAGTCTACGAACGCTTTCTGCTTAGAGCTGCCGGTTTGGAGTAAAGGGAGAACGTCTTCTTTTATGTGGGTAAGGTATAAGATCTGGCTGTCTCGATTAAAAATTTCAAAACACGGAATTATATATTTGCGATAAAACTCTGGAAAGCTGAGTTCTACTCCAACACCAAGCCATTTGAAAAGCTGATGAAGGATTGCTGCTGAAGTTGTATTGAGGAACAAACATCCGGTGCGAGTCTGAAGTTTTGCCATTTCCGACGTTGGAACACCATGCGGAATCACGGCAGAATGTAAATAGTCCGTTAAGCTGAAATATGTACCATCTATACCTATGTAGATCGGTAAGTGCTTGAGAATAGTGGCGTGTTCTGTTGTCAGATTGTCAATATCATCTTGCACAAAACTTAACACTGCGCTTAATTCCTCGGTGCTCAAGCCTGAGGTGTCTAGACAGCCAGTTCTCCGCACAAAATCAAGTACTTGAAGAACATCTGGGACGTTGTGAGGTTGCGCTACGTGAGAATCGGTGACATGAGAATTGTCATCAGCAGGAGGGACTTCAAGGACGGTACCAAATTGTGGAAGAAATCTTCCAACTTGGGATGCTGAAGTTACCGAAGTCTGAACTTTCGGTTTCTTTACAGTGATATCCGTGTTTAATCTTGGGCAATCAAGTTTTTCCAATATGTCCCGTATACGCTTTCCTTGCGCTGAATCTGTACTACGGCGTGTTGCGTCGAGCACTGTCTTTCCGTTATCGATCGTAACCAATTTATCACTGGTGGTGGGGATGATTGGCCAGACTCCTAGAACAGATAAAGGCATCTCATTGTTGTTTAACTTAGGATTGATATGGTTTTGCAAGAAGTCCCAAACACGCTGGAACCACTTTCTTGATAATGGACCATTCTGCGGGAAGTCCCAGGCAACGTGTTCAGATGTTCCTCTCATATGCACAGGAAACACGCGAGGGAAGTGTTGATTTAACGCGTTCACTGTAAGCAACTGCATTACCCGATTTTCCGGAAGTTTGTCGACATCAGGTACACTGTACACAAGATCGGGATGGACAAATAGATTTTCATCTTCTGGAAAGAGATCGCTGAAAGTAGAACGATAAACAGGTTTACCACTGTCAAAGACTCTCAACTGCCCATCGGCAGTAAGTAAAATTGGAAGTCCTTCCAAGAAATCCGGGAACTTTTCCTCCCTTTGGCAGTACTGAATGAGCACTTTCAGCGCGGCAATTTCTCTGATATTTGACTTCATTAGGTTTATAGGAAGGTTTCCAACATGGCAATTCGAGTTTGCATCGGAAAAACTTCTCATGAAATTGATTACCGTTAATGGTGTCAAGGTATTACAGGTTACTTCCGCAGACGAAAAACGGTAGTATAACATCGTGGGAGAATACAGCAGCAGAGGAAGATTCACTCGAAGCAGAAGCTTGAATAGTCGATCTTCATCCAGCTTCAACTGACCTTTGCCTTCGATGAAATACGCATCCCGTGCTGATAGCCAGAAACGAACCCTATGGATGACATCATTTGACGATTCGTTTTGGGGATTCGGTTGGGGATGTGTCTTCTCTACAGGCTTATCGTCGGCAACAACAACAGGCAAGACCTCAAGATTATTGCTACCCATGTAATGATAAACTTCATGCGCCAAAATATACCAGGGAGAATCTTTTGAGGGAGTAGGAAAAAGTTTGTGGTACCAAAAAAGTCCTTGTTTGGCATCTAAGTTGTTGCTAAACAAGCCCCTACAATTATGTTCCGCCATTCCTTGAGAGAAAGGTATATACCGTCTTGCCTCCAAAATTAAGGTTGCGTACCCGGGAGCAAGAACGCTTGCCTTTATAAAATTGTTCCACTTGGTGAGCGGGCTGTTTTGGTCGGTGTCATGCCAGAGGTCTCTTCGAGAGGAGTCAAGAGCAAAATGTCCGTTGACATGGACTGGCAAACGTGTTTCCACCGGGAGTGGCAGGAAGCAATAGGCAACATATTGTGGTTTGGGTTCTGATGCTGAACGTTGTGGGGTAACGAGTGCGGCGATTCCACCGCGTGGAAAGAGACCGTACTGACGTCCGTCTGGTATAGAGTCTCTTGTCGTTTTGTGCGAAGTTCCACAACACTGGTGAACGATCCAGGTCTCATTGACGTTATTCGAATCCGATGTGGTCAGCGGGTAAGTTATTCCACACCACTCAACATCACCTGTCGGAAGGTGTTTGCTTCTTTTAATAATATCGGACAACTTGCGGCGCTTTTCCTCATTTTCTACTTCTAATTTAGAAATTACGCTGTATAACTGTTTGAGTTGGCCATCTTTATTAACTTCAGATATCGAAATCTTTTTGACGTGATTCAAAAACAACAGCATCTTCTTTGATTCGGTTTCGAATTTTTGTAGAAGCTCCCGGAATTTGTAGTTTGCAACAATATTGTTGAGATATGAGCGAATTTCGGGATGTTTCGAACGTTCGTAGTGGAAGACGAAACATTGTTGCTTTTTTTAGGTTAAAATATTCACCAAGGTATCCAACGAGGACATCTTTAAAATCCTCTCTAAATTCGTCATCAATTTGCTGAAACTTTTCACCAGGAGAATCAGGTGTCGCTTCGGGCGCATATCGGCAGTGTGGGTCGAGGAAACATAATGTATCTTCGTCTGACAAAAAACTCGGGCAATCTGTTAAATGATAAACCGCGTTGAAACCAATTCCATATTGCCCCGTCTTCTCCGGATCGTCAGTTTTGCTACCAATGCCAAGTTTTTGTATTCCTTCAAGATCCTCTTCAGTGAAAGGCTTATCATTGTATACACAAAGGGCAGGTCCCTGAACCTCTTCAGCATGATTCTGTAGAACCTTCTCGTGAGGAAGCTCTCTTGTATCATAAATGAAGTGAATTTCGCTTGCTCCAGCATCATCGGCGTTTTGTACGAGCTCTTTTAAGATTCCTGAATCACACGGATATGATTTTAGAATGTTCTTCAGCCTGTCTGTGAGTTTCTCGTGTTGGCCAAATGGAGTTGCTATAGTGCTGGAATATTTCTTCAGTCTGCGGTTCTGAAGTGATTGTGCTCCCAAGTCAAGAGCTAGTTGAGAAGGAACATCCTGATGTACATAACGGGCGTCACCTCGATCTTTCAGCCAGAATGTGAGATTTATTGTTAGCTCGCCGCTCATGCAGAGCACATTGTTGCTGTCTGGTAAAGGAATTTTACCGATTTGGGACGACTCGATTTCGTGATGGGCATCCTTTAATGCGGTTGCAAAACACACAGCGAGTTTGATTTCGTTTTTACTCAATGCGAGACCGGCTTTTGTCTCTTGAAGTGACTTTAATGCGTCGATAAAATCCACGTGTGAAAATGTTTCTCTGACGCCAGCCAAGCTTAACAGTTTGCTGTAGTTTTCACGATAATCAAAGGGGACGCTATATAGATATGGTGCGCCGCTGCCAACCCATTTGTAAGCAGCTTTTCGAGTTGGCACAAAATGACCATTAATGAACAACCAAGATCTCGAGCTTAACTCCTTTAACAGCAGTTTGCCTTCTGACGTATCATCAGGGTACACTCGGGTAAGAAAATGGTCAAGGAACTTGTAAACTCTCATACAAACTGACTCGAGTGATTTCCGTTTTCCAGAAGTGACATCATTCACGCTGATTGCTGCGTCAAGTTGTCCAAGAACATCTTGCACCTTGGGAAAACGGTTAACAAACCCTAACAATTCCTTAACCTGACGGCCAAGTTTCGCACAACCAGTTTCGTCCGAGTCGTCCACAATTACACAGCTGGAGCCGACCAAATGCTTCTCACTTGAAAGAAACACGTCGTTGGGTGCAAATAATTGTTGTTTGTTAAGTGTTGATCCATGCCACGGTAGTTCATAGCCTTTAGGACATTTTGAGATGAAAGGCAAGAACTCTGTACGTCTAAGATCTGATAAGCTGCTGGAATCAGGCTTTGGAAGTTTTTCAATATTTTCCTTGAGATACTTGATTAAATTCTTTGTTCGTTCTAAACCTTTGTCTCGGCTGATGGCGGAAACAGATCTCGCTCGATCACATATTTCGGACCAGGAAATTTGCTCGTTAACCATTCCGAGCAATTCTAATGCATACATACGGTTACCTTCCAGAAAGCAGTCCCCGAAAGGAAAGCGATGATCTTCTGAGGAAAAGAGACACGCTGCGGGTCCTTTTGGGTTGATAAGACTGGACGGTTTAGCTAGGTGTTCACCATCTTCTGAGCAAGTTATGCATTGGTAAGAATTCAAAAGTGTTTCAAACTCACTTCTACCACGCAAAATGCGATCCAAAATGAAGCAAATGATCGGGTCTCGTATGTTACTGGAAATAGTGCGAATATTTGGCAAAAACAATTTCTCAAGAAACGTTTTTAAGTTCAACGTGCTCTTTAGTACAGCTTTCTTTTGTCCTGCTTTATTCATTGAGGAGAGGACATTAAGAGGGATATCAAATACGTCCTTTTTCAGCGTTTTCAACGTATTGCAAACTTTTGGGACTTGGCGCAGCTCATCATCTAATATGTACCCTTCTTTTATCGATAGCCATTTACCATCACTGTAAAAAAGCGGCAGGGAATTTGATACGATCTTCTCATACACACTTTCAACTAACTTCCCCCAAGTGGAAGAAGGAAGTTTGTCATGTACGGGCCATAACGTATACGAGGAACAATCATGTGTTGGAAGGCCTTTCACGTCGTTTAACAACTGCAGGTAGGCAGTACATAAAGCATCACTGAGAAGAGCTTCATTCCATCGAACTTCGAAAACCTGATGTTGGCTTGAGGTTGTTCGTTCCCAAATCCCACGTCGATTAGACGTGACTGCAAAGTATCCGTTAACATGGATTGGTAATCCTGTTGGGATGGACAATGGTAGAAAGCAGAATGCTTCTCCATTGATTGCGTCGATATTTAACTTTGTTTTTGATTCATCGCTCGGAACAGAATTTAATCGCGCTGCTGCTCCACCGCAAGGTAAAAGACCACGAGAACGACCTTCTCCAGAGGCTAACGAAACTGAGGTATCTGTTCCACCACAAGATGCCACAAGCCAGGTTTCTCGAGTATCTGATTTCGACTGACTTTGCATAAGGTTTGATGGCATCTCTTTTGTAACGACCTTAAAAACTTCACATCTGGAGGGAGTGATCTGTTGGATGAAGGACGAGCCTACCAACTCATGTCGCCACCAGTTTGAGCATTCTTCAATGAACGGACGTTTGGATAAGTTGGAATCACTGCTTCTTTTGATCTTTGACCCTTGTTTCGAAACAGATAACAGCAACCTCATATCACTTGGATCGGAACAATTCTCAATTTCGTATAACTCTACCTTTGTAACATGTTGAGTGAAAAGTAACAGAAGTGATGAACATTCTTTAAGACTGCTGATAATTTCTCTCACCTTCACCTCGTCGTAGACACTCTGGCAAATATCACTCTTCTTCGAATCGTGAGATGTACGGAAGGGAAATCGAAATAATGTTCCACTAAAGTTAAACTTGGTTCCATCTGCAATTTGTGTACTACACCCAAACATTCCATGATACGGTTGAAACTGATCTTCAAAGACCGAGAGGGGACGTGGGTTAGAGGAAAGATCGATACGAATACCTGGACGTGATTTGTCTGGGATATGGTTCTCAATGTGGTTGATATTGGGATCAAACAGCACAAAATATTCACGGCTAACAAAGCTTGGAACATCAGTTAGATGATAAACTGCGTTAAAACCAAGTCCGAAGCGACCGATCTTTTCCAATTCCTCCACTTTAGTTGCACCAGCTAATTTGTTGATATTTTTGAAGTCGTGATCAGAAAATCTTCGTTGTTATATGCCCCGAGTGCAGGACCTTGGCTTTCTGCCATATCTGGCGACAACAGTGTCTTTGTAGGGCCACATCTCCAATCTACAACAAAGCGAACCACACTTGCACGAGCGTCATCAGCATTTTGGATTAATTCTTTGAAAATACTACCCTCTGTGTACTCTTGCAAGACGCTTTTTATCCGATTGGTTATTGATTCATATGGCCCCGTCTGTTCAAAGCCCAAAGTCTCGGCAGACAGAAGACATGTACTCAACGCTGGAACACCCCAAAGAAGCCTTGCAATTTTATTGGAGACCGAATCATGTATAATTTGATAATCTCCAGGAATATCAAGCTCTGATCCTCCTTTTCGCAACCATTCTCGATCACAATACGTGCATTTCTTGCAAGCAGCTAAAACTAAAACATTATTCCTACATTGCACAGGAACAAATACCTTTTCTTGCAAGTGGCTGGGCAACACGTTTCCATCTTTTACCACCCATTGTAGAATATCACGACATACTGCTAAATCTTGAGTGACTTCGACTGAAGAGTGTGGCGTATGATTGGCGTGTTTCTCCCGAACGCTGTCCAAAACTCCAAGAATGTCCTCATCTGAGAACTTTTTTCTAACACCATGCTGTAAAAAGAACTTGATTAACTGTTGCTTCGAATGAAATTCTTTCGCAAGAAGGAATAGGTGAGGGCGGAGATCAATTTTGAAATCTGTTGAAAGAGCGACACAGCTCGGTTGACAAAATCCATTTCCATGCCATATCCAGCCGGTTAATACTTCCTTTGCAAGGGCATTAGAGATTTCACCAGGACGAAATTTGGAAAGATGGGAATATATTTGAACAAGCATTTCTTGAAATTTTGCCACTTCTAGGCCGGAAAGAGTTCTATTCTTCTGCGCCCTCCAACATTCTATACAAGTTCGCAATTGTATGATGACGAGATGTAATGGCGGATCAAGTGTCAAACCAAAAGCCTGTTCAAGCTGGCTGTTTACATTCATATCAATTGTTGGCATTGAAGATCCGATGAGTAAAGCTTTCGATAAGCTACGAACTTCAGATGGTAGAAGCAGAGCTGGCGTGTTATACCACTGCACGAAGTTTGGATAATTTGAAGGCGGTTTAGTGGCACATGGAATCCATCTAAGATTACTAAGGTCTTCTTTCAATGAGCGGTAACTAGAGTAGTCATTCAGGTAACCTGGATTACCATTCAGTATTGTAAGTAACGCAGTAACTTTTCTGGTGATTAATGGAGACGATTGAGCAGATGATGCAATCATTTGGGCAAATCTAAGGATATCACTGGCCACAAGCATTTCTTTCGTCTTAATACCAAGGTATTTTAGTTTGGAAATTATATCAGAGGTAGCGAAAAATCCAGTGGGAAAAACATCCTTCTCGCCATTCAAGACGTCTTGAAGAGTACGATCAGTTGGATCGTACAACTGAGTAGGCGGTTTTCGTGTACCACTCTGGGTAGAAACAAAAGGAAGATCTTTCATGGCGTTTAAGAATTCTTGGCTTTGAGTTTGAAATAGTGAAATTCGCTCTAGGATCCATCCCATGAGTACAGTGATTTGTTGATTGTTGTACCGATTAGCTGAAATGTCAGGAAAAACATACTGCATCAACATATCAGCTGAAGAAAGAACTTGGATGCCAAGCAAACTCAAAAGTCGGCGAACGTATAAATCAGTGCACGGAATAAGTATACGTTCCTTTAATAACTGGAAATTTGTTGGAAGCTGAAGATCTGCAGAAACAGCTTTGAGATGTTTAGCAGCTGTGACTGTGCCATGGAGGGTTTGGAATAACGGAAGTTGCAGTAACAGATCTTTATCAGTTTGGGATATTGTGTAGTTTAAACCTGATAAGAACATAACGAAACTTGCACGATCCTCTGTCGTTAATTTTTTTGCTGCTTGTGCAAGTAAAACGTTCCTGGAAATTCGCTTAGCACAACAACACACCAGACGTGTTGGCGGGCAACGTAAGTGTTAATTCTTTGTGGGATTGTATGTAACTTGGCAGACTTGTGATGACAGTGCAGCCACAGGCTGTGAGTAAATTGCGTACTTCAGAAGGAAGATTAGTACACACGCCTTCTGAACCAAAAATGAACTTTGAATTTTTTGACAAAACACCAAGATGGTTGCCAATAGGTAAAAGAGGTATGCCTTCAAAATCTGCTAGTGAAGTAGGGAATGAAGAGTTAATCCAGGACCACGTTGCTTCAAGCCAACTTTGAGGTGGATGATCAGACATTCCAGGGTTCCACGTCACTTTATCATTTTTAGATCTAAACCAACTGGATGGTAAACATGAGCGAATATTCTGAGTGACAATTTGGTTGGTCAATCGAACTAGTTGGGTCGGTTGTTTTGCACTAGGTCTCGTCGCTGCAATACTAAAAAGTTTTCTTTTCACATCTTCTTGAAGGCTATCATCAAGAAAACGATTAGACATGTTGGGAAGCAGGTCCCAGCAGTTTCCATTGTACAAGTACCGATGCTTTTGGATTGGAAGAATGCTTGTGTTTGCAAAATGTGATGAAATGCTTGTTTGCTAAGGGCAAGAGGGGAATACCCGTAATGTCCGTTGAATTCCCGTCACTCAAGATGTAGGTAAGCAGGTTTAATTTTTCTTCTCGTGAGGTTATGTTAACACTAGTTTCTGGTTCCTTTAAAACACTTCTAACGATAACAGGCGATATAACTTTCAGAGAAAAGTTAATTTTTCGAATTAATTCCAGAACATGAGGGGGCAAATCTGTAATCACAGCATGCCGTTGTGAGATAACTTTTAGTATAACTTTGCGGGTTTCAGAAGTCGTCTGAAGAAGGTCTACAATACCATTGGTCAAAGTAATCCAACAATTGCCAGTGTTTCTCGTTGCATAAAAAAGGGGTTGTTGAATCATTTGCTGCAACATGGGATTCAAGATACACTTCCAGTGACCTTGAATATTTCGGAAGACTGGCATAGTTGAATACACTCGACGGCTTCTTTGGATATCGCTAAGACCAGAATTTGGTTCATTGGTAACTAAGGCCTCTAGAATCTTGCAGTAGACAATACTAGCGATCTCAGATAACAGCAATTTGTTCCATTCAGCCGTGTCGTTGTTTTGGCATTCCATGCCAGGCCACGTAAGACCACGGCGGTTGTCCGTCAAACCAAAGTAACCATGAATATGAACGGGCATACCAGTTCTGCAATCAACGTCCGGTGGTAAAGGTAAAAAGCAGAATATTCTTCCATCTTTGATTAAGGAACATTCATCGATAGGAACGGCTAATCCGATCCAGGGAAGCAAACAAAGCTTCGCACGCAATTGAGTGATGCGTTTATTACTCGAGCCAATTTGGTTTACCACTAACCACTTTCTGCACTCTACTCTTCCATTTGAAGATGTATTTATACCGATGATGACTTTAGATTCTTGCACAGATGACGTTTGTGTAGCTACAGACAACAATCGTTTGCGCTGGGTCGTTACTTGGGCTCTTGTTTCATTTGACAACTCGACTTTAAAGATACATTTCATACAAGCGTCGTCTGTTCGCTTGAAAATACTGATTCTTTGCACGCTCTTGAGAAACAGAAGTATGATAGCGGCCTCCTGACGCAATGATTCAAACAAGTTATCGATCATGGTTTCATTGTATACTGTTTTGGAAAGTTGAGATTCCGGAGTGTTACGTAATGGAAAACGGAACAATGTACCGTTGTAACATTCTGCATTTGATAGATCACAACCAAATATATCGTGAAATGGAGAAAACTGGTCATATAGTTGAGTTTGAAGTAGGCTATGTTTAATTTTGAACTGTCGACCAGACTCCCCTCTGCCAAAGTAAATTTCATGCGGATCTAAGAAGGCAACATTTGTTCCACTAACAATTCCTGGAAGGTCTACAGAAAACAGACACTGAAAAATTAGTACTGGTAAGGATGAATAGTGTTATCCAGGGGGGGTTGTATAAAACAACTTTTTAATCACGATTTTTGTAGTTAATTAAAAAAACGTTGCTAACGTAAATCACGTAATTAAGCCAGTTGTGTAAAAAAGTAATGATCTGAGATCATGAGGTGTCTCAACAAAACTGAGGGATAATGCGCCTAGGCTAGACTCATTTGTCGAATTTCCCGGGTGTTTAGTTTATTACGGATTGCTCCAAGGATTTACAATTCAAATGGCGTTGAATCGATAGATCGAAAAGATAAAATACCTGTGATGTGATAAACTGAATTAAATCCAATACCAAATCGTCCAACTTTTAATGGATCTTCTTTCTTGTTGCTACGCATGAGGTTTTGAATGCCATCCCAGTCTTCTTTTTCGAACACGGCATCGTTGTAGCAGTAAAGCGCAGGGCCTTGGAACTTGCCTAACTCTGGCGTGAGAAGCGATTGTGTGCCATGGGTTTTATCATCGTACAGGAACTTGACTTCTGTTGCTCCTGCATCATCAGCGTTTTGAATCAATTCCTAATCACGCAGAATCATATTCAGACACGAGTTATAATTGAACGCAAAATCGTACTTATTAAGGATTGAACTGAACTATATATGCTCGAAGTTATACTCGGTGAAACACGTCAACTTTCTTTTGTATCAAAATAGAAGATCCACTATTTGACCTACCTTCAAAATCTGCCCACCATCTGGATATCTTACCAAAATACTCGCGATCAATTCAGTCAGCGGAGGACGTCGCTGACCAAAGGAGCTACCTGGAAAAATTCATTGTTAGCTACTCTTAATTCTTCCCTAAAACCATTTTTCACCAAAAACTAGCCTGCAAAAAAACACCATTGATCGAATACGGTCATGTTATGATGAATAGAGCCTTATTTTTTATTTGAGTTTAAAAAATGTTTCTCAGTTAGTGGGCTCACTCACGCAAGCATAGACCTATAGTCACGTTTTTTTCATTATATGAAAATTGATGCAACGTCCTTTTCTATAAACAAATTCAGAAACTCAAAAATAGACATCTTATTTGTTTTCCAGTTGATTTTCCAGTGCGTTTGTCTTTGCGCGTGCGCTCTATGCGTCTATGCGCTCTATGTAGCTATATCCGTAAAAAAGATTGTTAAAACAACTGATTTAACTGAAACCGTTGCCTCAGATTCATCTCTTTGTCATCAATTTTATTTGATAAAAACACCTGAAAATCATGTTTTTAGTTGTTTTAACCAATAAAAAATTGATCTAATTTAAAATGGATCTGAGGTAATCTATTTTTAAATTGTTTACTGCTTTGTTTAGCGTTCCAGACTATAAGGCCTTGTCCACACTAATGCGTTTTGATATGTCTCGTTTTTCGCTTGTTCAAAAACGCATCGATTGCTTTGCGTCCACACTAGCGTTTTCGTAGCGTTAATTAATAAGAGATTTAGCTGCAAACATGCAACTAAGTTGCCAAGCAATAGCATGTTTGGATCCGCCATGTTTGATTTTTGGGGAAATATTACGTATCGTTTTTATGACTCCGTTTTCGTAGCGTTTTTGACCGTCCACACTAAAACGATACGTATGCGTTTTCATTTGGCTCCACTTTCAACAGCGTTTTCAAATCAATGCGTTTTTATGAAAACGCTCATCGTTTTCGGTCGTTTTAGTGTGGACGGAAGGCCAAAACGCATTAAAATGTCTCCGTTTTTAAACGAAAACGCATTAGTGTGGACGGGGCCTTAAGGCTCTCCCTATTGGGCTATGATTAAAACAGCTATACAAATTTTAATTAGTTGCTCACTGAGAACGGGCTTATTTACAAAATTGAAATTGTAACTCAATATTCCTGTATGCTAGAAATACAAAAGCAGTTCTGCAGTTTATGGATAATGCAGGAAATAAAATCAATTTCAATCTTATAATATATTGCCACAGTAAACGTAAGACTTCCTCGTAATAAATACTGTCTTCGAATTACTTTGTATGTATGTATGTGTATGTAAAGTCTTTATTAGAAATTTAGCCACAACAAACGTGTGACTTTACATGGATAATTATGATACAATATGTATAAATATTTACATTATTCTATAAATTGAAAAATTTCAAGTTTATATCAATCGTATTTAAAAATTATTAAAAAGGCATCTATTTACAAAGCATCGTTTAAACCTTTCTCTTTTAACTTGGGGGAGGGTGTAATCGTGAATCTGTGCCCTTAATGTTCTTTGTTTCTTATCAGGCAAGAGGTCATAATGACTATGTTCAGTATCTTTAATTATTTTTCCAAATAAAGTTTTATCTCTCTCTTCAATTAGTGAAGACATATTATATTCTTTGTCCGTATATCCATATCGATTAGCTCGTTTGAAAAATTGATCTATCCGTTTTAAGTATTTCTTCAGTAATGCTGAGCCCCATACTTCGATTGCGTAAGTAAACAAGGAAAGGATCAAAGTTTCAAATAATTTGGTCAATTGATCACGGGGGTAACCATATAGTTTGCATACTCTTAAGATATGCATTCGTCCACTAGCTTTAGACAATAAACCGTCTACATGGATATCCCAACAACAAGGATCGTCTTGAAAGCTTACACCAAGGAGTGTGAGCCATTCCTTTCGTTCAATCCCATTAATTGGGGGTGGTAACTGATTTAATGATCTCTTACTTATGACCATTTCCCATGTCTTAGACATAGTCATTCTGTTTTCATATGTCCAATCTCTAATATTTTTAACTTCGTTGGAAGCGGTGTCCCAAGAAGTGGTAACCGGTGCGCTGACTGTCATGTCATCTGCGAACTTGACTAACATATTTTTATCTGGATCTTTTGGTTTTATATCGTTTACCATCAAAGAAAACAAGAAAGGGCCCAATACAGTACCTTTATAATATTTACTTTATAATATTCTTACGTGCGGTGTGGAGACCAGCTGGTCAATCCATTCAGTAATAATCGCGCCGGAACAAATCCGCGATCACTGGACAAAACCTATTTGTCGACGCGGACGGCCCCCAGTGCAAAAGTTAACCGACATTATTTCGCTGATAAGTTACTAAAGTAAGATGTCTATTTTTCGAGTAGATATATGTTGCTCTTCTTTGCTTTTGATAATAATGCATATCGCCCATACTCAACCTTGTTTCCAGGGTCTTCTGTCAGACCCTAGCCTGGAAACGAGGTTGTTCCATACTTTATATATGCCATAGGTGAGTTTATTGAGTTAGGCTATTATATATTTGTCAAGCTGCCCAAATAGAGCTGCCCTGTACTTATGCATGACTCGACAAAGACTCCATACAATCAGCAGAAATGCATAATTTATCAATTTATCAATGTCTGTCATAATAATTCAAATAACTCGATATTAACAATTAATTTTAAACATGCCCTAACAAGATCCCTTCAGACATTACGTAAAAATATATTTTGATCTGATATCCATGTAGCTATAGTATACAAACACTTTTAGCTAAGATGCATGCCGGTATTATAGAATTGTCAAAAATCCCTCCAAGAGATTATTTTGCTATTCAGTCCTTGTATAATTCAACGTGTTTTAAAAAGCGATTATTAACATCAGATCATGTAAAGCCATTTCCTCTTGCTCATTTCCAAGTATTTGGCATTCTAGTTCTTAGAAATCTGGTTTTTAAAAATCACTTTCGATTTTACAATTACGCATATGACGATTTCAGTCGAAAACAAAAAACCTACCTTGTATTTCATTCCCTGCCATTTAGGACACCATAGACATAGTCGACATTGACGCTCGCAATTGTGGCTATAATTGAAAGAAAAACATCGGGAAATATATGCACATATTTGATATCCGAAGAAAACACGCGGTCATGTTTAATTAAACGATGACTTCGGCTTGGTACTTCGCAAGAAATATATAAATACACACTGCGTACAAAAATCAGCATTAAAAATATTTTATTCAATGAAACAAAAACAACGTCCTACATTGAAAAGGAAGATAGTTTGCTTTTAAACAGCTAAAATGCTATTTCAGTCAAGCCAGCGAAATTTAATATAGCCGCGACATTGTCATTGATCATGATCACATCTGACTGTGTCAAACAATGTGGCAAGCTGCTTTTTCACAGTAATATTGCTTACTCCTTCAACTTCTGGAAGTAAGACAAGTTACTGAATGTAGTCAAATAGAGATTTTTAAATTTCTAATTTCAATTACCAAACTGCTACGACGTGGTATCAGCCAGGCGGACACTCAGAGAACGATAATTTTTGGCATGGGTGTTAAACCCAGTTTTTAGCGAACGAAAAGACGCGTGGATAAGAAACCAAAAGACCATTCAACTGACTATTTCTTTTTGTCATATTTTGCTAATAGTACGTAGTTGCAGAGCGTTAGTTAAAAGTCATCAGAGCACTTGCATGAACAGCCAGGCTAAACATAGCCGCCGGTATTTGCTATAATTATTTATATAGTTACTGATCTGATCAACACACTTACCTGACGTTAATACAGTATATTTCTCTATAGTAATGGCTATAGCTATATTTTAAACCTCAAGTGTATCAGCTAACAGTCGCAAATGAGTTTATTCTTGACAAGGCAAAGAGCTAACACGAGTTACACGACCATCGGAAAGTGATACCGGTGAATGCCAATGCCAATGGTTGTGCCAATGGGGACAAGACCTGGCTCGTCGCGCTGACACTGTTAACCAATCACAGTACGGCACGTGCCCCCCTCTCAAAAGTGCCCTCCTTTGTGATGAAAAATGCCTTTTTGGAGAAACTAATGTATATAAATACTTTTTTTAAATCAATTTATAATTTCACATTATACAATAAAAAAATCTAAACTTTCTGAGCTGTAAAACGCGTAAAATTTAAATTTAAAAAGCGTGAGCAAACAAGTTTTTCGCTACGCAGAACTTTCCCATTTATTGTTTTCTTCACCTTTTATATTGCAAATAATAGCAGTCTTGCAGAGTTTTTAATATCTACGCGGCCCGTGGCCGACCAACCGTTTTAGCTACATCATTCCAATGGATAAGCACAGTATAGAAATCATAATAATTAGGATATATACTTTTTAGAGCAGATTATACTATCATGTAGGTTTTTTACTGATAATCAAATCTCTTTTAATTCGGCTATTCGTAAAGTTAATAGAACACCGCAATGCTATATATAATTATACTACACGTGCAAGGTATATTTGGTTCTCGGTTCCCATTTCTAATTTGTCTTACGTACCACAATTCCACAAAACTATATTTATACGTCTGTAAAAGTAATCGATAAACAAAACTCTCTAAATCTTACTCTGTAGTTTTACTCTTACTCTCTAAGTCTGTAAAAAAGAGCCGTAGTCGGGGAAAACTTTACAAAATAATGGTATAGATAGATAGATAATCCGTTCATTAAAATCACCTATAGCAGCCAAAGGGCTGAATTACATGATCATGTATACAAAAACATTTTAACGACTACTGTATATTAAAAGATTATTAAACGTTACAAGTTTTTCAACAACAATTACATATACAACTTAAAAATATCAACTACTTGTTTTATAACTAAAAATAAATAACAACTACTTAATTTATTAGACTAGATATTATAAATCTATCTCTAAATCTAAGACTGCATGAAATATTATATTGTTTGCCTCAAACAGAGGCAAACAGCTGTCATTCCTACACAACACTATATACATGCAGGAAGGCTTGAACGACCATGCGGCAATATATAGCTAAAAAGAGTTTATGAATCAATAGGAAGTATTGAGCCTCATCAGTTGTTTTGTTTTGTTTCGTCATGACAATGACATCAAGACAAGGTGAGTATACGCGTCATAAAAAGCGGAAACTATTTTGAAGGGCGGATATTCACTACAGTCTGTATAAACATCCCAAAGACACTAATCATAGTGATAACACAAGGCAAGAAGTCGAATAACGCTTTCTCACGCTACAACCAAGTTCAGTTCGAACAATGGATGATGATAGCAAATACAAATATCTTTTTAAGGTGGTTCTGATAGGCGACGCATCTGTTGGCAAGACCTGTTTGCTTCGACGTTATGCTAAAGGATTATTCATCGGTAACCCAGGAGCTACAATAGGAGTTGATTTTATGATGAAAAATGTCGACATTAACGATGAAGTAATTAAGGTATTTCGTTGAGACTCTATATATAGATATATATATATAAATATATATACAAATGTTATAATTTCTTTAACATAATATTAATAAAATGTAAGTGCATTATTCATTATATACATCGACGTTGTTTGTTAACTTTGCGTTGATTTTTGCCTAACCTTAAAATCCCGGAAGCTGCTCAGTGTTTTTGTTCGCATGACCTTTTGGCTTTAGCCTCTAAAATGCAGGACAGCGTGTACGTAAAAAGTATATAAATAATTGCTTGATAACATCACTGAGAGAGACACATGATTTATACTTTTTAGGCGAAATGTTAATGTTGACTGCATGCAAAACAGGGTCTTTCTGCGATACTGAAACCAGAATATGATGATTGCTACATGCTTACTATAAGATACAAAATTTCACTATGAAACGAAATTTTGAAAAATTCTAATATGGTTTAGAAATTCTTCACTATATGTAATACATAATCCACAACTGTGGCTGTCAGACTGTGCATCTCTTTCATTCTTATTATTTTCTCGTGAGAATAAGGAACAAATGTCAGGAAGCGAAAGAAAAAAAATCAACTGATTGACAGAACCTATATTTTGGACGACATCTTAACTTCGAAAGTCATAAAGTTTGTATTTTTAAAACTTCTTATATCTTTTATTTATTTATTTACTATTGCAGCTCCAATTATGGGATACCGCCGGCCAAGAGAGGTTTCGATCACTTACTCATAGTTACTATAATAACGCTCATGCAGTCGTCATCGTCTATGACATCACAAATAAGCGGTCTTTTGAAAATCTACCATCGTGGTTGGACGATGTTCATAGATATTGTAAAAAAGATGCAATCAAGTTGCTAGTGGGAAATAAAAAAGACTTGAATGATAAACGCGAAGTTGATTGCAATATGGCAAAGGAGATTGGTTCTGCATGTGATATTGTTACCATGGAAACGTCAGCTAAAGATGATGAAAACGTTGATATTCTGTTTGACAGCATCGCGATGGAACTGAGTCAAAGACTCAAGAACACGGATGACGAAGAAAGACCTGTTGCTTTATCCAAGGACGTACAAACTATTACCATCAAAACCAACACCAATAACTGCATAAACAATAATAGTGAAAAACTTGCGTACCCAACAAGTTGTTGTAAAATGTGAGGCTCCGGATACAGTGTATGCATGAATTAATTTGCGCACATAGTCATAGCCAAACGCAATTTAATGCAAGAAAAGTTCAAAATGCGTTTGCCTGAAAGAAGTTAAAATCTACTGCAAAAAGTCTAGTTTTTTTTTGGAAATACAGTCGAACGTAATTCGACATTAATCATATTCTATTCTTGCGTGCAAAGCCCAAAGACAAAGACGACAAATTATTATTGATAAAAGTTCTGTATTCTAAGAGATGATCTGAGAGGCACGTTTACCGGCTCTAAGACTATGCATAGAAAAACACCCAAATACGGTGTCCTCATTACATTCAATTCAATTAAGAGAAAGTCGACTACGGAGAAAAAAGTAAGGGTGAAGTTACAAAAGAATGATATTCATCAATCATATTGTCCTCTGAACGATCTCTGTCTCTGTTGATTAGGCAAGAATTGGGATCTTTTGCACGAACCTGGGATTCTGAGCACTCGGGCGTCACGGGGGCATCATTTTCAGATTCATCGACATTCCTTTCATCTTCAAACAACAGCAAAGACCTTTCAGAGCTCTTTTCAAGAAACGTTCGACGTCGCGTCGGTGGAACATAAGGAGATGAGACCTCAGAAGACACATTCACTGGTTTTAACACAACCTGATCTCTCTTCGATGAAACACTCATTGAAATCCTCATTCGAGTATGCTCTGAACACCATGTTGATTTCTTGCTGCTTGTTACACCTCTCGACAGGTTTCTGTTTTTTAGTTTTCCTTTAAATGGTTTTTTACATGAAGATTTCTTACATTTAGTTCTCAGACATAAACAGTTAGAAACACACTCGGATGTTCCCGGCTGTGGTCTTCCTGGAGGTGTAAACATGTCACGTTCAATCTCACCATCTCCTGGGAACTTATCGTTTTTGTTATCACAAAATGTTCTTTCAAGTGGAGTTGTGATAGAATGAGAATCAATCGGGGAATACCCACAGTTAATAACGGATTCTAAATGAGAGGTTTCGTGATAAATGTCTAAGCTCGGTGTACTTGTAAAACATGTTCTACGGTCATGATCCAAATGAACTGCATCGGAACTAGACGAGGAATTAGATTCTACTGCATCTCCTAGACAGTGTTTTTTCTCATCATGATCTGATTTTTCTGATTGCAAAGTAGGATTGACCTGTGTTAGAAAAATATCTAAGTCCTCTGAAGTCAGTGAATCAAACATCATGTCAAATTCATTATTAGCACTGTTGTTATTACCATCCACACATTGGTCTTGTGGCAAATGACATGTCACAGCACAATTTTTTTCGCTGGAAATTCCATCCAGTGGTATATCATCAGCTATAAGTACACCTGACTGAATACCTGACATTGTACAATGCTCTCCAGTATTAGTAGAACCATGTACCGGATTAAGATTTTCTTCTGATAAGCTTTTGGAAAGCTTTGCATCTTCAGTGGTTAAAAAATCAGAGTTGGGTTTGTCCTCTTTGATAATTGTCAGGACATATGGGTCATCTTCATTTGATGAGTCATAGCAAAGAGATTGTTGCAAATCAGTTATAGATACATTTTCATGACCTCTCTGAATTCTACTAACTGATTTGACTATTTTGCATGTGTTGCTCTCCACATCAGAAACTTGATTGTGTTCACAGCATGTAGAACGCTGGAGGCTTTTAAACTTAGGGACAAAAGAATCTTCTGTTTTGATGTTGGAATCATTACCACTGGACATCATTGATAACATAAATTTATTGACATTACTGTTCGCAACAAGAAGCCGGCGTGGTGATACAACATCATCTATGTCGCAATCTTTTTCATTGAATGAATTTATGTTTTCTCTACTTGCAATTGAATTTACACAATTTTCAGTTGTGTTATTGTTTGTTATTTTAAAACTGTCTGCTTCAACATTCTCTTCAAAATGGGCAACATATTCCTTAAAAACACCAGCTACAGATTTATGCATTATCTCATTCTGAATTCTACATATCCCATTAGCCAGTAATTCTGGTATTTTGCTGTAAGTACTTAAATTTGATGCTTTCATTGCTGGCAGCACATTGGTTTGTAAATTATGAGCACTGTTTTTGTTGCCAGTAAGATGGAAAGCCAGATGAACATTCTCTCCTACAAAACATCTCTCCATTGCAAAATGAACCATCCTATCTAAACTGAGTCCTTGAAGAAAATTCTTTTCCCCACAGTTTGCCAAGTATCTAATTTTCAACAAAAGCCTACTTTGAAATGATTTTACTATTTGGTGAATAAATTATGGAAGTCAGAAAAAGACAAAATGGAGAAAAAAATAATATAAGGTAATAATAATATAAATATGGCACTTGCACAAAAACTATATACCTGCAAAATTCTGTGGCTGGTAAACCAAAGAAAGCCTCTAAGCTCTTGCCAAACACTGTGACCCTTGTAATTCCACTACCATCTGACACTGTCAAATTTACATGATATCGATATTGAACAGTCTTTTGTGAATAAAATTTCAAACAGAATGAGCACCATAACCTAAAGGAATCATGAATGAATTCATAGTGTTTGGCTGGTGAGAGATGATGGTTAAAAGCTGTTAATTCCTGTACTTTAAATGTTTCTTGTTTAAAGAACATGTGAAGTTCAGCCTTTGGTTATGATTGCTTACCAGGTATAGATAATTTACATAATTTACATTATTACAGTTGATCAGCTATAGTGGATTTGTCAACAGATTTATTCTTACAGTTTTCTCTTGTCAGTATTTGAAATGCTTGACACTGAACATGTACTGTTTGTATGTTGGTGTGTCTTTTAATTGAACCCAAATGAAATTAACCAGCTGTTGTACAAATGTTGCTGATACTATAGGCAGCTGAGCAAACAATGTTGATTCTTTAGGTTGTTGTTTACTAATTTACATTGTTTGTTGGGTTGCCTAAGCTGATACAGTATTAATATTGCATTTAATATATCAGTGGTTATATAACATATTTTGTCCATTTGAAATTCCCGCTGATTACTCAGCACCCAATCAATGCAAAATGTTTGGTTACTGTGAGAGTACTACAAACCACAAAAATTCGGTACTAATAATAATGTTTACCTCTCTTTTTGATCATTTACTTTGCGAACTTTCTTGTGACATATTGAGCAAGAAGGATAAGCATACGAAGCACCAATCTTCAAAACTTTCACAAGCACTCGAAAAACTTTAATATTCATTGCCAAAGGAAAATATTACATATCAATTCCCACTAGTAAAAACAATCTTTCTCCCCCGCCTTGTTTTGCATTAGTTAAGAATTATCACCTACTTGTATTCGATGCATTTCGATTTCTTTTGAATTTTGAACTTTATGTTTTTACGACTGGTTTTTACATGTTTTCAGTTCACTCACTGTCACGAATGACTCGCGCGGGCCCCACGCCGCCACGCGTACGAGTGGAACTAGAGGAACTAGAGGTGTGGAATGATTTGTGGAATGAGGTGTGGTGTGTAGGTGAAGAAGAATTTTAAAATACAATTGTGGTAAATAGAATATGGATGAAGTAAAGAAGAACATCAAAACATTTTTGGAAATCCTGCAGACAGGAAAGAGTGAATCAGTCATACACTGGGATGAATCTAATTTTAAGAGAATTTACCATTGGGCACTATATGCTGAAGAGGTATAAAAAATTAAAAGTAGTATAATAATATAAATAATGATTTTCACAGCTATTACAGATTTTACCAAGATGGTCTGGTTATGGAAATTCAATTGCATTCGTACAAACAAAGTCGCAAACCTTGATAATTCAAATTTTAACAACCAATCAAGTTGTGATTTTTTTATTGCAATTTTATTGACATGTCTGTCATCGATTGTAGACATATATGGGATGAATATTTGCATTTTAGAGGTGATATCTGTTGTATCAACCCTATGCCAATGGCTGAACAACAATGGCTAAACACCAATGGCATATGTTTATGGTGGAACTAGGTTCTATAGCTTGATATGCTTTTATATAGCTGTAGTAGTTTGCATATTCATAAAACGTCCAACAAAATTGATAGTTCACCAGTCCATCTTTTTATTATATGTGCCCCTTGCATTGACTCAGTTTGTTTGATTTCACTGTATTAGTTTGATTTCACTGTGTTGATTTAATTGTTTCCTTTTTTTCACTTTGTGATCTTTCCTCATTCTTTTTTCTTCTCTTCCAAATAACATCCTCTTACCTTCCCCTTTTCCTTCCTGCTGAATCAATCTTTTTTCTTCTGGGGCCACGTTCCAATTAGAAGATATTAAATAGTATTTTTATATTGGTTTAGGTATATAAGAAATTGAAAAATAAGCCATCCCTTGGGCAAGTCCTTTCAAATTATATCAAAGACATGCAAAGATCATATCAAAAAACTATGCCATTCACCTTCAATGACTTGCAAAATGCAACAGAAAAACTACGACAGACTCTGCTATGCAATCCTCATTTGTCATCACTACAGTTTTCTTATGTTCTTGATTTCTATCACGTGGATTTTCGTGCCACATCAAATGAAGACAATGAAGATTTGGAAAAAATAATCTCCAATACGTATTCTATCAATTGCAGTAAAGGAACATTTCTTATATTGTCAAGTATAAAAGACGAACTGTCCGTTAAACTAAAAAAGGATATCTCAAACGGGACACGAGGAACAGAAGAAATTTGTTTGGATGGTTGCTCCAAATTATTGTGGAAAAATATAAGAAGTTTAGTTGAAAAAATGAATCCAAAAGGTTTGTTTCACCGGTCTCACATAATTTGCTGGATAAAAAATTTAGTAGCTATAGTCATTGTAATATTGGGACGGGTTGTACGCGGGTTGGATTTTTGAAAAAAGCTAAAAAAAGCTACCCACCTTCCTACAACCGGCCGTTTATAATGACATATATTATATATATATATATATATATATATATATATATATATATATATATATATAATATTATATATATATATATATATTATAGCTACATATATAAATATACATTACATATTTCTAGCCATAGATCGTCTGATCAATGATCGTTTGAAATCATTAGCATCTAGTAAGGAAGGAATGGAAACTATATTAAGGATGTTGGTTTTGCTTATGAAAGGAAAAATACCATACAACATTCTTAGCGACGATGATCAGGGTATTTTAGATCAAACGAGAAATCACATACTTCATTGGGTTGTAGGTAAGTCTTGATTAAACCCTCTAATCTGATTATGGTAGCTACTTTTTCTTTTTGCCTTTGCAATGCAGTATTGGCTTTTTAATTGCAATTGTGTCCCTGCAATTGCAAGTCCCTGCCCCCGAAATTACTTTTATCCGAAACACACATTATATTATCGTGTCACCCTCTGTGACAGTGGCACTAAAATTAAAAACCGTGGAAGCCGTGGATGATTAATGTTAGTCCTCAAGACATAATTGCAACGTGATGAACAACTTGGCTACCCTGACTTAATTCAGAGAGGGTATAGTATTTCACAGCCTTACCAAGACAAGCAAAAGATAATGGTTCAGGCTATTTCTTACCATAGAACGTTCAGACAATAGTGGATCAGAGTTTTATCAACATATTTGGTCTTGTCCATCAAATGTAATTTACGAAATGTCGGCGATATATCCATCGTTTTATGAAAGTTATCTGTGTTTCTTGCACTCGTATGGTAATACTTTGCTTGGTTTGAGGTAAGTTAGTTTAATCAGTGAATTGTAATCAAGTTTAATCAGTAATTAATAATTCATTTTTATACATGGTATTACAACTCTTACAGGCTATTAATGTAATTATTGGCTTTTCATGGTTCCCATGGTTAATGAGCCGACAATCATTTTATTACCAGGTCCGTTGCTCTTCAGGATGATGACGGGACGAAATATGGATTACGATATCAACATTTTATTGAGAAAATTCGAATGCTAGTACAAGGACCTGAACACGTATCACAGTTGTGCATACAGAAGTTGCAGTTATGGTCCAAAGTCGAAGAACCGGCGAGAGAATCGTCAAGTACAAGTTCTAAGAAAGTTGGTCTAAGGGACGAAATAATTAGAGCTAATATGTGGAAGAAAGTTTACAATGATATTTGCAAATAAGCACGAACACATTGCAGAGATGTCGATTGTTTAAAAGCCACCAACAGTAAGTGTCTCTTGGCTCTTTGTGTTCAGGGTTTATTGATTATTACTAAAGCAAATTTACACTATTTAACTATTTGATTATGATATTGGGAAGATATTGATTAGATCCCTCCTCTGAAAGGACGTCTTTCTACTACGGCTAACTAGACATATCTTCCAAGACTCTCTTCGTGATTGTATAGACCACTTAACTACATGGTAATTATAAGTCGTGGTAATCTAATGATGTTGACTTATATATATGCATGGACTGTTTAACTTGAATGTGAAATGACTAACCAACTAATCACAAAATAAAACAAAAATATTGGATAAACAGCTAACAACTTCCGATGTGATGGTTGACTATCACCCAGGAACTTCACAGATGCTGGAAACATTGTGAAAAGTAAATGTAATACTTATACATACAGAGATAATATAAATATAGTATATATAGAAACTTTACTGTATATAGGTAGTACTTTACTGTATATAGGTAGTAGGCTATACCACTAGGGAATATAAAAGAAACAGGGGGGGAGGGGGGGGGGGGGAGGGTTACACAGACAGGACGCGATTTGGCAGATTTTCCAGCAAATAAAGTTTAACCTTTCATTAAATTATTGTTGATTATTTAACGATAATACATTTCGACTACTCTGGTGGCCATAGACTCCAAGTTTTACTTCCAAAATTTAATTTATATGCTTCTGAAAACTGAAAATTCGCGTCGCGTTGCCGTATCGCCTCTGGTCTGTGTCGATAGATGATAGATGGCAATATATAATTCACTAAATTTCGTTGGTAATGTTTGGATCTCTTTCAATGTGTCACTGCACCCACAACACTGAAAACTTATTTTAGGTTAAATATCACAAAATGACTGTTTTGAGCAACCAAACATTAATGTTCAAGATTACAATGGTTCTATTAACGCTTACCAAAAGTTGACCATGCAAATGCCAAGATAACGATCGCAAATCGAACAACAAATAGTATTGTCGTTTTTTCTGCAAGCAGTATTAGTCGACATATCAACAGTGCCACATCAAGAGGTAAAACGCAGTAACCAAGTACACATACACTTTGGAAAAATGATCTAAAATTATAGGAAAATTAGCATAGACCTTTATAAAAGGTTAGCGTTATGACGTAACGTAGTTTGCGGACAAGGCATACTTCTGATCGGTTTGCGGACGATCGGTTTTTGAAATCTTTAAACACTCACAGTAGCTACATTTTATTCCGTAATTGCAGAAAAAACACACTCGTTAATGAAATACATGGGAAGATGTCTTGAGTAAGGAGTGCTCTGTCCGGCATACTGTATTTAGAAGCTTTAGCAGTGACCAGGAGTACAACATTTGTTTTCATTATTTTGCAAAAATGAAGAACTGTATTGCAACTGTATTGCAACTGTATTGTTGTTATGACTGGAGTTTGGCACATATCTGTATAGAGTAGTCACATGTAGACTACTTACAATGTTCCTCCCAGGAGTTTCGAATTAAGTGTGACTAAAGAGGCTCCAATCCAAACAATTACAAAAACTTCAGCAAACTCTGGCCCACCTGCTGCTTCACCAACTATCAAACTGTGAGAACCTTGCAGCATCCTAGAACAAATTTTAACTGATTTCAGTGTTTATTTTATTGCCTTAAATAAAATGTACCTTTGGATACCTTTGGATTCAAATACAGCCTGTATTGATAATTGTTACAGTGGAAAAAAGTTGTAGTGTGATTAGTGTACCAAGTATACTGATGAATAAAAATATGCAATCACAGTTTATCCTTTATGTAATGTAAAAACATTGCCAAATTTGAAATATGCATGTTGGAGGTCAGATTTTGTTTTCGTGAACCAAAGGTATATATAGATGAAGAATTAGTCTTCCAACTATTTTTAGTTCAATTTCTCAGACACATCACTCTAGAGGTGGATACATACACAGCTAAAAAGATACACAGCACAAGAGGTCCCCATAGATCCCCTAAAATAAATTATAGAATTTTTTTATAGAATGTCCATGATGTAAAATCATTGGCATAGAAATATTACTATAAAATTCTTAGCAATGCATGGGTGAGAAAATTTTAACTTTCCAAAAAATGTTTTGGCAATTAAGCTCTAGAACATCCTACTTTGTCATTGATTTTACAGTGCATAATTGTCATCTGCAGTAACACATTATAATTATCCTTTAATTATTTATTCTAGCTAGCATATGGTGCATATATAAAATCTATTACATTCTCTTAACAATGTCTTTGTTTCTCTTGGCCACAGAACATGGAAAAATTTCCTCCCAACAGCCTTTGCATCCCTTTTCTAAAAATAGACCAATGTAGACTGTAACAGTGAAATATGTTGAAAGAGCCCATAATAGAACTCAAAAAAGAAGCAATGGTGACAGGAGTTAAACCGGGGTGAGTTGTTCAAAAGCCAGAAAGCACTATCCACTGGAAAGTGTTTTTGCAATCGATCTAAAATTTCCTGTTGTTCAATATAACCTAGATTAAAACTTGGTAATTCTCGAATCCCCATATATTTATAATAATAACATGGTATACTACAGTGGTGTAGCCAGCCTAATCATTTTGTCCTGCTTTGCAAATTTGCAATGATTACAATTAAATTAATTTCTTTTGTGATACTACATGATCAGCAGCATGGCAATTTCTTTAAAAACCCTCTTATTTATTGGTTCAAGAAAGTTCCCCAATGTTGTGACCTTTGCCAGGTACACATGCAGTAAACAACTCTCCTGACCATTTTATAGTTATTACTATTAAATGTTGTGAAGTTTATATCTTAGGGAGTTGCTAAATAAATAAATACAATTTATATTATTTACGTAGTGAACAGTCACTTCGGACTACCACAGGCCCAAAGTGCATATAAAAAGAGAATGAATATTTTATATTGAGACTTTAGTTTAGATAAATCACGAAAACTGTTGTGAGTTTGTGACGTCTTTTCTAGATCAATGAATATCATAGGTAAATACTAGGGAAAATCTTCGATTACACAAAGCAAAAATACAGTGAACTATACGTTCAGAACTGCAAGCAAATAAAATATATGCTAAATTATGCTATCCACGTTGACATGCAGTAATGTTCTCACATCAGCTATATGAAAAACTGGAAATATCAAATATAGGGGAGAAATTGGCATATATCTTACTAGAGTCTCTGAAATTGGTTCATCTAAAGTACTTGGTTCATCATCACTATCCGGAGCTCCAGGAACGGTTATATCACCCTCAATATCAATCTCTGTTGATGAATTAACTGACATCAGTGGAGATTCTTTTCCTCCTCCACTTTCCGCCATATTTTATTATATTTTGGTATTCAAATTGATTGGCTGATGCGCATGCATAACTACAGATTTAAATTCCAATATATAGCTCAGAGACCAGTTGTATAAAACGGTGATGGAGAATTCAATAGTAGTTCCTGCGATGATGGTGAATTCAATAGTAGTTCCAGCGGTGCAAGACTTCAAACTGTATAAATATCAGCATGGATAGTTAATTTTATTATCCATAGTGATTTTATTATCCATGATATCAGCCACTAAGGAGTTTAGCCAGACGAACCAGCACTCCACGCTCAGGAGTTAAGCCAGACGAACCAGCCAATCTCGCATCCAGTTTTTCTTCGTTGGGGAATATGGATTTAATTTCCTTACCCATTTTAAAAAACAAGTGTAGAAAAAAACTGACACATTGAGTTTAACCACAAAAACGTGCCTGGCTAGCCTGCTCGCAGAGCAAATAAATAAATTATCAAGGAATTATCGAAGGCCAGCATTAGTACTGCCACTAGTACAGAATATTGTGCAATTGAAAAATCTGTTTGTTCGTTTTAAGAAATATTTATATTTCAAGAAATCTTTATATTTCGCTTATTTAAATATAACTGTACTGTTAATTTATGAAACAAAACAATTCCGTATATATATAAACAATAATACCATATAGAGTACAAAAAGCTAGGCTACATCATATTTGTATGTTAAACCAACCCTTCCCATTTTCATTACAATCTATACATGCATCAAGATAAAATAACTTAACTTTGGTAGAATAATTATTTGCAATGCATATTAAGATTTATTAAGCTCAAATCCTCACGGAATATGTCAGAATAATGTTGAGAGCGTTGTAGATGGTTTTGAAGCTCCGTACTAATAGACCTTTTCAATTATAGACTATAGACTACCTTTTAAATTGAATCACAAATTTAATCAATGCACTAAAATGCAATCAAATCACCAAGGCTGAAACGAGCGTACAGAGAATATTAATCTTAATAAATAAAAAATAAATATTAATCTTAGTAATCTTAATAAATAAAAGTTTGGTTGCGAAATGTTGTAAAGTGCGGAAAACATAGCTTGGCAAAGTTTGTATACTTTTCGAATTGAAGTTAATGAGTTCACGGCAACCAGGTATATAATCCATCGTAATTATCGCTAAGAAAGTTAAAGAAAACCAGAGCAGCGATAATTACGATGGATTGTATACTTTTGACTTTTGTTACCATTTTCCGCATGATTGAGTACACAAATTTGCAAACTTCAGAAGGCTTTTAGCAGATATTTTTATACTTTTACTAATTTTAGTACGCTCGTTCAGGCTGTGGTGAATTTTTGCATTTTGAAAAAGTAGTCTATAATGCAAAGGGTCTATTCACTTGAAGATTTTTTTACGAAAGCCACCTATAGCATTATTGTACAATAAATGCATGGGTTTTAACTGAGACACAAGAAACAACTTGTTGTGTGGCATTGCAATCATTGTCCCTTTGATCAATAAATCCTTAACAAAGACGTTTTTACTGCGATGATACTCCTATACAGGGCAGATGCCTTAATTAGGCAGCTAGGCGTCTGGAGGAAGTTCAATGATTCTTGGAGGTGAACGCTGTGAACGCTGTGAACGTCGGGTAGGATTATTGTTGACATTATTATCTACAACAACCTGGAAAACGGATTGATTAGATTGGCCTGCTCGCGTTTGCCGCGAAACGTAAGCATTCCGATTTCGTAACAGTTGTTGCAAAAACTGTTGACCCATTTGTTGCTGTTGTTGCTGCTCTTGTCGTCGCTTTTGTTCTTCCTGTTGTTGTTGTTGTTCACGAAATCGTCGTTGACGTTGTTGTTCACGTTGTTGTTGTTCACGTTGTTGTTGTTCACGTTGTTGTTGTTCACGTTGTTGTTGTTCACGTTGTTGTTGTTCACGAAATCGCCGTTGTTGTTCACGTTGTTGTTGTTCACGTTGTTGTTGTTCACGTTGTCGTTTTTCAGCTTGTTGTCTTAACTGTTGTTCGACTTGTTTCTTTTCCTCTTCGACACGCTTCTGTTCTTCCAACAGTCGCTGTCGTTGCTGTTCCTGTTGTTGTAAACGGAGAAGCGAATCTCGCGCCAGACGCTGTTGTTCCTCCCTTCGACGTTTATCCATTTCAAACAAACGCCGCCGCTGTTCCTCTAAAAATATTTGTTGGAAATTTTGTCCAATAAAAGTTGGAGCATTTGGACGCGGTGGTACGGAGACATATGAAGGCCGGACATTTGGATTGCGAGTGGTGGCGTCAATAAAAACAATATTAGGCCTTATATTCGAGCCATTCGCCATTTCTAAAAATTTTCAAATAAAATCGTAAGTCTAGAAAAGCGCGTATTTTGAAAGTTATTTACAAGAACTTTATAACTTCGTATAAGGGACCATGCAATCATTATTAATGGGCGGGGCCGACACGGAACAGAAAAGGATGCTTACGATCGGTCTGGGTGCATGTCTACATATTATTTTGATAAATATTTGAGCTTGCCCTTAAGTAGGTTATATGTAAGAAATATGTTATTTACCGGCTTGGAGGTCCGGTTGGAAATTTATTTTCTCGAGGACGAAGGGCGTTTTTTGAGACCGAGGGGAAAGTTTTTTTATCCGAACTAACAAAAACGGTGAAAACCTTTTTTTTTTGTACCAAAGTAAACATAGATTACTTTGGTAAACACAGATTGCGGACCGTGCTTGGTCCAATGTTGTAACTAAAATTTCTGCCCGCTGCTACAGCCAAATCCCAGGGAACGCTAGGATTACGTCCGCTGGTGATTGGCAAAAACATAAGAATTCGTACGCTATATCCTGCATTATAGAACATTACGAAACAATACTTTATGATTAATGCTAACTGTATCAAATGAACGGGTAATTTAAGAAATTGGTAAAAAGCAGTCAAACATACGTGGCACTTGTTCAACTCTAAGTTGCGGTGGATTGAGTATTCCTTGTTTTTCTAGTTCCCACTGATCCCACGCTTCCTTTCGCTCAGCTTCTGTCAACTCCTCCTCTGGTCTGTTTTGCAATAGTGAATCATGTTCGTGGTACTTCACGATCCATTTTGGATAAAGGCGATTTATTAGTTCTGCCAAAACCGCGTCCTATAATTAAATGGAACGATTTAAAAAAAAATTAAAAACTTGAAATTCCACGAATCTAACCATGTACGAACATACAACAATGGCAACTCAAGTACTATTATCAGTAAGTACTGTGTTCACGTATATTACCTTAGGAACTGCAGGTGTTGGTCTTTCTTCGTTTTCATTTTTTAACACATCTGGCTCAAAGCGGTAAAGCTCTGCTAGATCAGTGGCATTGAAATGACGTTGGATTTGACGCTCATCAACCACACGTTGAGACATTGATAGTTTAGTCACCTGTGTCACAACACAATAATGCATTTATCATCGTGGCAGATGTAAATCATGCGAAAAAAGAACAAAACTGAATTTTACACACATACCTGTCTATCATAAATTTTTTCCTCCATAGTACCCTGTATAGGAATACAGATAAATAACTATTAAAGGTGACTGAATAATGAATTTATAACGCAAATTCTATACAGATATTTAGGCATAGAAGGGAAGAGAGCAGAATAAATATATCTCGTATACAGCAGCTAGTTCGTATATAAGACTGGTTTCACTGGGGCCCATTCAGCTATACACCGCAGCATCGCAGCATGCTCGCGATTCGAAATTGATTTTACATATTCTGAAGTTTTTGAAAATCCAATTTATATATACGTTGGATGATCTACGGCAAATAATTTATTCTATACCTGAGAAATAAATCTGTATACGAAGACCGGTTTGTTCTGACCAAACCTGTAGGCTCTGAAGATGGACTGAACGTCATGAGACGGATTCCATGATACATCAAACACAATAACACGACTTGCACCAACCATATTTATACCAAGTCCCCCGGCTTTTGTTGAAATCAGAAATAAACGAGCTCTATATAAACGAGAAATAGCCATATCTTAATTTGTAAAAATTGAATTACCATTAATTCAAAGGCTATGACAGTTTTTTGGACAGTGAGGCACTTTCACACCAGCACCATAAAAGACGTTTTTTCAGAACTCCCATGCTTACACTTGGGTAAGCGCCAAGTGCACGAAACCCGGCAAATCTGCATGTAATGTAATGTTACAAACGACCATGTAGTAACTTGAAAGCAAGACTAATTTATTTTTTTGGACCTCCCCAGACAATTATAATTATCATCGAAAAGGATTGCAAAACCATTGATGAACACAATCTACAAAATTGTTGTCGATTATGCAACTTATGGTTTAGAAAAGGGTTAATCAATTATGATTTTTGGCACTTTACTCGAGGTTCAAAGGGTCTTAATCTCGAGTGGAATTATACACACTTCAAATTCAAGTCAGGAACAGTTGATGGAAAACTGAGGATAACTCAACAGCCAACAGGCTATTGCAATGCCGGTGCAATGCTTTTGCAATGCCGGTGCAATGCTTTTGCAATGCCGGTGCAATGCTTTTGCAATGCCGGTGCAATGCTTTTGCAATGCCGGTGCAGTGCTCTTGCCACTGTGTAGGTTCCATTCCTGCCGGAGGACCGATAGTTGACTCCATGAACTGTTCTCCATTAACTCTTCCTGGCTTGAATTTGAAGTGTGTATAATTCCACTTGAAATTAAGACCCTTTGAACCTCGAGTGAAGTGCCAAAAATCATAATTGTTTTCCACTATTCTAAACCATTTATGAAAATTATTTTTAGAAAGTCTGAGAAAGAAAACATTGTGAATCAGCACAGGAAATCAACTAAAAAGACAAACATATATAACCGACACTCACTCTTTATTTTCTTCATCATTAAATATATCGGCCCATCGTTTCCTCATTTGTGCAGTTGTACTCCCATCCATACGGAAGTAGTCACACCCACGACACCAGTCTTCCGTATTACCACCAATTTCTCCACCGCCAAGCGCCATTTCAATTACATCCAAAGAGATCAAGCTATGACTGAACACTATTACCTTCTCTTCTAAAGCTGCAGCATCAGCGAGAATCTCCAACAACAACACAATCTTACTACCGAGTTCAACATTCGTTTCATCTTCTTCAGTAAGAAATTGATCGTACCATTCTTGTTCTATTTCTACTTCCTCTTCCTGTACCTCATTCATTTCTGCCGCTTCTTTAAACTCAAAACCAGACCGTAATGTTGACGAAACCATGACTTTCTTACCAGAGTTAGCTTTCTCATTCACAGGAGGTTTTACTTCTATAACATCATCATCGTTGTCGACAAGAGAATCTTTCGAAGTTGACGGTCCGCTAGGCTCGATTTTAATCTTCTTCTCGGTCTCTTTCCTATCTGATTGTTTTTCAGCTCTTTGTTTACCTTTACTGGGCGTCGTTTGTTCATCACCGTTGTTTTCCTCCTTCTCTTCAGAAACGCTCTTTCGATTCTTCTTTTCCTGGCTTTCTACATAATTGAGAATCACTTACATTTCAAATTTTAAGAATCACCAATATTTCAAATCCTCTAGCGAGGCACAATTATGGCTGGTGTAGAGCACGAAAATTAAAAGTGGGATTTACCTTCACCGTTGTCGTTATCACTGCTGTTATTATCTGATGTCCAGGACATTTCTTCACTGGACATTGCACTTTCATCATCATCAATGAAATCCTTTAAACTACCATCTGTATCTGTATCGACAAAATTCTCAGTTCTTCTGAACTCTGTTTCAAGTTTTAGAGACCAAGGATGAGTCCAAATGCGCATTAATGCTTGGTAGTCTGCGAACAATGACCCACCTGAAAAGACAAAACGATAAGTGTTGAACATTAACGTGGCACGTATAAATTTACTATTATTGAAATATTAAATTCTTGTGTTATGTTCTAAAGCTAATATTCACTTACAAATAAACAATATGTATTAATACGTAATAGCAATTAGATAATTATGATAAAATGAATATTTTAAAGAATGTACGTGTGTAAAAAGGTAGCCCTAGCTACAGTGTGCTTTTTTCTACCTGTACGGATTCCTCGACGTTAATAAAACGTTTCTGGATGATGTTAGTACAAACCTCTTCCTTTAACTCCTTCCTCGGTACTAAGAAATGTTTCCAGGTAATACTTATACATTTCACGTTGCTTTTCTGCCAGTCTGATTTTGATTACATATTCAAACTTTGGTGGAAGAAATCTCTGGATTTCGGAATAATCCTTTCTCTGATAAGATAAAAATATCGACAGCTAAGACTGAGAATTCGTTAATGACAAAGAACGAAGTGATGAGTTTCAGCTTTTCTATAGAGAAGAGCATCAAACAGCCATTGCCGTAAGGAGGATTTTGGGTTTCGCTTCAGGGACGACCAAACAATGTCAAGGGAGATTGCCGTAAGCAAGTTTTGGAATAAATTTCGTGAATTATAAAAATGAAAAAAATACTCCAGTCATCAAGATACAGTAAGCGATCATTGGTACACACATGAATGCACAAATTTTAATGCGAGTTTCATTACACAATTTCTACCACTTGACCCTCATTCTCTATAATATCCTTTGCATGCTGCATCCTTGAAAAACTTTGTCACACAAACATATTTGCTTGTTGACAATTACCTGAATGCAGCCTTCCAACATTTTATGAAGAACATGACATCTTCTTTTCATCAACTGTACATCTGCCACAGTGGAATCAGCACACTGGCCATTTTCAATCGGACGTATGAAACTGTTGGAAAATTCCTTCAGCGTACCCAGCAGATTTGGTTTGACAAAACTAGCCATACAATGATCTAGAAACATATATATGCATGCAATTACATGTATATTTCGGACCGCAAGAAAAAAATTACCTTTTTATGTCGTGTATACTCAATAAGTGTAATGGGGAAACTACAATTTTACCGCACAAATATATGGCTCAAATGGCAAGAACCAAAAACTTGCAAAAAGAATATTTATCTTTCTTAAAACTTACATTCCACTAAGTTGTTCTGGAGTGGTGTTCCTGTGAGGACAATCCTTCGCTTGGTTTTTATTTTATTCATAGATATGGATAGAGCAGTCTTGTAGTTACGAAGAACATGGCCTTCATCACAAACGACTAATTCTGGACCTTAGGTGAAAAGAGCATTGGTTGCAAAATAGCCATTATGAATACAACAGTATCGTAAGTGCTAAAAAGCACAGCGGCCAAATAACCTGTTAGTCAAATACACTGAGTTAAATACACCGATTGTTGAAAGTCGGAAGGTTAATTTGTAGATGATCACATCTACAGTACTATGGAATTACCGTACCTACGATCAATTTTTCAACAGTTGACTAATTATTATTTTATATTTTTTCAAAGAAAAATTAGAGAGAGATTAGGGGCGAGCAAGCAAGAAGCACAAAAAATGCAATGCTAACGCAAATCGAGCTTTAAACAGCAAGTCCTTATATCTTAGCATAGCCGAAAAAACAAAAATATATTAGCTAAAACAAACCTGGATCAACAAGACTCTCTTGATAAATTTTCTTTTGATGTTTACTCTTGATTCGAGCACATTGCGATAAGCTGCGGTACATGTGATATCCCATGATTAGAATACCACCATGTTTCATCCAGTTATTCAACATGTCGGCACGGTCCCAGTTGCCTGACTTCACTTCATTAAGTACAAAAACCTTAAAAGGAATGATCCACGATGAACCTTCACGTGGGTTCAGATAAATAAAAAAATAGACCTTAAAAGTCTATTGTGCTTGCGGTTGTATAGATGAGGTTACTGCAACATATCATATATAAGAATCCATGTTAGGCCAGGCAATACATTTTGGAATAACTAATAACAATTAATTATAAATATCCACAAAACAGAACTATTTATCAACTTTGACTAAGTGCCTTTGTCTTCGTATTTATACTCGTGTTTTGTGTGTGGTTGTTCGACCTGTGCAGAGTGGAGGTGGACTCTTCCGAAGGAACAAAAATGAAAGCAAGGCAGTTTGATCAAAATTAAATAAAACCATTGCACTGCAGTGTTGACAAACACCTAAACGGTGTAAATTATTGCAGCAGTATGAGCACCGAAATGGTTTATTTACGCTATTCATCGGTAAAATGTGGAATACTATCAACAATGGTGCAATATACACCATCAGCGTAACTAACATATTTCTCAGGTTTTATTTCTACGCCTATTTAGTGTAAATGTTCTCGCAGCAATATATGGACGTCGACTTGGTGTATAACATCATGATGTTGCGGAGGCGAGGTCTATTGATCCTTCGTGTCAACAGGGGAAAGTGTATCAACTATCAATCTCAAATTACTGTACAAAAACCTGATTGAAAGGGTTGACGCGTAACCTGGGCAAGACTGCGCGGCAAACTAGTAAAACGCTAGGCCGGATTACACGCCAACCCATTCAATCAAGTTTTTACTTCATAAAATAAAAGGTTTTTCTTTGTACACAACGAAAAAAAGGTGAAAAGGTGTTAGAGGGTCTAAAATTTGCAACAAAATTATTTCTCTAAACCAAATTTTTAGCAGTAAAATATAATTATATTCTTACATCCAATCTGTCATCAACACTGAGCCATTTTTCAAACTCCACTTGCCAATTCAACACGGTGTTGAGAGGGCAGACGACTAATACACGTCGTAGTTGGATAAGATTACTTCGGTACAAAGTATGGACCAATGTTACCACCTAAAATTGTAAGATGTGAAAATATGTAAACGATTTGTTTAATACTTGTATATAAGATCACAAAATAAATAAATGTAAATAATATGATATATTCAATCTTACTATGCACATCCTTTATTACTAAGCACAACTCTTGGGATTTGACATTCGTTTGGAATATAATTAAACCATTGAACACATCCGGCATGATGTGGGAAAACAATTTCTTCACTGATTAGGTCAATTACATTTCTTATTTTTAGATTTTAGGGTTTTTTCAATTTCAGTGAAAATTTGTATATTTCTTTGGCCTGGTGCAATCGAGCAAGATGACCATAATTACGCATTTCTAAATGTCGAAAGCTTTCCAGAAGACGCCTAAACTGATATGAACGTGATATTGAAATAATTTATTTTGTAATATGTCACCTGTAATGTCTTTCCAAGTCCCATAACATGAGCCAGAATACATCCTCCTCCCTCCTCGTTCTTCTTCCATCGTTCAACGGATTCCACCGTGCAATCATACATAAACTTCACGCCTTCAACCTGATGCGGCTTAAGATGCTCAATTAAATCCTGTTGAACTTCTACCAGAGGTGTTTTCCCATCGGGTTCGTATTCCAAGACTAGCTCTTTGACATGAAAAGTTTGCGGTTTTTGGAACTCTGTGTTCTTCGTCTTCTCCAAAAGTCGCTGTCTTCTTTCTTCCTCCAACTGACGAGCATGTCGAGTAGCTTCAGCCAACTTCTCATCATCTAAAATCTTTCGAATTTTCCTTCTTCCTTTTTTCGATGGAGAGACATTTTCTTCATCACTTTCGTCATCATCGTTATCATCAATCTTTCGTTTGCGCTTAATTTTACTTTTTTTCTTTTTATCCACCTTTTTCCTAGATTTCTTTTTTCTTGCGTCCTCAAAATCAAAATCACTACAACTGCTGTCACTGTGCTTTCCTCTTAGACGCCATTTTCCCTTTATCTTGCCTTTTACATTTTTCTTCTTCAATCGATTCTTTGGAGAACTCACCACATCACTTTCGCTTTCAGTGTCTGTACTTTGAGACAACTGCCTCATTCTCTTTTCGCCTCTCGTCTTCTTTCTTTTAACACTGGCTTCACTGGTATCGCTTTCACTAGACTCTGTGGTCTCATCTTCATCTGTAACTTCATTTGTAACGTCATTTGAAGATGTCCTTGCCCTTCTATTACGTTTTCCCTTTTTTTTGCAGCTTAATGACACAGGATCGTCTTCAGAATCACTATCGAATCCCTTCCTGGCCGATTTAGACTTTCTTTTCCCCTTATTACCACGATTATTCTTCTTTGAATGACTTAGCTCTTCCCCAGAGCTGCTATCTACATGATCATCAGGTTTCTTTTTCTTGTTTCCTCTTTTTTTTGGAGGTCCGTCGCTATCTGTTTCTGCATTTTCGCCATCCTTAACTGTCGTTTTTGCTTCATCATTCTTTACATCTTGATCTGAAACTTGCCGATCATCCTCGCTAGTAGATTCGACAGTCAAAACAATCGTTTTATTTCCATCATCTTCTAACTCCTTTTTTACGACCATGTCGTCGCTTTGCTCTTTCTTTGTGTTGATAGTTTCCTTTGAAGGACTAATTTCCTTGTCAAAGTTCTTGGAGTCTTTCTTCGTTGAATTACTGTCTACCTTACTTGTTACAGCATTTCTAGGCAACAAGGTTGTCAAAATATTTCGTCTCTCGCTTATGCTTGGGGCATTTATGAATCCTCTACCTTTCGTAACTTTGTAAGGGCTAGTTTGAGCTTTTTTCTTATCAAGCACACGCATAGCTTCGTCACACAATTCAACAAGTTCTGATATAGGCGTTGGATCACAACAGAAACAACTCCACTTTTCGCTTTCATCAGCTTTGAGCAATTTCACTAACTTGTTTCTTCCTACGTTTCTGCTAATGCATTTCTTGCAAAACGCTTTCTCGCAGAAGTCACAGCATATAAGTTCACCGCCATCAGCACACCAACGACAGAACTCTTCAACACCATATTCATCTTTAGTAAATTTGCCACTGCTGTAGAATTTGTAGCATTTCTAAAGATACAAAAACCCAAATGAGACAGAAGTACAAATAACAAAGACCATGCAGACAATTTCAAAGTTGTTATTCAAGCAATTACAAATTTATAACGAAGAGGCATTCGTACACGAGCCTTTGAATAGTTTCATCAAAACTGAAGTATATTCTATTGTACACATTGTACACATGCTATATTTTTTGAAACATGACAAGATGTCTCCACATCTGACACAACATTGGTTTGCTTCTTGGTTCTAAATAAATATGAACTGAAGTAACCAGGACTAGTGATCCAAAGATAGTGCAAAGTGTCAGTGCTCTCCCGATACCTAGGCAACTGGACGTCTGTCGCAACATAGAAGATTTTTTACTTCAAAATCTAAAGAAGCAGGTTAAACATAACCCCGAATCAGACGTGATCAATCGGAAATTTTATTAGTCATATTCCAATTGCTCAATACAGCACTGCACACGAATATGGCGAAATTTGCATGCTTCCTCTAGCAGGGTTGAAGTATATTTTTAATAAATATTTGTGATGTGATAAATGTAGATGTGAATTAAAGAGTTGGAATTGTATATGGTAGATTGTACAAATTTTATTGCCAAAGCGCTAGCTTGGAGAAATCATAGTCAAAAGTACTCAAATTACGTTCGACGCGATATTGTCATTGTTGAATTCTATTTTTAGTTGCTCATGCGAAGGTCGCGGTTCAACTGCGGTGTATGTATATGAATGATATATAATGCGATGTTTCTATTTATACATTTGTAAATCGATCGCAATAAAATAAAAAGCAATATAGTTATATGCCTGGTCTAACGCTTTATACACAGTCGTTTTATAATGCCGGAATAGACAATGTAAATATTCTGTGATACGTTAGGCAATAACGTTCTGTGATATAAATATTCTGTGATACGTTATACGGCAATATAAACATCTGAATTGTTTCAAAATTTCAAAATAACATTGCAACAGTGCTGTTCCTTTTCATCTCTGTATAATACTGAAAATGATTTTAGTACTGCGCAGGATATCCGAGCTTCATAGAATCAAATACGTATACAGAATATAGCGTTGTTTCTTCCTAACTCTCTGTTTAATCAATATATCGTCCAAATTATATCTATGCCTTACTGAATGCTCGTAATGTATAATACAAAACTATAAATTGCGTAGAATCTCGAGAGCTTACTCGATTTTTATGTCACAAATGTTAGAAGCAACACTCTGTCGCTCCTTGCGTTTTCCATTGCGAATACTGATCAAGCCACGATGGCCGTCATGGCACATGCGCATTTGCGATATTCGAGAAAAAATCGGGTGTTCCGGGGGGCGGGTAATTTTCCTCTAAAACAAAACCATTACCACAGAGAAGCAATATCGTTAAATTCACAGCCTTTACAGGAACGAAATAGATATGAACTATCTATTATAAATAGATATGAACTATCCACTCTTATATGAACTATCAAATTAACCCCCTGGAAAGTTTACCCTATGTACAACTGAGTTGTTTGAATTTTCGCCACTGATCACAATACTGCATGCACTAAAAATCTGAAATATAAACTTTACATTTAATTTTTTACAATCACGTGGACAAAACTTCGTACCGGTAATAAACAGGACCGGGACACAGACCTGACTAGACATAACCTTCTACATAAATAAATTGTTGATCAGCTTATTACCTTGCATATTACAGTGTTGAGATCTGGATGTCGGCAGAATTTTCCACCCTTAATAAAGACCTTTTCATTACAAGCAGTACATTTAACTTTGAGAGGTGGCATATCTATAAACATATGAAATTGGCTGTTAGCATTTCTGAAACCAACCATAGATGGATAATGATGTACCAAACTTCACCATGCATGATACTCATAGATAATTTTGTGAATAATGCAGCAATCAATAGTGTAAAGAACAGTGTAAAAAATGAATAGTGTAAAGAACAATTCGAAATAAATTCAACACAAGGATGTGTAGTCCTGATTGAGTTAAATAGACATTTCAAAAAAGTAAATTACCCACCATTATTTTCCTTTGAATTATTTGCATTGGGGTTGCCTTTCTGTTTTAATTTATCTTCAATTTGATTGTCCACCTCTTCAGGTGAATCTTCAAATTCATCATCTGATGAAGAAGATTTAACAATATTTTCTTCGTGGTTGGACAAATCAATTGTGAGCTGCTCTGAGGTTACTTTAGAAGTCTTCTCTGGCTTTCTATAAAATAAAAAATAATATGTACAAATTACACAGGAGAAAAACAAGTGGTAAATAATTATGTGGTAAATAACTATGTAATCTTTCAGATGGACAGAGTTTTGTTTTGTAGGGGGTACAACCACATACAAAGATTGTGAATGTTTCTCTAAACAGTTAAATATTGTTTTTCATTAGTATTCGGTATTTGCAATATTGATCCACCCTACTATATTACTGGCCTTATAATTCTTTAAAGTACAAGTATATACCTTTTTGATCTCCTAGATGATAGAGGTTCATCAAACACATCAACACCATTATTATCAGCCTCCAGGTCTATAACATTAGCTGGAACATTTTCTTCATCCTGAACAACATTGTACAGCAAAATTAAATTCATGCAGTTACCTCCAGGGGTGGATCCAGCACTAGTGCACTAATTTGCATTACAAAACAAAATGGCTATTTTGAGCAGTTTTCTTGTGTCATGCAAATTAGTGCACTAGTGCTGGATCCACCTCTGGTTACCTCTACAATCTACAGATTATGTGACCCATGTATGGTGATGTAAACTGTTTAGAGTACAGAATTTAAACACTTTGTTTTCTTAAAATAGAATGCACTTTATGAAAAGCTTATATCATTTTGTTCACTTTGCTCCTAAATGAATATGAACTAGAGTTGAACTAAAGTTGCAACCACACTATCAGGATGTACTAAACAATGTTGCTTGGATGTGCTAGCTGGTACTTTCAGTGGGATTAAGAAAAATCTTCCATGCTTTACTAACATGGTATTAAACTCATATATATAAACTATACCCACCTATAGCCACCAAAATTGTCATTAAATTAATCATATAAATATATACACCAGTATACCTCAACAACTACATTTTCATGGCTTTCACCCCATCGTTTTTTTGCCAGGTTTGAAATAACATTAACCAACTTCTTTTGGCGCCTAAACAACATCAACCATTGACATCAGACTGTCCAACCGTCTATTCAATCAATGCTCTAATATGATGAGTAAAACAACAAAAAGAACAAAAGAACTACTTACCTTTTCTTATCTTTATCATCTTTATTCCTCATTGAGGGTATAATTTAGGGGAAAAGATGGGTAAATACAACTAGAAATCAGACAAAAATCCAACGACAGCAACTTACACCAAATCACAATATCCCTTCCTTTTTTCCCGCTCCGTCACGATTTTCGCGCCTGCGCCGCAGTGCATTAAACTACCCGGATGAAGATGACTAGTGCTCTCTAAAGCTATGCAAATACATGCAAAACGGAATTCGGCAGCATAATTTTGCGTAATTATTTTAAAAATATTGTTCGCTTTTGAAGGCGGTTTTCAACAGGGCTGAATTTCTCCATCGAACAAAACTTTTCAGATCAAAATTTAGTGTAGTCAGAATATATCGTTCTTTCAATAAAATCCAGCTATTCAAAGTACTACAGGAGTTTCGTAATGGTAGAAATGTAACAAGTCACTACTCGATTTATTTCAGAAAATGTCAACATCTCATGAGAAGAATACCATATCCCAGCTTCGGCAATCAAACCGTACCTATACATATTTTCAACTGCCCTTTTTATTAACCCCAATCTCTGGATGCTTCCTACGCCCCTGGGTTCGTTATTCTGAAAGTACTTGGGGGCTGAGAATAAATGGAGGCAAAGTGTCGCTGGATATATACGTTTATTCACATTATTCACATTTTACATACATATAATAACATTATATAAATAAGATAGTATGCGGTACCCGCACTGACCGGGCTGCCTATGATTTTACACACACAAAAAGGACTATGCAACCCATGCAAGCTTTTCTTTGACAACTACAATCATTGAAGGACAGTTTTTGGGTCGAAATTGATCTTATTCGAAAAATACCGTCGTTGAATAATTTGAACCGGTAGTTCAAAAAGTAAAAAAATTCTACTAATCACGCTTCTTGATTGTGCAAGAATTCATCTTCCGAACTAAAAATTTCATGAAATAAAAACTGGGAGATACCAGACGTTTTTCAGTAGAGCTTTATGCCTAGCTTGAAAGATGACCAAAAGTGACGATGAAATCGGAAATAAAGATCACATGCTTTTGCCATTGAGTCTTAAGGAGTTAAGAATTAAATTTATCCATAGTATATTCTGATAAGTCGTTATCCTTATCGAAGATAAACAGCGAACACTTCTGCGGTGGCGACTTTATCTAAACCAAACATTTAAAATGCATTAATATTAATGTATTGTAAAAGATTCGAATTGTGTACTAAGTAGTCGCTATTGGACCTGTTGCTACCATCGCTCGCCAAGAAAATGCATTGCGTGAACACAAAACCACTTGGCAGTCGCATTTCTTTACGGTGCAAAGTAAAAAACAACAACTTACCCATTTGATTCCAAGTTACAGATGTATTGCTGTTACTATACTGAATTGAATTTCTTGGAAAGCGAGTATCCCAGACACATACACCAGAACGACCAATATAGAACCACCCTACATCATAATCACAAGTATTATAGTAGCTATTCATGAAAAACGAGCGACAGCCAGTGTGTATACACCACCCATCTATTCCAAAGATGTTTATAGGAGATGAAAAAATATCTTTCCATGGAGATTGTTGTAAACGGTGTACACTAAACCAATCGGTGTTGTTTGAAGCAATGACGTTAAATTTCATCACGACCAGCTCCTTGGTTTGGTTGTAGAGTACCACACGAGCCTGTTCAATTTAAATAAATGAACGATAGCTTAGTCCGGAATAAGAAGCCTAATTTCACATCGAGTTAAATATGTGAGAAATACATGCATGCAGTTGTTGTTTGACAGCTAACTGAGCCGGACTAGCATTTCTCCTCCCCAAGTATTAATACAGCCTAACTAGTCTGTTTTATGCAAATAAGTGGCTATCTGGTTGGTAGTGGCACAGTCACTCAAGGAATGGCGTTTGTTAGCCATTCCTTTACACCGCATTTGATGACAAGTTACCTCAACAGGATTAAACATTTTCCAATGGAGTACAATCCGGTTTTTATAATGATGTTTGAAGGAATTATCTTTATTCAATGCTTCCAGTGAATGTTCTTTATACGAGAGAGAATCTTTCCAAATATCTTTTATTATTCCTGATATGCCAGCAATCGTTTTGAAGACGAGAGTCCAACCTATACACGAATATTTTTAATGATAATTTACTCCTCCCTTCCGATCGTCTTCAGTAAATATGTGTGACAATAAAATCGGGCAGCGGTTACGTATACTTACCACCGTTTTTCATATCACAATATACTGGAAAAGTCTGATGGATATCTAAAACGTATGGTATATGGATGGTCAGTTTAACGCCTTATAGGCAAACTGTTTATTCATAAATTCATAAAACCAAGCGTATCACGTTGTAACTGAAATGGCTGTAAAGCAGCTATGTTATAAAGTAATTTTTTATTTGTAAATTCTTACTTGTTTCCAAGGTTATCCAATATATCTCATCTTGAATATCGTCGTCAACACATCTTTTCACCAATATGTCTTTGCAAGATCGTCCAGGATTTTCTTTTGATCCATACTGAATAAAAACAATTTTGGTAAACGCTTTAGTTTCGTAAGATTCGGAAGTTTCTGTTTATGCATGTAATGTGTAAATTCTAGGCAGCTCATAAATCCTAATCGATGGGAATAATAAGATATTGAAGGTGTTTGTGTGGAATAGAAATATCATAAGTTGGATATCTAGGATAACATGGAGAGATATAACTGTGGAGAGGATAAAGAGTGACATATTTCTATTACAGTACTGGCCAAAAATAACAGCTAACACTATATTGGTAGCTGTTATTACCAACCCACAGTCACTAATAACCGTTTATAAGGAGGGTCTTCAGACTTACTAAGGCAATACGGTGAGTCTGAAAAAATGTCCATTCAGGTGCTGAACAATGTTGATTGGCATGTATGCTGTCCCTGAAGGCGCAGTTACTCAGCTGACAGTTTGTTATGCCCACTCTTGTGGAACTGTAGCCGTATCCAACGCAATTTTTATGGCGATCACAAAGTAATGCGCATCCAACATGTGATGTGACCGAGTCACATCGTGTACACGATGTGTATCATGTGTACACGAGCAGTCATCTATGATAAATAAACAATTGAACCACTTGCACTGCCTGGGACGAAATATAGCTCTTTAAAATATAGCTAGCTAGAAAATCTAAGCAAAAAGCCAGATCTAGTTCATATGATCCTGCTCACCGGGACGTCTCGCTTGCCCATGATCTCGTCTTAATTTTACTAATAAAACTTTAATCATCGCGATTCATACTGTACGAGGAGACGAAGGTCGAACTGTCCTGCTAGCTGTGATCTCGCCTCTGAGAAGCGAGATCAGAGACAGGATGAATCAATGCCCACATGAACACGCTATCCAAAATGAAATCCAAACACAACGATATTTATAGCTCGTTTTACGTTTGGGTTAGCAAAATTATCGCTTGAGTAATGTCCTATGATAAAAAACCATTTGTACCTATTTCAAAATCGAAACTCGTATCCAATGCGTGGGCATAGTCAGTATACAACGAAAAGAATGCGTTCCAAATTATTTCATCGCATACTACTTTTTTAATTGGAAATATGGTTCTGAATAGGATATTCTGAAAAAAATACTGAAAATACTTATAGATTTTTCTCGGTGCCTTGAACTGAAACATCAATTGTGTGCATTATTCCTACTTTTTACTTGAACGTTACATACTAAGTGATATATTACTTTACTTTCTTACCTGTACCAATTTTTCGAAACATATTCGCAGTAGAATACGCAACAACTAAAACACAGAAGAAAAGGCGGAAGAAAATCGCAGATTTTGCTAAAAACAATGTTCGGGCCATTGTCGAAAGACGAAGTGGCCTGCCCTGTCGCAATGTAGAGGACTCCGTGCTCAGTGCTCTTTTAGCTATCCACACGACAAATTTAGACTTTTTTTGTAAAACTGAAACCAATTATTTAACAACGTTATCTGATTGGTTAGTTCAGACGTGACATCTTGCAATGTTTACAATTAAGCGGTTAGGCTATAGCAGTCGTGCCGCATGTGTATAGTCGCAATTAACATTCCTCGAGCCTGTTTGTCATTAAAGGCAATTAAGTCGAAAACCCAGATGCTTTGCAAAACTGAATTATCATTCCTTAACTTTCATATGGCACTGGAAATTTTTAAGTATAATTATTAGTACTATCATTTTACAATTTTTACAGTTTTACAAAACAAAATTTTACTTCAGTTCACGTCTCTGAATTTGTATCTTTCATTATTAACTATTTATTAAACAAGTAATGGCCCGCATGCAGTGTGACCTGCAAGGCCATTAACAACAACATCTGTAACTGTGCATATGTAAGGATGGTTCTTATGGGTTACCCCATTTCCCAACTGACTTACATAATATTAGGTCCTACTAAAATAAACTGGTTGAAAAAATTACAATAGGATACATAAGCCTTATAGGTCTCTAAAATAGGTTTTCATGCTTGTAAAGATGCAATTGAAGTTAATTAAGTGGTTAATTAATTAGCTATTATTGTCTGATTGGTTCGTGGTAGTTCGGATATGACCGATCTTGCCATGTTTACGGAGTAATTCAGTAGTATTATATATAACTGGCGCCGCGGACTAGCAGTCATGCTGCGTTCTGCGAAAAATATACCCCCAAAAAATGCCCCATTCGACAATTATAGTCGAAAATACAAATGCCTTGTAATCAAGTAGACCGACCACTTCTTTTCGTATATAAGTTTGACAAAAGGCGTCGCAAATTTTAATCGAACTAATAAAAGGCTCTGGGTAAAAAAGTAAAATTTTTTAGTACTTCTTTCATTATTAACTTTTTCTTGAACAATTAATGGCAGGCAGTTTGCCGACTAATGCTCTTAGTAAAATTATGATGTAATTATGTAAGTGTTCTATCTGTTGCCCCATTTCCCAACTCGAAAATTATTTTGGTCTATTGGTATTATATAGGTATTACTAAAAGTATCTAAACTGGTTGAAAAACTACAATAAAATAAATAAAACAGGTTTCTAAAATAGGTTTTTTACTATATGCTTTCTTTAATTCCCATATATATATATACCGACTAAACAACTAATATCGTGGGATGAATAGAAGAAGACTCTTTTTGTAAAAATGCAATTGCAGTTAAGTGGTTAAACAACGTTATCTAATTGGTTCGCGGTAGTTTGCACCTATAATTGCCATGTTTACATATTACAGAATAATTCAGTCGTGTTATATTATTAATGGTGCCGCGCCGTCGGACTAGCAGTCATGCATGCTTTTGCAAATAAACGCTGTTAATAAGTGGCGCCGGTGTAGCAGTCATGCTGCGTTACTGCGAAATGCGAAAAATATGCCCGAAAAATGCCCCATTTGACAATTACTTCGAAAATATACTAATGCTTTGTCAAGATACAAATGCCTTGTAATCAAAGTGGAGGCCGGCCTATACGCAGCTTAACTGGAATTGCATTTTTACAAAAATAATTTTTTTACAAATTGCATTTTGACAAAATTTTTTCGCAAGTAAAGTTTCAAGTGTTTACGGACAAATTTATTCACTCCAGTTTCTGGGTTTGACAAATCGTCGCGAATTCGAAGATCAACTCGATTATGTAAATTTCTCTGGCTGAAAAAAGTGAAGTAAATTTACCTTGCAAAGGAAGACTTCTAAAGAGAAAACGGATGTAATGCAAAAATGGAAATAGCGCGTTTTAGCGTGTTTACTTCATAAAATTATCATTCATATAGCTTCGACATTGAAATGAGGTATTTTGAAGTTTGATTTCCGACGGCAACGTTGAATCGAATTTTGTGTCATCGAATTTTGCGTTGAAATCAAGTGCCACCCCGGTGCAATGATATATTGATTGTTACGATTACATAGTAAGTCGCGTATATGAACGAATATAACATTTGTGCGTACGAGGATACAGTACATGCGAACTAACACGGAGTAAATTTTAAGTCGCAGAATCAGCACATGCGCATGCTGATTTCGATGCAGTGTATAGTCAAAGTTTTACTCAAACAACGCCATATATTTACATAAATTTCACCATTACTTCCACTTTTGCATCTGCAATGACAAAATTTCCTTAGAATATTCCGGGCCAGTCCTCACTCTATTTCGAGAGGATGGAGCACGATCGTTTCTATATAGAAAGAAACAGCATGTCTCAACAATGCCAATGAGCCATACGACAGGCCCGCTTGCATGCATGTGTGTCCGTCAGGCTAGTTCTGAAACTTTTAATGTTAACTCTCTAATGACTAACGTTAAGGAAAAATCATTACGTTTACTTTTTATACCTTGCATGCTTGATAAAATTTTGTTCAGCATTTCCCCGACCATTTTAAATCCTGGTCTTTGAAACGGATCAGCATTCCAAGAACACGTCATTAAGTCGTATCTGTTCGGTATAAGCCGTGAGGTAATTAAATTTTTAAACTCAAAAGTCGTAACGTTATATAAATGCTTTCAATTATTTAAAACACTGAAATAAATAGAGAACTTGGATGGTTGGATAGACGAGGATACATATATATAGGTATAAGAGTTGATGTTCACATGTCATAAATATCAGGTATCGACATACATTTCATTTGGGCAATATAGTGGAGATTCCATCCTGTTTCCATTGCACAAGTACTCACAAATATCCACTGAGTGTATCCCGGGATATGGAGAACCCCCTGCAACAAAGAATACATACGTATATATAGTACTATGAACAATCTAAGCTGTTCCGTAAGATATACGAAAAACTGACCCAAGAATCAAATTCACATACCGAGGGTAAACATTTCCCAAAGAACAATACCAAATGACCATCTTGAAATAAAACAAACAGACGAGCTAGTTACATAACAAGGTACAGCAGTAACATCTGAAATATCTAAAGTGAAATGCGGTCAAGCAGAGAAGAGATATAAGCAAAGCAAGAAGACCATGGTAGGCATTTAGAGGAAATATTACGAGGAAAATAACAAGCGTCTTGGAAGACGTCATTTTACCCAAAAAAGGTCACTGAAATGCAGATTTCACAATCACAAAAGATGGGCTTATAAATACGAGGCTCGAAAGTCATGATCTAAGAATTCCATTTTCGTGTTCAAACTATTTTCCACATATTTCTTTGACCAATTTGCCTATGAACTTGTATTTTCTTGCCCATACATAGCCCGTGAAAATTGAAAAAGAAATGGCCTGAATCCAATCAATTCAATGAGTGGTTTGAGTGGTTAAATTTTAAAAACCAACAATTTCGTGGCGGCCATGCATCTTCATCAGTCAAAACGTCAGTAAAATTAATGTATATTGAAAAAATTGGCATCATACACGTCTGACTTTTCCGAGAACACACGATCTCGTAATGCTTCAACTGACATCCATTTTACAGGAACTAGCCCCTGAAAAAGAAGAAACACTATATAACTACCTATTTTTCTTAGGTATATCTGTCTGCGAAACATTGTTTTGCAAAGCAATGGATAAGATTTACTCCGATGTCAAATTGCTAACTGACCGATTTTTTCTTAAGATAGACACCACCCTTGTAAATATTACGCGCAAGGCCGAAATCAGCAATCTTCGGGACGAAATTCTCACCCATCAAAATATTCCTTGCTGCTAAATCACGATGAATGCACTAAAAATTTAAAAAAAGAATTTACCATTTTTTCATATATGATCAGTTACATATAACTATGTGGTATATCTTAATGTGTCATTACTATGGCACCGAAGTGTAATAAAATCTTCAACAGGCCACACCTTTCTCGAAATCAAGAACTCCATTCCGTTTGCAACCTGGACAGCAATCGCTACAAGATCACTTATACTCAGTTTGCTGTTAAAATCTGAAGTTAACTTCAACCACTCGGCTTTATACAATTCTCGTCTGCTTCTGAGAAATTCAGACAAATTACCATACGGGCAGTATTCCATAATGATCCACGTTTTACTGCGATGTCCTACAATATGCACATGGCTCCTCTAATTTCCTTCTATATATGAATTTTTCCTATATTCAGGTGGGTTCAGTATCCGGCAAAACACAAACATGCATGATATGGCGGGTCAAAGCGCCAGAAAATTCTACAAACCGGCGAATGCTTATATCAGTTCATATTCGATCAACCTAAAAGATTAACAGGGGCGTAGGAAGCATATTTAAGTTGGGGGCCATTAACGTCTAGGGCACTTGCCTGATGAAAAGGGCATTTAACATTGGCACGTATTATTGTATACTGTTAAAACGTCTTACATGGTAATGAAACATAGAAACAAGTATCATAGTTCTATATCATTAAAACTTTCAAAAAAATTTAGAAAAATTCATAACAAGAGGGTAATACTTCATGTAGGGAGATTATATCCACTTGAGTCATCGTATTGTTAATCGCGGTAGCAAATTCAGTGCGGGAAGTACGATTGTACGAGTTCGCTATTTTTCATTTTAGCCTAAAGTTGAATTATATTGTTGCGTTGGCATCGACGTTTCCACAAAGAAAAAGGGCACTTTACCTCAGCAAAAGGGCACTTTCTCTGTGATTTTTAAAATTGGGGGGGCCTTGGCCCCCTTGCCCCCCCCCGGTTCCTACGCCCCTGAAAAGATAGCTTATCATTCTCTGTGTTCGTTACTCCATCCAGCTAGTTTGATTGATCGCATTGAAATATCAATGCGAGAGCAAAAGTGGGCGGGTTTAAGTGGATATTAACAGGTATATCTCCCTTGTTCTAAACCATGCATGGTTAAATAATCAACCTAATTTGTCAGCCAACACACGGTGCATCTCGTAAACAATCAATTATTCCTATTAAATACCGTTAGTGCAAGCAGCAAGTATGTTGACTACATTCTTATGTTTTCCAACGTGAATAAGAATTTTCAGTTCGCTCAACAGGTCCTCCAAATCACCTACATTCCAGTTATCTGTGAAATCAGGAAACAAGGACTTCTATTCAGATATCTAACTGCGAAGGTTTTTCAGGAAATATAATATAAGGCAATGGAAATATATCGATCATTCTTAACGAAATAGCTATGCATGTACATCTGAATTCCTTCATTCAATCCATATATATTGGATTCATTTTCATGATTTAATCCTTAGTGCATTTCTAAATCAGTAAAAATTTATCCAAACATTCAGGGCCTTAACTTTGTGCAGAGTTGGTAACTATACAAAAGTTTGCTCAATTAGAGAATGAATATTCACTGAGGAATTTCATACCATTAAGCATCTTAACTGCCGTTTCCGTGATTATCGGACAGTTCAGGTATGGATAACGGTTTCTGTTTACCATCTTTGTGAAAAACGTCCATCTTGATTCTCCGTTTAAAGCTCTCCGTGGATTAAAAGCTGATATACCAATCACTTTAGCTAGGCATACCTGGCCAAAGGCACCATACCCTAAAGTACGTTCTAAGAAAGAAAACACATGCAGTAGCTAAATATAGATAACACTGTTTCGTATAATGGTAAATATCAAGACGTTGAATCTAACTTTACATTTATTATTTTTTCATGTACTCTTAAAATGCCTGTAAAATGACAGTGATGACCAAGGGTGATGACTCACCGATAAAAACACGTTCTCTTGGAAACTCCCATTCGTCTAAATATGGTAGTTTCTTGGTTTGCTCCACGAGCAGTTGCGTCCCATCTATTCTTTCAATATAATCAGGCAATGGTGGATTGGTGAAAATATACAACTTTCCATAACGTTTCTTCCTTTTATAAAGAACAACGGCAATAATAAACAACAATGCAAACATAGCAGTGGCGATGCTCACGATTATTGCCACGTAAGCGTCGGTACTTTTCGATGTCAAATCTAAAACGAAAATAGATGACGTTGAAAAAGTGCTGTTGCTCATCCCGCGCATTCCGACATTTACTTGATGGGTTCTTTCGACTTAAAGCATATCCATATCAAAAGAAAAAGGAAATACTGGCCTGTAACCCCTTTCCTCCATATAGTCCACAGACGTTCATCTTTTCCGACAAGATTTTCTGCCTTACAACGGTAATTCACTCGTTCAGATGTTTGTGATTGGATAGTCAATATGCTTTTACGTCTAAATAAGTTCACTATATGTATAGCAGTATTTTGCAATTTTGACCAATGTGTACATTGAGAACACAGAGCATCACAAATACACTTTTCCCACACCAGGTTGGCTCGAGGAATTCCTTTTTCTATCATATAACAATGTAGTTTTAATCCTTTACGGAAAGCGTGTTGGCTAAGCTTATCATCCTTGTTTTCTGATGCTTTTATTATTGGGCTGACTAAAAATACCGAAATAGAAGTGAATGCAAGCGTGTTGATTTGTGTTTCACCGTGTCAAATATATATACACACATGACGTTTGAATTTCGAGAGTTTACCCCAACTGTAAACATTACCTTTCATACTTAGATTAACATAATCAAAATTAGTCCAATTGTACTTGCTGTGCTTAACACGACATTCATACCGTCCTTCATCAGTTTTACTGAAATTCTTGATCATCAGAATCTTTCGTGTAATATTGGATCTCTCTGAAGACGTAGCATCGACAGCAGGCAATTTGTGTCCATCTTTCGTCCACTCCATCATTACTGATCCATTACACTCACACATGACGGTGATGTTGATACCAGCAGTTTCATACTTCGGAATTTTTTCGTTGATTGTTGTTTTCATATAAGATATACCTCCTGCAAAATTTTACACATTCTCGAAATAAAAGCACAATGCTACTATGCCAAATGCCACAGTCAATTAATTATAGGAGAAAAGCTTACTTTCGTCGAATACGAAATTCCAGGTAAAACTGTCTTCACCCATTTCATTCCGTGCAATACACCTATAGCTGACGTATTGAAACTCTTGTTTTTTAATAACAAGAGAGCTATTCGATCTGGGCGACTCTTCTTTCAGTGGAAACCACCTTTGAGAATCATTGCCGCAGTTGAACAAGTTATTAACGCATTCAAACCATTCCCACTCTGGTTTTGGATTGGATTGACTAACTTCACATTTCAGATACAGTGGGCTATCCTGATCCACTCGCCTTTTTCTGTATTGGGTTTTATCCCGATATACCACAGGTTTCACTTTAAAAAAATAAGAAATATAAATCTCTTTAATTAAATAGTGACCTAATTTTTCTCTACACGCCTTTATTAAAATATCTCTATGACTATGAATAAACGCGAAGCCCAAACCAACTATCATATCACAGAAGCGGGTATCGCATCGTTTTAGTGAAAACGAGTAGAAAAACATCATTTTCAAAAGCTCTGTCAAATAGCGGCGATTCAGCTGATAACGAAATATTATAATAGTTCCCAAAAACGTCATTATGCAGTACTTGATATAATAATGAAATATAATTATGCCATAGACGATAGCTATACCTTCTTCAGCATTGAGGTAAATTCTGTCTTCAGCCTCCCAAAGAACACTCGTTCTCTGTGCTTTACATGAATAAACGCCGTCATCAGATTCTGTGAAACTTTCTATAGTCAAAGCCGCTATTTTTACCAACTCTTGAATCGTCATGTAACTGAGATGTTTAGATGATCCATCTTTATACCAGTCTAAAGTATAATGTCCGATTACCGTACACACAAGCCGTACCATCGTCCCATATTCAATGGCCTTATAAATCTTATTTGTTATATTTGGCCTTTGAAATGCCACCCCGTCTAAACGAAAAAACCAATAATCAATAACTGTTCACATACAATGAGAATATGACACAGAAGTCGCGGATGTAAAACGTCTACGACTAAGACAAAATTAATACTTACGGTTTTTATCAAACAACTGTACATCACCTTTGATGTTGTTCGTTTGACCGCAAGCCCGGCATTCGTAAACACCTTGATCAGAAATGCTAAGATTTGTTACATTAAAATATTGGCCACCGAATTTTCTAATTTTCTTCCCATTTGAAATTCGTTTCTTCAATTTACCAATTATATTGGTCTGCCACAACGAAACATTGGTAAGATTATTGTCCAACTGACAGTCGAAAACTATCCATTCGCCAAGATACAAACTCTGATCAATAGGATTAGCGGATTTCCATTGATTAAGTTCTAAATTTGTATAAGGTTATGCAGTGAGAAGTGAGAACAGAAATCAGTTAGGCTAGGTATTGGCTCAAGTCGTAATTGCCGGTGAAAAAATTTTTTCACCCTTATGAAATACAGAAATAGTCCGGATATATTTCAGTTTTTACTTTCTGTTTTCAATCACCGGCCGTATATCATGAAGTTGGACAACCGACAACTATGACAAACCTCATGACGTTTCAACCTTAAGCAGCTAGGGAGAAGCTTGGCAGCGTCTTCAAATAACTTAGCATCAAATGTGGTATAACAACTGCCTAAAATAGACAAAAAACACTTCTCGACCTTTCGACCTGAGGGAGTTAGTAACTCTCCTGACGAAGAAGTGTTTTGTCTTAATTTAAGCATCTTGATTTATCATTCAAACTCGGCTCCTGATAAAGGCCCGCCTGAATTTTTTACATAGTAGAAGTGCATGTATGTGCACTGCAGGGCAATAATTAGTTGTCTCGAAGACATCGTCATGACAAAACGACTGTTAGGGCATTACAAAAGTGTATGATGGTGGATAGTATACTATCGGTGCTATACTGCCTATTCACTAGTCACTAAATATTATGGAGGTATATAGTCTTAATGGTTTTTCCTTTTGAAGTAAAACACCATACTTTTTGAGTTTAGATCCCAACTTACTTTGGCTGCATTTTGTGTCAGCATAATGGAACATTACAAGAGTTGTTAATATGAAAAAAATCAGCATATTCTATGAAACAAGCAAACAGTTAGACATGAGTTCAATATACAATATTGAATTGCATTGTAAATTTGTCATATGTACCTGTCGATCTTTCTGGATCATATAGACGTTGGGACCAGCTAAGACTGCGTTGGCTTTTCTGAGCCCATCGTCTCTAATAAATACTCATCTTCATTTAATATGTATTCATCACCAGCATATGTCTTCCTTAGTTTTGTTTTCAGGGAACATCTGTGTATACATAAATGGCTTTAAATATACCTCTAAAGAAAGATAAAATATCAGGGATAATTGTATAAAAATACAGAAAGTTAAGTTACGAAGTTAGAAAAATTCTGAAAGCTTTTATGACTTTCAGAAAGTCAGGGGCTAGTACGAAAACATATTGGAAGCGGGGCGAAAGCACTCTCTCACATAGCAATTTTCCAAGTAAAGGGAAAAGACTAGCAGAACGGCAAATGAACTTTTCAGCCAGGGTCCTTTATCTTTTAATAGTCCTTATCTTCTTTATTTAATAACCACGATGGTCTGGCTAGAAAGGTTGCTGCACTTATGATTTAGAGAACGTCTTATCTTTTGGCTAGGGCATTTCGATGAAAATAAATAAAAACATAGGCATAGCTGTGTTTGCACTACGGCCAAATGCTCAGCAGTATTTGTGTAAAAAGCGTTGAACTCTTTGCTTTTTAGATAATTATTTAATTAAAAACACAAGTCACAAGCCAACATAGTTTACATGTTGGCTTCTCAATAGTGCCCCCCATGTGCAATAGTGCAACATTATCTGACCCGATCACATGACTTAATTAAGTGAATTAACCAACCAATCACATAAATTAATTTAGAATATAAAGTCTATTGTTTTCTACAATTTGCTTAGCCGAATAAAGGGATTTGGAGGATGAATATAAGTAAATTACCGCAAACTCCCCAAGCTAATAGCCATTCCGGTAATTAAGTAACATCTTAAATGAGATGTATTTCAAGTTTCGTACGAGAATATCTTTCTTCAGCACATGCATAAAAAAAACTTCATTTCCACTAAAAAATGTGGGAATAATGTCTCTAATACCCCATTTTTCACCAGTTTCGACATTTATTGCTCAAACACAGAGGAATTGTACGCGTTTTATGTACTACACACTTTAGTCTTTTGGAAAGAAAATCAGGCGAAGATTTCCCCTTGATCGAAAAATCTACTCACATCGTGAAAACTGAAAAGCCACCTGATACCGAAATGACGTAATGTCAGTTTGGTGGATGGAAAGTAGCCAAACGACAGAACTCATGCAAATGCACTGAATTGACTGAATGTTTCCACCATCTCCCATCTTACACAATATTAAATACAAATTTTAATCAATTTGGTCAATTTACTTGACTTTAAAGTTGTTCAAAGTCGACGCGTGTGACTTCCAAAGAATATCGAATCTCTCAGTTAGCATGGATAACAGTAAGGTGGACAAACAGTTACAAGAAGCGCTCTTGGTAGAACAACAAAAGGCTAAATTTCAAAATCAAGTTCACATGTTCACAGACACGTGCTGGGAGAAGTGCATTGATAAACCTGGAAGTAAACTAGATTCAAGAACAGAATCATGTATTGTTAATTGTGTAGAAAGATTTATCGATACTTCAGTTTTCCTTGCAACACGTTTTGGACAAAAAGCGACCAGTATGTAGCTGGACAATTATGAATAGAAAACACTGTCTAGTTTCTCTTCTCGCCTTCTGGATATAAACCATACATTCGTGATTAAGTCATGAACATTGGCTGATTAATTATATAGAGTTTTTTGAAGGCTGGTTGATTAAAAACCTAGGAATGTTAATGTTTCCATACCATAGTAAAAATTATGCAAAAATAGTACAAATGTTTTGCAGTTATATAGATGTAAGATGTTGCAGCACATTTTTTTTGGGGACCCTAGGGGGGTTTTGGGAAGCTAGATATTTTAAATTAAAAGGTGTTTCTTTTATGCTATCTGCCTGCCACTTCTTAAATATCCATTAGTTGTGGTAGAATCATGGGAAATGTTGCTCTGAAAAGAAAGAATTTTCAGCAGTCCAATACATTCCTCAATATTATTTGGTCAGATAAAAGTCTCCAGATTGTACCTACAGTAATTGTGTTTCCCTTCACTGCTTTAGATATCTAAATAACAATTGCCTCTAAAAAACATTATATATTATAGCATAGTACTTTTTTCCACATCAGGATCAAGCCACTATATAGAGACTGATGAGAGTTGGATTTTAGCTGGGGAGTGGAGTAGGTCAAATAAGAGCCTCAGTTTATCAATCTGCCACAAGTACACCAAATTTTCTGATGTTTAAAAATTTGGGTTCACAGAAAACAACACTATTTCACATTGTCCAAAATGACTTCTTTTTGGCTGGAGAGTTTGTGTTCACACAAAATAAAAATTTGGGTTTCATTCTCATTAAAATTAATAGTTCATGAGAGCATGCCTGCATATCATGCAAACTTATGTTGACAGGATAAAATCTCCAGCATTCCTGTGATTGGATAATATGTACAGTATATACTAATAGTTTTAACTGGTGTGATAGTGCCATACGGGCATGTATATCAGCTGGAGATATAACATCATCGGCACAACATTTAAATCTAAACAGTAAACCTGAATGTTTTATCTTCAATTTATTCCTTGTATGATAGGAATATGGCTATTGTATACCGTACAGTTGAATTACGAATGTCGATTAAACTACATATACAGTTGTTGAAATTACTACAACTCACTTAAATCACTACAAATGGTCTTCAGCCTATGATCTAGTTGTAATATAGCAAGTAGGATAATAAAATTTTCAATTGACATTTATCAAAAAATCATGCCAAACATTACATTTATACACAGGTTCATTGCTGTTATTTAGTTTTGTTAGATAACAATTAGATGTTAGTTGAGAAAGGGGAAATTATTTCTTTAATTATAGTTACTTAATCTAATCTAAGGAGTGTATCATTACGTAGATATTCTGAGGGGGGACTAATATGTTTTATCACAGTGAACCTCATAGAAATTATTTAGGTTATTCAGTTTGTATGAAATTTTCTTCATTGTTTAAATATTTGCATTTGAGTTTTTTCCCCTATCAGAATGGTGAATACAATCTAGAATTTAATAATGAACTAAATGGCTAACCAGACCTAGGAGACACCATTAGAATTTTTTCTTGTGTGAAGAATCTAGAGCTTTAGCTGCATTACCACCTATTAAAGAGAAAAAAATAATAATATCAATAAAAATCTATCATACAATGTCATGCTGGTCTAGACTATAGTGTGGTTACATAATTAAGTACAATGAGTGAGCACAAAGTTTTTATAAAATGATATATGAAATGATACACTGTACCTTATTAGCTGCTTCCAATGATGCTATTAGTTCTTTTAATTCGTCTTTACTCAATTCCACTAAGACATGTTTCATCCCTGCCTTTTCTTTGATATCAAGATCAAGGGATACTACAGGTTCTCTCATATTTGATAGTTTATCTGTAGCCATTATGAGCTGAAAGGTCAAAACAGTCATAATCAATGTGAACATGAAAAGGGATCACTAAAAGTTAGTTTAGAAACAATCACATTGTATACAACAACTATTCATATTTCACAAAAACTAGTGCAAATTTCAAATAGGGATCGAGGTTCAGTTTCTCACGGTGTTTAATGCTGAAAGTGTATAAGAAAACACAGTATAAGAACATCACAGAATAAGACATCACAAAATCAGCTATGCACTTACTTTTAATTTCCAATCAAAATCCTTCAATGTTGCTTGGGAAAGATTACAAGTTTCTTCAATAAGGGCAACTCTAATTTCCTCTTTTCTTGGCTTGAGACATTCACTAACTACTTTTTGAATATCTTTTGATATTGAAATTTGGTCTAATTGTTTTTCAATCTAGAACACAAAATGTTTGGTAGAATTTCCCTAATAATTATATCAGTGTGTGAAATTGTTAAAAAAATACCCAAACACATAAAACTACACTTACATTTTCAACAGTTATATTATCTTTAGCTAATGACCTAAGGCATGACGTCCAACTAGCTTTCAACTGTTTCCACTCTTCTATGCTCCAAATTTTAGTAAAATCTTGAAATCGAAGTATATTTTGTCCACATATTTCATCAAGAAAACCATGTATGACCTAACCAAAACAAAACAAACAAAACACAATGTAGTATTATGATATTACACATAGTAAAAATTATTTCGAATATAACTAATTGAAACCAAGGATCTCCATTAATGTGAATTGGACAAAACAAATATGCATTTAAATTGAAAGTATAAGATTAAGACTAAGGTCAGTATTGCATTCACAGATGCATTTCTACCAAAGAATGGGTAGTTTACATTTTGGTAATTCCATTCATGACAGCCCTGCTATCAAAAATGCAAATTGTCAAGGATTAATTACTAGTCAACAACTTCATTAGGAACACTTAATTGGCATCTATCTCATGTTTACATGCACTACATTTAATTAGAAGTTATATTGAGGAAGAAAACAAGCTATGTAAATTTTTTAACACCCTAAATAATTTGGGAAATTATGCTGTCAAATTTGTTAACACATGTCAAGACATGTTTATAACAAATGTATGTTGGAGCAGTTTGGTCAATGATGTGGTTAGTCGGTAAATACTATATACAATATGTTCAATCTATTCCCACTTATTCTAAAAACTGAAGTCCGGCCTTAATCATGATAGAAGAATTTAAACATCGGAGGATGTGACAATGCACAAAAGTGAACAGTGTACTCAGTACTCTATTATAGCAGTGGTCAATATTGAATACAATTAGAGTTCACTCTGTACACACACGACTGTACACACTTGTATTTGATAAACAAATCGAGAAGACAGGTTACAAATTATTCACTAACCTTAGGTATACTATCCTTTGGGCATTTTTCTATTAATTTTATTTCTTTATTGAGATCTTCACTCCTTCCGGACGCCATCTTGGAACGGCTCACACTTTATAAATGCCAGCGGTTAGTAGGTTACCATGGTAACATACCTTAGTAACCATTTGCTTTCCCTAGCAACAACCACTCCAACAACTTCAATTTGGTTTCAATAATAGATGTTTGAGATAGATTCCATCGTTTTTACAAAAAATGAGTGGAAATCACGGTGTTAAAGTATTTGCCCGTATCCGGCCTACCGCCAAATACTCTGCGGAAACGATCGAACTTCATTCTGACAACAAATCACTCACAATTCATACGAGAAAAGATGAACGGCGAGGCCACATCAACAATCAGATATTAGACTGGAATTACCAAACAGATCATGTGCTACATAATGCCAGCCAGCCTGAGGTATTTAAGCAGTGTGCAGAAGAGCCCATCATGAAATCTCTAGATGGTTTTAATTCAACAATAATAGCGTACGGCGAGACAGGCGCCGGGAAAAGTTTCACCATGAGTGGATCCTGTGAAAATTTTCAAGAACGAGGGATCATTCCCAGGACAGTCTCCAAAATATTCTCGGAAATATCAAATCGTAGCGAACAGTCTATATGGGTCCGAATTTCCTATTTGGAAATCTATAATGAGTCAATGTATGATTTGCTTGCGACAATACCAGGCACACCATATGTTGATCCCAGTTCATTTACTGTAACTGAAGATCAGTCCGCAAGCTGTCGAGTCAAAGGACTATCAGTTCATCTAGCAAACACGGAGGAAGAGGCTCTTAACCTATTTTTTGAGGTGAGAACTTTAATTACTATTTAAATAAAACTGTGTACTGTACGTGTAAAACAAGGTATATTATATATTTGTATCAATTACAATTCCACCTACCATTCCCACCATTATCTTAATCAATGTGCTAAAAAAATGACCGACATTCAGGGGGTTCCACAAAACCAAAAAACAGGGTTGATTATTGATATGTACCAAATGGAGTGAAGTGTAGTATTACTGCACCAGAGTATAGTTTGCTATCTGATTGAGTCTTTAATGAACTGTTGTTACAAGACCTATGACTATCAAAGACCACATTGAAAGCTTGGGTACAAATACATGTACTACCACTTGTTGCATGTAAAGTGCTTGATATGCATGCACTGATGACTACACAATATTTACTCTATTTCTAGAGCAGGAAAATTATAAAGCTTTAATATTGCTCCTATAGAATAAAAGTCATCATTTTTTTTAGGGTGAAATGAACCGTGTTGTTGCGAGCCATTATCTAAACCGCAACTCCTCACGTTCCCATTGCATATTTACCATGTATATTGAAACAAGATCCAGAGTTGTTTCAAATGCAAAATATACTATGTCCAAAATTAATCTGGTTGATCTTGCTGGATCTGAACGAATTGGGAAGACTGAACCAGAAGAAACAGGTCAACGAGAAGCGATGTACATCAATAAATCACTGACCTACTTGGAACAAGTTGTGATTGCTTTGGGAGACAAAAAACGAAAGCATGTTCCATATCGTCAAAGTAAACTGACACATGTTCTCAGTGACTCGATTGGTGGTCGTAATAACACTGTCCTTATTGCGAACATGTGGGGAGAGGAAAGTCGACTTGAGGAGACGGTATGTGTGTTTAATGAGTACTATTTGGGGATTGTAATAAAGATTGTTTCACAGTGTCAATATTTAATCTCTTTAAAACGACTTATCTCAATGTTTATTTCTCACAATGTAGCTTTCAACTTTACGGTTCGCAGCAAGAATGAGATGTGTTCACTGTGAACCTGCGATTAACGAAGTTATTGACCCGGTAAAACAATGCAAGCAGTATGAAGACGAAATACAGTTCTTAAAGAATGAACTTGCTATGCACGATACACTGACCAACAGAGGTCAGGTTGCGTATGAACCACTGTCAGAGGCTCAACAAAACGAGTTGAAAAGACAAGTTGAAAGATATATTGCAGGAGAGATTGCTGAAATGGAAATCGTAAACGTTCGCCAAATTAAAGAAATGTTAGAAATTTTTCGAAACATTGTTAACAATGTTGAGAAAGAGACGGAGACACGGCTAAAAGAGAAGTATATTTTTCAAGAGAAAACATCGGTTGAAAATCAGGATACGTGTGGTATGTAATGACTCTTTGTTAGAAGACTCATAGAACGACTATATAGGCGCCTTGGACGTAATATACCAGTCATTGGCGATTTAAATGTCTCATCCCTAGGCGCTTTTCTTCTAAAAAGAAAAGGCGCGGTTGTGAGCGCACAAAGGTAGATGGATTTGATATTATTTTCTGAGTGACCGAAAGGGTGTACTTTAGCCATTTCTGTAAGGTAACACGGGCGTTGAAAAATTCAAAATCTTAAAACTACGAATGGTAACAGGTCAAACCTTACGCCTTGCACGCCCCAATGCCCCATACTTCAGCGGATCTCGTGATAAAAATCTCGGCACCTTTCTTTTTGATTTATGAACTCTTTACGAAACCCGTTAAGAAATCTCATTAATTAGAAAATTACCATCAAAGTTCTAGGAAATAAATCAAAGAACGAAAATAAAAGACGTTTGCATGCATGGAAGCATAACTTATTACGATTTGTTATGATTCTAGAGAGTGGACAAACAGGGCCTGACAATCAAGACACTAAGTTGCTCGGCGAACCAGATGGAAAAGGATTCGGTATTGGAGTGGCAGCCGCACCAATCAAAGCTAACACAATGGTTTTGCTGGCAACACGTGGGAAAATAAAAAGTCGCAAAGGTAAAGACGTTGTTGATCCCACCGAACCAAAACGACTCGAAACCCAAGGTCAAGACGAAGGCAAGAGTACTGGAACAACACAGCGACAGGGTAGTCTCAGACCATCAACACCACCAGCAAAGCCTGAGGCATTTCTTGAATTTAAACAAGAACGAGGGAGTGAAATCAGTAGAATATTACACGAGAACAAAGGTAAGAAATACAGTACATAAAATAACACTGCGTGCAGTGTCATTAAGCCTGTGTTGCTGACACAGTATTTGGTAAAGAGATTAGGAATAAAAGCATGCAAATACTGTCTCCGTGCCACATACGCTTATAGTTTACATGCACCACCATCATATTTATTTTGCAGAAATTTTGCGAAATAAAAAGAACACGTCCCATGAGCTGTCCTTGCGTATTAATTCAACTAAAGTGGAACTGGACAAAGTCCGCCAACTGCTGGAGGACAAACGCGAGGAACGTAATAGATTGGGCGGGTCTGTTCTCCCGGAAACCGAAAAAGAAGTCATTGACGAAGAAGAGTTCCAACATTTACAGAAATTCCAAGAACTAAAGACACAGTATCGAGCCGATTTCGATGAGTTGCGCAGTTTGAAATCAGATATCCAATGTTGTGAGAAGCTTGTTAGTCAATGCCGTAAAAAACTTGTGACTGAGTTTGATATTTGGTACGCAGAGAGTTATCTCGGCGAAGAGAGCGGGAATAGTGTTGAGATAGAGAGTGTTGAAAGAAAATCAAGAAAGAGCATCGCCGTTGAAGATGAGCAGGAGAAATTTGATCGCTTACAACTAGAATACTTGATGGATGAACCAGAATCTGTTGCGTACTACCATGCTCAAATGCAAACACAACGACGAGCGTACTATACAGATGTTGGTAGACAACGCCAAAAACCCGTTTTGACTAAGAGACGTACAAATGAACCACCTGGTATGCTCACTACGTACTAGATTTAGAAGAAATGAGCGACTGTGTTAAGGTTTTTCTATCATATAAAAAATTCCTATACATATCTGTATATCATCCTGTACTACCATACAATATTTTTGGTTTGCAAATATGACAATTGTTGTGATTGTTAGAAGTTGAAAAACATCTTTATTATGTGTAGATTGATTTTTGGGGAATGTACGAAAATTAAAGTATACGAAAATATAACGAAAACAAGTCTTTGTATTCAGCCTTAATTGGACCAATAAAATTTACTAATATACATAGCTACCATACATTATGCAAAACACATATCACTGCATGTCTGCATGGAAGATCAACATGCGGAGCAAGCATGCCAGCCAGAGCTTTCATATGGTCGTGTTTCTTTCAACTGGCCAGAAATCTAGGATAGGTTTATTCATGATTAACGATTAAATAACGCAGAAGCTTGTAATTCTTCGTCCATGGTTACTGGGGCTACGTTCACCAAACGATAATGCAGGATGCCATCAAGCCAAGCAAAAATCTAATATAACAAATATGAAATCCATATTGTAAAATTGTAAATTTGGCATTTACAGCAACCCATGTACACTAAGAGTAGTCTCTTGGTTTTGTGTGTTCCTTCCATGCAAATATGATACAAATAATTCTAGTAAAGGCAAATAATGGCATTTGCAATACTTAATTAATCCCCTAAACTCAAGGCATATTCTGTTCAATCTACATTACTTGATGAAACGTTGGTCTTCCTTTGGCTATCTTTGTGCAGTCACTGATCAACAATTTAACATTTTTCTTTCCTTCTAACTTTGAGATGGCGTTGTAATGCACGCTTTTTCCAATTACACCCAGCTGTTGTAAGCTAAACATTTGCCGAGATCGTTTTAATACAAGACATTCCCATATCAAAACACCAAAACTAAATACATCTCCACATCTGTCAACAGGAAAGCCGAGAACCTGTTCAGGTGCCATCCAGTTGTGCAAAAGAGTACAGTGACTGAGCGAGACTGGACCTCTATCTTCGCGCAATGAATATTCAAAGTTACAGATCTAATAATATGAAAACGACGAAGACAAATTCAGCGATAAACTCATAAGTGGCACCAATGCTCCTAACTCTAGAGCATATGCAAAGCTAGAAAGAATATACAAACTAAGTTTACAAAGATAAGAGTGATATTCTGCCACGTACCCGTAGGTTTTTTAAATACGAAAAAAATTGATACCTTTGCTGTGTAATCGCGTGTGACCATGACACTATGGGATCCAAGATAACAATGAAGAACTCCCATGTTATGCACATATTGCATTGCATTTGACACGTCGTGGGCAATTTTCAATATTGGATCCTCCTCCAATTTTACTTTCTCTTCAAATAGTAGTCTGTGCAGGAAGTGATACTCCAATGGTTCAAACACGAGATAAGAATCCACAGTTTTTGGTCCATTACATACTGCTATCAGTAATGCAATATTTGGATGGTAAAGACACCTACATGCCAGTGTTAAATAAATAATTCATTATTCCTAAACTATATTTACACTTGCTGCTTGGGGTGGTTGTTGAAAACCAGTTAGCATAGATCTCCTAAACTTTATGAAGAAAGCAAAAAAAACTTCCATGCACTGTTCCAGAAAATAATTGTGGGAACATTCAACACTTCGAACATAAATGCCACTACAGGTAACTCATTGTTTTGTTTCTAAATACACGGGTCTCTACGAACCTTATAGTCTTGTACTCGTTGTTAATAAGTTCCGACATTTCGGCTTCGGAAATTGACCGCTGATACATTTTGACCGTGACGATTCTTCCATTTAATTTACCCATGATGCTTACAGTTTTAGGACCGATAGCATATTTACAATTTTCGTTAAGTTCCAGTTCTTCAGGTAGGATTTCTGGAATAGGAACACTGATAACAGTTGAGGCTTCATGAATGTCTAAACAAAAAAAATATATTACGACATAATCAGTATGGTGACAGCATTGTTCATAGACAATAATTGAGAAATTTTGCTTGACAAGACATTTTGCCTTGGACATCTCTGTAATAAACAGGTTCAGTAAAAAACCTCACGTTAAGTGCAATTTTAAACTTTGAACTCATTTCCAACCCGGCGGTTGAAGTCACGAACTCACACCAGTATAGTGTTGTACATAATACTGGACGAGATATACCTTTCCATGCACCACCTAAGACTATGGTAAGACCATGCAATACCAGGTGTATTTAAACCGTCTATTATACACATACCGGATTTATCATCTGTCGCATCTTTCGTTTGATTATTCTGATCTTGTGTTTGCGTTTTCTTTGCTTCAACAGTCTCGTTTTTATCGGGAAAAAATTCTCCATAGATATCAATGCTATCTGTTTTTGGTGAATCCTATAAAAGCCGTACAACAATATCAGCAAAACATGTTTCAAGATATTAGGGGCCTCATATGCATGGGGAAAATGCATCTTAAAACGCAGCGAAAAGAGAGCTTAATCACGAGGGATTGACTTCACCACTTATATAAATTATAATAGGGGTGAAAAAGGGCGTATTAAAAAGCTGAGATCGCATTAAATCCAATTGGCACGGATGTGATTTAATTTTCCTGTATGTATCTCTAGCCTACCTTAATATGATGTGGATGTTGTGCCGAGTGTCTAGCAATGTAATGAATAACATCTTCTTGGTTCGTCCTTTCAGCCAATTGTAAAACAGTTTCGCCTCTCTTGTCACGAGACAGTAAGAACCCCCCGTATTCGGTCAGTAATTCAAGGCACCTCAAATGTCCTTTGGCTGCAGCCAAATGCATCGCTGTACCAAATGGCGATTGTCTTAAATTTTAACAAACAGTTAATATTCTTGAAATTTGCATGGTGAATTGATAACTTGATCATCAATTTGTGATAACAACAGGTGTATTTAGTAGCTCGTTCGTCCACCAAGACGTATCTGTAAAGCACTCTTTCGAGAACAGCCTGATCATCCTAACCCAACTCGCCCCTAGTTTCTAGGTATATAGGAACTGATTTTAAGATTAAACTTGAGTATTTCATTCTTGAAATTTTGCAAGGTAAATGAATATTTGAATCATCAATTTGATCTGCATAAACAAATATACACGCGGTGTTTCTACAAATTGGTAATTTGATTTAATTGTTAAAAAAACTTTTTCACACTGTCGAAAATTACGTGTTCATGAGAGTGAGTTTTGATTAAGATTAGGTCTCCAAGATTAGGTCATTAAAATTAGGTCTCCAATAGCAAGTAATTTTCTTGAAAATGTCTATTTTATCACTTAAAACTTTATTCTTCAAAGAGAACTAACTCAATGTCAAAATACCTGTTTGGGTTAGCACCTTTCTTCAACAATTCCTCTACACAATCTACCTGCCCGTGTCTAGCAGCCAAATGAAGAGCTGTTAAATACCTCTCGTCACGTTTCTCTACATCACTCGATGATTCATCAAACACCCTTTCACGCAGATTGTTAATTTCAATTCTTTTTGTTCTGGAGAAACACTTCGGAAGACACGTCAACGGCATGACGAGTGAAGCTTAATCAAGCACTTGCAAAATTAAATTTAACTAAAGATTGTTACGTCATATAATTGCCAATTGCCACATTTCAAAACGCCACTCTGTTCACTCCGATTGGTCCGAGACGACTGTGGTGACTAGTGACTACAAGCTATATGGGTGGTTCTCCGTGGTTCAAGTCAAAACATGGGTCTAAACAACTTGATTCTACAGTGTGCATGAGCAATTGGTTTAGTTTCGAAGGTATCATGTTATATATTCTAGTTGTTTAGTCGTTGCGAAGACGTAATTAATTCTGAGAACAAAACTCGGATAAGGTAATAACAGTTTATAATTATTTTAAAGTAATATATTATAACACACTCTCTTGTATATAGTTGACTAAATATAGAGTTTACACGTAACTAAACAAATATTTATGCAAAATAAATTAGCTAATTATACAAACATCTTACAGTTCTTAACAGACCGCTTCTAAAGCCTGATTCTCATGTCACCGACGGTCGGCGATGGCTATTGTCGGTGATCACTGATGAGTAAAGTGCTTTGTTATTTTGTATAAATTTTCTTCGTCAACCACCACAAACAATACATCGCCGACCGTCGGTGACATATATGAGAATCAGGCTTAAATCCTGGTTTCCATATGACGCCGACGCCGGCAGAGTATTATTGTCGGTAATTATTCATGAGTGATATCTTTCTGAAATCATTTTCTCCTTGGATGATTACAGACATGTATAATCATCCAAGAAGAAAATGATTTCAGGAAGACAAAAGATTTCACTCATCAATAATCACCGACAATAATACTACTTTGCCGACGTCGGCGTCATATGGAAACCAGGCTTGAAGAGCAAATCTCAAAACGACAAAAGCTCAAACTAAAGATAGTACAATTCGGTTTTGAGATTTGGAGTTAAAAACAAAGCAACCCTGGTTGATGTTGAACTCGTTTATTACATTAGATAACCGACTCATGCTCAATTGTGCAGTCTATTCTGAAATAGTTATGAAACTAACCCGAATCTACTTTATTGGCGACAATTACTGACAACAGACTTGACTTTCTGCTTTTGAATAAAAGTTAGCGGCCATACTGCAGCTCACTTTCAGATCAGTAATTAACACTTGGCATACACGAATCTGGATTTATAGACCTGAGCCAGGAGAAATTGGGTTGCATTGTTTTAGTTACCGAAGTATAAATTGGTCTCTTGGTTCACATTTAGGTGGCCAATGTACAGTATTGTACTGATGCCGTGATATGTGAAAATGTATAGATAATAAATAAAACATGACGTCACTACTAAAGAAGTTTAATCTCAAAAGGTCTGATATGCCATCGTACGACGTATTACTGGAGTGAAAAGTTCAGTTTTCAGGCTCGTCAAGATTTCCATTGACTAAAGCTGATCCTTCTGTTATAAAGAAAAGTACGCACGTTGAAGAATGCGCAATGCGTGGACAGGATGTCATGCACCACACACTCAATTCGAATACCGCGACTATAGTCATAGATATTTAAGCTTTTCACCGCACAGCTATTGGAACGCTGGAGACGCAAATGTAAGCGCACAGGGTAGTTTTAAACCGCCGATTTTGTGGAGCTGATATAGAGGTTGAGATAAGTTATGGCAAACATAAACAAACAAAAAATTAATTATTCGAGGCCAATGAAGAAGTGCGTCTAACCTACCAAGTGATGACATTGAGAGGTCAACATTTATGCTAATGCAAAAATACCTGGTTCTGGGATAGCGTTGGGATCTCCTGCAAGTTCTATACAATATACAAAAATTTAGTTAGCTAAAGATTGAGACCCCGATCATCGCGGGAAAAGGTAAACGTAGGGAAGAATAGAGAGTGCAACATTACATTGTTAATTTTAAAAGAAACATTCAGGATGTAGTCCAGAAGAACGCCTTTTAAAGGTAAATGTTTTAGACATTTAAATATATTTAGATACATTTAGGTATATTAGTGTTAACGATATATTTACCATCTCCGTTATCCATGGAGACAACTATACCATGAATGCCATCATTACGACTTTGTTCCTCTGCAATCTTTACTTGTAAATCAGCCTTTGATAATATACAACAGCAAATTGTTGAGACAGCTAATTCCATTATTAATACAATATTCATTTAATTTGCAGCATATTCTTAATTTCATAATATTGTGTCTCATTCGATTGTACAGGTGTGGAATGTCATTACAGTAGAATGTTTTCTATAATTTCTTAACAAACTTTCCTTTACCTCTGTCAAGCCTGTGAACTTTGTAGGAAGGTCGTCATCTTGGTCTTCTTCCTACCATTACAAAATTGATTACAATCAATAACAATTATATTAAATTATATTATAATAAACGAAGGGAGAAATATTAAGAATACAAATGGTATGACTTCTTCATTACCGTGCTTTCGAAGCATGGTAAAGACGAAGTCATACCATTTGTATTCTCATATATTTAGACCGGCGTTCATGAAATATAACAAGAGATAAGCCTATAAAATGCAACGAATCAGCGTAAGTTATAGCGTAGGTTCTGCTCAAATTTGAACCTTGCAAATTCGCCACTTGAAACTATTAGTCCAGTCCACATCCTTTGTTAATACACTACTGCGCTAGGGCGAGAAACGAAATAAAAATTTTCGAACCTGTTTATTTTCGTTACCGCCAGTTGCACCTTCCTCATCCTCTGCAACTGCCTCAGCTCCATTATCAGCAGCCATTTGACTTGATAACATGTTGTTATGAGCTCCTTGATTTCCATTTGCCACACTTGCATTCCACACTGCACCTTCAGCATTCTCTTCATTCTCATTACCATCACCAGCTATGTCCACTTCGCTCTCCTCTTCATCGTCACTGCAGTAAATTCAAAGTTCCTGAGTTTCATGCTCAGGGGAAATCCTTACAAACGAGGCTTACTGTAATGTAGTTCATTACGTTATTTATCACTGTCCACGTACCTAATTCATTTAACATGCATTGCTGTTCATTGGGTCAACTATAACAGCAATTAAATTTTCAAGTTACATACCTTGCCAGTGGTCTCGATTCACTCATAGAAAGTTCAACAACTTTGATACACTAGAGAAGATATTTAAATAATTTAATCACTTTATACGTTAGCGCGGTAAACTTGAGTGGAAAATCGTACCTGAGATGATTCTGTGTCGGCAGCTTCTGCTTGGCTAAAAATTGTAAGATCAAAGTCAGAAAAGTAATTAACGTATGATATACCAGGCGATTCTATAAAGCGTTTGAAAAACCACTATTCGGTGGATAGCGCCATTCGGCTTTCATACAACTGGCTCCAGGTATATAGTGTAAACGCCTAAACGGGAACTAATACTCACGTGGGTTCATCAAACTCTACAGCCATAGCATCATCTCTATCTCGTCCTAACGTTTCTTCATCTCGCTCAAGCTGTTCACGTGATATCATATCCTGTGGTTTATCCTCAGATGTTTCATCAACAACCTGCCATTCTGACGATGAACTAGAGGAACCTTCATCCTCCTGGTCTTCAGCATTCTCGTTCTCCACAAGGACTTCATTATCGTCTGTCACTTCTGTTGTGTTTCGGCTAAAAAAATAACGACATGAAAAGAAACAGGTTATATGATTAGGAAAACACTATACACAAGGCACAACTTCGCAAACATTTACTAAAGCTAAACAGAACATCTGCACAGTCAACAGATGTATCGCCCATATTAAACCGTTCATCTTCACACTATTTTGCCCAATCCTGCTGTATTGGTAAACCTACTCGAGTGTCTTAGTTGATAGACGGAAAGAGACACTCACCTGGTTTCCACAGTCTTTTCTTCCTGGGATGAGTTTTTACGAGCTGCCGCATTTTCCATTCTATATTTCTATCAAAACGTTAAAATACTGTATTGAACTTCCGAACATACGCAGCACTTATTTTAGTTCATGGTGGACAATACTAATTCGAATTTTTTTTCGAAAGGTTTTCTTAAAAAATCTCTTTAGAATAACCGACATACCTGTTCTCTGTTGAAAAATTTAGCCTTTGCTCCTCTAAAGAAATGAGCGTAACTTTACAATTTTAGCATGGAGAATGAACAATAACGGTTATAGGGAAGCAAACAGGATTTATATCGCTAAATTTTTATATTACCTATTATTAGACCGACAATTTTGGAGTGCTGGGGTTTCTTGAGTAAGTATATAATTTCATCTTTACATACCCATCAAGTTCCTGCATCAGTTTGTAAAATGCCAGTTCGTTGAAAAGTATTTCTGAAATATCCACTAACAGATCTTCACCGCAGTCTTTCATACTAAAATGAGATAGAAAAGCTGCTTCATCGCTTTGTCTTCCATGCAAGATGAAAACAAGGACAAGAAAACATGCATTACATACAGCTGAACACAAACCACATAAAATTCGATTATTACCGTTTCCCAATAAATTTTGCAAGAGAATCTTGTAATATAGATTCCAACTGCTTGTGGAAGAATCTGCTAAATTCCTGTTTCGTTAAAAGAAAAAATACCGATAAAAGGTGGATTAAATCCATATGAACTATAAAGGGAGAATGATCAAGTCACCTAAAGCCGGTGGTATATCACGGGACCTAGGTCAAACTTGGTCTATCAAGTTAATATATAACTTTCCAAAAACTATTGTGAAAATATTTCTGCGAAGTAAAGAAAGAAACAAGCAACCATGAAAACATGCAGTGCATAACCCAGAACAGTGCATCGTTTAAAATGTAATCTGTTTACATTTACAGTTACAGCGTATAAAACAGCTTTGTCTCGCTGATCCGAACGAAATGTCGTGCCGCTTATAACAAAAGCTGGTACATACTTTTGCTTCGTTTTTTTCTTGTAGCATACCCATAACCATTTTTCTTATATACTCCAGCAATTCTACCGAGCACGTGTCTTCCATGTGATCATCCAAACACGGTATGACTTTCTGAAAATAACGAAAACAGTACATTAGGTAATTGCATGGCAACAACATCATGAAGAAATTATAAATTCACTATAACCTCTTCCACTCGATTTTTTTTTATTAATTCGGGAAGTTAATGACAAAAATTACCGCCATAATCTTCTTTATTTGACGATCCAATGCTTGAGTATCAATCTTTGGATACTATCGAAAAAAGAACGAAGGAAGTATGACAATATACAACTTTCAAATAAATAATATATGTACTTCACTTGGTAGCCTTAAAGATTCGCTTAAAATGAAAATGATTCGCTCACGTAAAGAAGAAGGATGCCTCGGGATAAGATATTATTATTCATAAGATTCTTGTCTTACTTGTATATCTGGTAGTGAAGATTCACTCGCTACATCACCAGCGGAGCTTGTTTCGCCTTGTCCAACGGCAGTTGCGCCTTCATTTCCTGTAGCGCTGGAACATTCCGACTCACCACGTTCCCGCATTGATTTCAGAGCCTAAGAAATTATAAGTGTACCAGATCAACCAATCTGAGATCACGGAGTAATGCTCCGTACGTAATGTTCAGACTTTAGGTAGTGCATTTACAGTAGCTAGGTTGTTTTCGAGTGATTCACTTTATACAGGATATCCAAATTCATTCGTTTTTTTACAACAAAGACTTTATAGTGATGGTGCCATTTTCTGTTGGACGAGTTTATGCGTAATGCTATAGAATAAAACTCAATTGTACTATACCTTGTCCAAGTGAATAACTGTTTCACCAAGAAATTCGGATGCAAAAGGTTCATGGTTGCCGCTATTTGGTGTGGATAATGAACTTCCCGAGTCCACTGCTTCAACATAGTCGTAGATACCTTGTGTCGAGATTTCAGGCACTTTCGTTTTATCCTAAAACAATATATACATACGTAACACGTTTTCCCCCGTATTTTTGTTTACATGATTACATGGCACCGCGTGCAAGGTCACAAACTGTCATATTACTTGTCTATTCCTAATAATGACTACCATTAATCTGTGTTGCTTGCTAGGCATGGTTTGACTCGCCGTTTCTTCGTTGAAGCAGAAATACTAAAATACCGAAATCCTAAAAAATTGCTTAAAGAATTTGAAAGTACGAACCTGATCTTGGTCGGTCTCTGAGAAACCAGCGCTTTCACTGGGTGTCTGCTCTGATGCTGATGCAAGCCAAGAGTATGCACCCTGTTGTATAAGATGATGATAATAAATTAACACATATAAATTTCTTGATGATGATGGCACACATAATGACCAACATGTAATGTAGAAAGGGTAGTCCCCCTTTAATCGAGGATAAAAGTTTTCATGTTAATCATAAGGTATCTACTGTATAGTAAAGAGTTAAGACAAGTCACGCAAAAGTTGAAAATGGCTAGCTTTCAAGAGACATTAACAATACCAATACAAATACCGTACCATTGCAGACTCAATTGTTCCTCCAGGAGGGTCGTCCTTTAAGAAGCGAGTAACCAAATCTCTCAAGGAATACAGCGCACGCTGTCGTAGATAGTCTGAACCCAGGAGTTGTAGTTCCCGGAACAGTTCAATCTAATTGTGAAAAAATTATATTAAAAGTCATATTTCGTGTATATTATTTGACTTGCAAAGAGAAGTAATTTAGAATGAACTTTTTACTGTGCTCACCAAGAAATGTGGTCTGGATTCGTTCTGTGATATAAGAGTCGCAACTTCAGCGTAAATTGAGTCGCGGAGAGCTTCAAACAAGGAGTAATCACTTTGAGCATCAGATTCCCTAAAGAAAAAATTACCTTCCGTATCATTCATTTCCGATTCATCTCCTCACAGTACATAGTATTATATAACAGCTACAGTATACTATACCAGCTACCATAATGTACTTACGTCCCGGGCTTTTCCGAATCCCCGGGCAAACTTGATTGATGAGATGAAATAGAGTCCGTTTCCATTTTATCCTCTTGTCTTCTTCTCTTCACTCCACGCCAATTTGATTTATCTTGCTCGGCCAACTGCGCTGCAGCTGTAGCACGTAGGGGAGTAGGAAACTGTTTACCAACCACAACATTACCACTACCACTACCAATTGCTTGAGAATCTACGAGATCACAGTTCACATTTATCGCACTTTATGGTATTTTTCAAGTCGAAAATAATCTTCACTCCTGTCTCTGTTTTGCCGCAAAAACGCAAAAGCTGATGCACATCAGATTACTTCTGATGATAAACGTGCTAAAAACTTACCACTGTAAGTCGTAGGGTTGTAAGCACTCGTTGGATTTCCAGCTCTGGTATTGGTGGCACTTACAACTCGTGCTGAAACAGGTGTAACAGGACCTCGTACTTGATTGTGCACTTGACTGGCGCTTGCTTCAGGACTTGGAACACCTGTGTCGGGGTTGGTGCTTCCTACAAACTGGAATTGTCTATTTCGCAGTCCTGGTAGCCAAGGGAACGATACAGATGGATAACGACGCTGCTGAGACGCTGAAGAATACGCTGTAGCGACGTGGCGTTCAACTGACGGCTGGGCCTTAGAAGATATGGATATTAAATTATTACAGCAGTTTGTACAACACATAGTGAAGATGACAATTAGTAAGCAGAATAGGAAGGTTTTTTTAATTACATGTCCACGATTGAGTTGATGTCAAGGGGTGCATTTCCATTGGTTTCGCTGGAAACGTTTTAACGCAGAGAAAAAAAAGACATGTTAAAGAAATACCTGTGAAGTCGTAAACGGTGACGGTGGAGGAGTTTCACGCACAGAGTCCTGGGGGCGATAATTTAAGGATGTAGATGGTTGGAAACTAAACGAGTTGGAAGCGCGACTATCCGCTAACGTGGACGGTGGTGCGTTTGGTGTTGCTGAGGGTCTGGCATTTGGAGTCAGTCCTTCGGATTCCGGGTTGGGATGTGTGAACAATTGTTCAAAACTTTGTTGTAAATGCAACATGTCTTCATGTTGTTGTTGCATCTGTGAGTAGCACTCAGTGAGATTCTGCAGCATTTGTTGTTGTTGTACAAGGAAACGTTGTTGTTCGAAATAGTTCTGAATCCCTTGTAATGCATCTTGTTGTCGTTGTTGATACTGATTGAAAGAATTTGGACCTTTTTAAAACAATATTATATAAACTTATTAGAATGATCAATGTGCATAAAATAATAAAAGTGCAGTGCATGGGGTGAAGTAATAAGTGCAGTAGAAAAAGAAACAAAGCAAACGGTGTATTACAGCATAAACGGTGTATTACAGTAAAATCACAAAAAAATGGAAAATTTTGATTGGTTCCCGGGCAGTCGGTAGCCTACAGTTTTGGCGGGAAAAGTCGAAATATTAATTACGTACAGGAATTCTGTTTTTTTAAAACAAACTTGAAATTTATGACGGTAAAGAGGCCCTAGACACTACACGTTTTTGGACAAACAAATGAAAACAAATAAGGCCGGAACTAAAAACTACCTACATGCAGGTAGTTGCAGTTCATCTCTGTGCAGACCAGTCAATAGCACACATATTTTCATTGAGCAAAATGAAATTATTGTAGCTTCAGTAGCGCGAGACTTACATACCAAATGTTGAAGGCTGAGGTGTTTCTCCGCGATTTAAAAGAACAGATATGAGCGTTTGCTGGTCTCGTAATAATGTATTGCAAAGTGAAGTGGTGTTCTCTAACTGTCCTTGCAAAACGTCACATTGCCTTTCCCACATTGACCTTTCCCGGGCATTGTACATTTCCTCTTCAGTAAGTTCCTCGTGATTGGAGAAACGCTGAAAAAATAAAAGAACGATGTAATTTAGACAACAGTATATTCCATATCGTGAGTATACCACCATCATTAGCACTTGGTACAAGACAACTTTCGCATAGGTTGACTAACTAGAACTAACTAGTTCGATTCCTGCCGGAGGACCGATAGACTAATTTTTCTCAACTGATCCTGGCTTGAATTGAGTTGTGTATGATTCCACTCGAAATTAAGACCATTAAAAACCTTTAGACCTTCACCTGCGGTTTTTTAGCACCTCTCTTATTTCCAGACGGGAACAATGAGTTTTGCCACCCTTTAAATCTTTCATGCCTTTCTAAGTCTTGTTTGCGTAATCCTTCTACAATTATAAAAACACCAAAATACATTAATGAGATACAGAAGCATGGTGTTCTCGGAATTCTCGCATCTGTGTTTATATATTTATCACATTTTTCGGTAGTCGTCATTATTAGATTATGAAATAATAACATGCATAGTCCCTTCACTTGGAATGAGTATACTATCGGCTATAACATCGCTGAGCATTGATTAACGGATTGATTACCAGAAAAATATTTCCTGTTAAAAAAATATTTTGGCACTTGTTGTATGAAATAGTGAGGGGGTGGTATTGATACATACCAAATAACAAACGTTTCTGGCTTGCATTCTGCTTTACTCCGCTTTTTGGAGCTTGCTTTCGGTTAGCGGTGGATGTTGTTGGATAAATATCAACTTCAGAATTCGCCTCCTCTTCCTCTTCAGCCTGAACAATACCATCCGACCCGTCGTCTTCAACCTCCACTAAGATCTACGTGAATGGATTACATATCAAGTCATTAATTTACTGATCTGTACGGTTCACGTAAGAGCCTTCTATGAGTGAATATTGGATAATTCATTCACAAAATGACTGACTATCTTAATGAATTTTCAGATTATGTGAACATAGTACAAGTCCAAACTTATAAACTGGTTACAAACTTATAAGAGTTATAAACTGGTCCAGCTTATTCAGTAGTTTCCATGATCAAACATGCACATGGAGTTTCTTCCACAAGTACTGTACCTCTTCATCACTATCATGTGACGATCCTTCAGATACGGCAGAGTCATTTTGAGTGCTACTCATTTGTGTTGAACCACCCCATGTTGCTGTAGTAATATCTGCACTTAATGTACTACGACCAAAACCTTCATCCTCTGAAGCATTTTCTAATCCAGATCTTCGCCCTTTTCGTTCTAACAATAATCTTTCTTTTCGTTTCTTTAATTTCTGTTCTTGTAGCTCACGTTGTCGTCGTAACTCCCGCCATAACAACGTGTTTGAAGCGGATGTACCTTTCGATATATGATTACAGTTTTTATACAGTGTGTATGATAAAAAACAATCTAAATCAACAAGCTATTGTGGGGAAATTACAGTACTTGATTTAACAAGCCTAATTTCTCCAAATTAAAACAGTACTGCGATCCTGCCAGAAAATAGAGCTCGACTCCGCCCTCCCTTGAATTGGTCTCTAATCCTTCAACAACCAATTGTTGTAATATCGTGAAAACGAATAGTAATTTTGACAAGCCAAGTCTTGCCGTTGATATCAATTTTGTATAGCTCAAAAATGTCGCATTATACAGCATATCCATTTCAGAATATGTGATCGAACAGTTTCCTAGATTAAATTGTTCCCGCCTTCTAGGTTTAATTATTCAATTCTAGTGTATGCACACATACCTGGCTCATGGTACTTATCAGATCTTGGTTCCGAAGACACCATTGTCTGCGTACCAGAATCCGCAGTCACACCTTGTCGCGATGTGCTAGCTTCTGTCGCGTTGTGAATGAATGTATCCAGTGGCTTATTTCGGTCTGGCTGTCGAGTCTAAATACGAGTTTAAACAATACAACAACAATGATCATCACGATGGAGAATAAGGGAAATATCAACATGGGGCAGAGGTCAAATCCAGTATCTTATGAAATCTAGGAAAAACAGCATCATAATATACTTGTGTCATGGCGTCATTCTGTCGCAGTCTCTTCAAATGTTCTTGTGTTTCTAATAACTTCTGTTTCTCGGCCAGAAGCTGACTCAATGCAGCACGCTGTCGTGTTAATTTATCCATGTATTCTTGTTCACTATCCCCATAGCCATCATCTTGCTGCCCTCTGAGTGCATAACAAAATATATGTATGCATTAAGGCCTGTTTACACTGGAAATTTTATATGCGATTTTTTCCGTTGGATAAATGTTGGCGGTGAACGTGAACAATGCCATAGCTTATCCACTCGTTCACATCTATCGGAAGAAGAAAATCGCATCTAAAATCGCGGCTAATGCAGCAAGTGTACACTGGCGTTCAGTGATTACTCATCAGCGATATGTACTGTACCTATGCGCATGACTAGCCTCTTCTTGTACTAATGTTTCACTTGTTGCATCTTCTTCACTATCTCGTCCATCATTTGTACCATCACCATCTACACCTTCAGCTGCAGTTGACTCATCCTCCTCGTCTTCTCCTTCTCCTTCATCTTCATCTGTACTGAAATTCATTTCTACAATGCCTGCAGGTAGGTATGGTCTACCATTTGGACCTACTGGAAGCTGCAACACAGAGACATTATATGATATTATAAGATGGAAGAAAGGACAACATTTATTGGATTAGCTATGTACTAAAATAGGCTACACAATATATTTAGATTCAACTGCACCTCACCTCTTCTGTTTTTTTAACAAGTTCTTGCAATTTTTTGAGTTTCTTTCGAGCAGCATTCAACTTCCTAAATCAACAGAGAACATGTCGAGTAGCCGCCATAAATATATGATCGTTACCAAAGTAGTGAATTTATTATGCACCCGACGAGTTGAGCTAATACTAGTCCTCATTGTTTCTCTGGAATATAAGCAACGAAAGACAGGGTTCATCTCACTCACCGAAGTTTCTCTTGGAACTCAGGATCTTCTTGCCACATAAGGGAGCTGGATACAGAGGCAGTAGTCTCGTTGTCTGTTTGAGCGGCGGAGTCTCCTCCATCTTCAGCTGCAACAGCTTGTGCTAAACTTGCAGCACCTTCGGCTCTACCATGGGGCTGTACAACCTGGGAAATTTCAAACAAGGCAAACAACAAAATGACTAAAGACGAAGACCTGTGGAATTTGTGTGAAACACGCGAAAGTATGTAACTGCAACTAGCTACAACATACCACACACCATTTAGTTAACCTTCATGTTATATGGAAAGTAAATTTCAATTTTGGAACGTCAGTGTCTTTGGTTGACTATTTCAAACGCTTGTACACTGACTGGAGAAATGCACATGGAAAGTATATGATCCAAATATGCATATTATGCATATAACCATATACGTACGTTATTTTGCTCATTTCGTTGCTTGAGGTTAGCAACTCTCTCTTTCGCCGCCTTCACTTGCCTAAATTTGTAAGTTTGACAACATAAAGATATGAGTTTTTACTCTGTTTCCAGAAAACACATTTCAGCACGATGTCAATCTAACCTTAGTTTATCCAATAATTCAGGATCATCGATGCCAGAATTTAACATCCAATCAATGTTACCAGCAGGAAGCATATCATCCAATTCAGCACCAACATCAGGATTAGAACCGCTTGGTTGAGATTCAGCACCTCGACTCTCCCTTGGCTGTTGCACACGTTGTGCTCTGTTCACTCTAGTTACCGTCTCACTTTCAGCTTCAGACTGTTCCTATTTAATAACATAGAGGCTACAAACTGCAACGACCAGCTAGTATATTTGTTAGATAACCTGTGCCGAATGCGGTCCGTTGTACGAAAGCTGGATGGCGCGTTATATCTATGCACCGGATAATTCACTTGCAATTTTAGCTGCGATATTATGTGCGATATTCTTCTTTTGGTAGATGTGAACGAGTGACTAGTTACCAATGCTCTAATGCATAAGAGCTCTAACTTGAACATCTGTAACTAATTCACACGTTCACATCTATCAAAAGAAGAAAATTGCACATAAAATCGCACCAAAAATCGCCAGTGTAAACGGGCCTTTAAACAGTATACACGTAAAATAGGGTTGAAAAGTTATGAAAATTAAGGGTTCGGGATTATACAACACTGTAAGAGATATTGAAAAACTCGCATCTTTATTACAACCGGTCCCAGAGGGCTGCATGTCCCTGGCCTTAACCCTTACTACCATAGCAGAGGCAAATAGAGAGTCTAAGAGTGTGCGTAAAAGCGATTTCCCTAAAAGTCTCCACTCCGTCGTTATTCAGTATTGTTGGACACTTTGTAATGGAAAGAAAAGCTCTGAACTTGAGACTCGAATTCAAGATTTCGCAACTTACTTGTTGTTCGTCAAAGAGTTCTTTAAGTCTTTCAAGTTTATCTCTCACGTCTTGAAGTTTCCTGCACGATCAAAGATGAAACATTATAATAACAAGGATTGTTACTGCAATATGTAATACTGGTGCAGAAAGTGTTACCTTAGTTTTCTGTGAAGCTGCAAGGCTTCCAATATCTTTTCATCATCAACATTATCTCCAGTATCTTTTGCAGATTTTGTGGCTAACGGCACGTCGTCGTCCCCATTCTCAGTGGTCTCGTTCACACTCCTCTCTTGTGGCAACGCGATTTCTTCGAGAAGTTAAACGAGGTAAAATACTTTACGATTTTTACATTTTCCCTGCAACGTTATATATTTTTCATATATCATACTCATACCTTTTCCCAGTTGCATTTCTCTTAACTGGTGCAACTGTTGAACAAGCGCATCCATTTGCTCTTTTTTAGCTTGTAAATCCATCAATTTACTTTCGAGTTCGAGTCTTTCTTGAGCAGCATCTGCTGTAGCCAAGGCTTGGGCCTAGAAAATGACCACAAATCAGGAAACATACTATTGTAAGTGGCTTAATTTCTTTAAAATTTCAATCATCCAGGTGCATCTATCAAGGCCACTTGCTGTTGATAAAGAGCCCTTCAACAGGCAGAAATTCCATCCACAACTTTAAGCCTCGTCATAATTTTTCATGCACACGATAAAATATTATAAGGACCAAGCTATGTAGCTACCTCATTGTCTGGGGTAAGTGAACCGGTAGATTCCGCAACCCAAGCAGCCTAATGAAACAGAAAGAGCAGGTTGTTAATATGCTAACACCTCATAACAGTTTAATTAAGAACAACATAGCCAGGCTAGCTAATAGCTAGGCCAGCTAATAGCTACACTATACTTATACCCGTTCAGGTAATCTTCGATTCTTAAAGTTTTCAGGTTTTTGTTCATTAGAGGATTTTCTGTTGGGTTGCGCCTATAGAATAATATAAACATCAGAATGATAATACAGTACGCCGTCACGTTGAAACATAGCATGAAGTACGACTGTTATATTCTGCATTTTACCGTTGGTAACAGATCATTCTCAGCACCCCCTTGATTCGACTTGTATGTTGTTTTGTACCGTGTATTGTATTGTAACAGCCAATTTTACCGACTACACATATGACACGTCATATGGATAAGTCTCTATAACTAATAAACTCACCTGCTCTCTGCTGGCGTGGAGTAAACCAGTTGCTCCTCGCATATTACTCGCAGATCCAACAGCAGCAGGCTAAATGACAGGAAATAACTGATTGAAGTGTGGCAACGAATACGAGTTATCCCCGTTCCAAATTGTGCTATTCAGAGAAACTAGGAATAATTTCCCACTGCTCTCGCGCTCATACTGTACTTTAGCCAATCGGCACTCAGAAGAGTTGTTGAAAAGAAATCCATTTTAATGGATTGTATTTTGCAGTATTTAATGGATTATTTTTTTATCTTTTATAAAACTAGTCGAATTTTTGTGATTGTTTAGTTCTGACATTAACAGAAATAAAGTATAGGTATTTCAAGAAACAGAAAAATTGATTTTTATTTTACAACCAGTCCCAGTCCTTTCCCGCCATTTCAGATCACCCAGATATCCATGTTTTAACTAGAATCTAACGATGAATTACCTGGGAAGAGCGAGAATCATCTGATCTCTCAGTGTTGCTTCTACTTCTACCACTAGCACTTTCATTTTCGACTGTATGTCCATTCATTAAACTTGTAATACGCCTTCCCTAAAAACAAGGGAAATTAATCAGAAAATTGCGAATTTCTACGCGTGAATATACTGACATTACTGTACAGTAGCCCACAAGTGGGCTAAACCAGCGATTCGTTGGAATGAAGTCTACAATGTCACGGAGTATGTTCATGCTTCTGCGAAACCAATAGCATGCAGAGCAGTTATTATTCTTCTAGGATATTTATACCTATCAAATAAACTATTATACCACAGCAACCCAAGACATAATAGTGATGGCAAAAATCAAGCAAAGTCCATATTAAAATTATTTTGGAACCATGCATGCAAACTCTACATATACGCTGCCGTAAAAACGTCCCAGCAAATGTTTTCGTAGGTATAATACATGTGTGAACTGTGCAGATTTCTAACGACCTAATAATCGGTTATTACTATTATTCTATAGAATTACTGTACCTGACATTGAGATAGGAATATTTGAAACTGGACTGCTCGTATCCAGCAGCATGTCCCGCACAAATATATACACGACATTTGGGCAAAAATGAGGGCAAAACACAACGGTAATTTACCAATGTTCGAAGCAATTGTGTGGATGATATAATCCACACTATTTAGGGGCAAAGGGGCAAAAATTACTCTAATACCTCTGCTTCAGCTTCTTTTAACTGATTCTCTGCATGACGCTGAAGATCTAGCAACGCATTTTGTCTTTCTTGAAGTTCTTTCAACTAAATAAAAAAGAAAAGCGTTACACGAAAATAACATGCTTGAATAAGAATGAAACTGCTTTTGGTTGAAGTTTATATCTATATAAACACTGACTTCGTCAACCACAGCTGATCTACGATAGTCGTAATGGTTATAGTGTGAATTTTAAAATCCCTACCGATTATATTGAGTATGAAATTGTGTGAAAAGAAAAGTGTTTGTGCGGTAGTTTCTATCATTGCAAAACGAACTGTAAAGGACATACTAGGTCAAACGTTGCACATTTCATGCGCCGAATGCATTAAAAGCAATAGATAATGCAGGCATTCAGAGGTTTTATCTAGGCCTAAGCAACTCATACGCTATAATCTACGGTCTCAAATTCAGTCTATCTAAGTCAAATTCAAAGTAGTAATTCACGGGTATATAAACTCGATAATATTGTTTACCTGTTTTTGCTGTTCTACCATCTGCCGCAATAGAGCATGTTGCTGACGTAATCCTTCCAAGTCTTCACTCTGATCTGATACAGCATCGTTCTAAAAGATATATTCATCTTGGGATACAGTAGCATACAAAATATTAATTAGCCTTTTTCCCGATGAGGAATATGCCGCCATTTTTGGGGTACTTTTTTTAAAAACCGTGAGCGTACGACCTCGTAACGGCGACTGTGATTTTAGGCTGTTTTTTCCTCAAATGGTCTGTCGATTCTAAAAAAATTGCTTTTCATGTCGTTATAATTTTTAAACCTATTTGAGAAAATTGAAAGTACCCCAAAACGTCATCGTGAGAAATATCAATCCTCGTTAATGGACTAGTCCATGACCATCTGAACACTTTGGAGGTACAAGACAAAATTACCTGGTCATCGCCATCAAGTGAAATCACACTTGTTGAAGGTGTGTTGTTAATGGATGATTCTCCATGTGTGGCCTGAAATAAATTAATTAACAGTCGCGTTCATGCAAATTCCTTTGCCTTACAGTACACATATAAAATGTTTAACCTGACACAGATTAATAAGAAAGATTCTGAATGTGGGGCGTTTTGTACAGAACATTTTATGGAGCTTAAATTTACATGAGAAAAATAAAAACACAAAAACGTGTTGTTACTGCAAAGAAAATTAACGAGACTCACAATGCTTCTCTGTACGAAATCGACGTAAGCTTTCTCCTGAGCTTTAAGATCCCGAATTAGTTTCGCCAGTTTGTCTAATTGCTCCAAATCCTCATCCTTTATACGAGTTGAATAAATATAATATAAAACGTCGTCACAACTTGAATTAAGTTTTTTTCCCGTTTTTACCAATCAAGGCTATAACACCTCGTAAATCATTATAGCAAAATCAGAACTTACGGTTGCTTCATCTGGGGAAGTAGATTTACTGCTTAAAGCAATATAAAGAGAAGTGGCTTGTCTCAGGTATCCCTGAAAAACAATTCGTAGATAAGTATCAGCCATTAAACATCGGCCACTACAACATGGAATATTTTACCTACCCGAACTTGCTTTAGTTTGTCAACAACTCTGCTTTGGTCCGCAGGCTAGATGAAGTGAATTTTTTAGTGTAAACGACACTAAAAGTGAACTAATTTTCTTTCTTCCTAATAATGGTGGCGTATTATAGCTACTACAGCAAAGGCAAAACTAGGTGCCCTGCGAAAATCTTACTGTATACGGTAAGTTTAAAACGGTCAAACGAGAATGCGAGTCGAAGTCAGTTGCGCTTACAGTACGAATGACGGCCAATTTAATCAACTGGCATCAATTTTGAACCGCATAAAGTTCTTAACGAGGGGCCACAAACACAAGTGGGATTTGTAACTTGCATCAACTCGCATTCTCGTTGGACCCGGACTTAGGTAAGTTTGGGCCAAACTAGATGTACAAAACTAAAACACTTACTGGATTGGAAGGATTAGTGGCTTTAGCAAATTGTAAGGGACTCCCACCATTCCTCTCGTCATTTCGTGGTGCTGATAATGATTGCTGGTGATGAAGATTTCTTTCATTGTTCACAGGAACAGGGAGGTCGACTACGGGAGCTTGGGCTTGTCGAGACAGTTGTTCTTCACGATGCTGTATCTGGACAATATAGTTTATTTTATAAGCGTCTCCAAAATGTATTGGCTGAACATATGAGTGTCAAAATGCATTATTTTGATATTACACTGGACAAATTGTCCATCACAACATGATAGTCCATCATATTGTAGCATTAGTTTTTATTAAATTCTCATGATATTCAAACAATATGAAAGGTACCACAAAACTGATGAATTAGCGTAAAATATCACTAAACCCAATAGCTTTGCTGTCCATGATATTCAATATGAAAAAAATGCCAAGTACCACAAAACTGATGAACTAAGGTAGAATATCACTAAACCTTATATTATATATAGCTATGCTATCCATGATATCTTAACTATACTCTATTACAGTGCCAATTAAGTAACTGATGAACTTGTACAAAATTTCAATAAACCTCATGACAACCTAGTTGCTGACAGAAGAGAGTCACTCTGACCCATGCAACAAGAGTAATAATGATCCACGTTACCTCGTCTTCACTAGTGAATGTAAGGTGTTGCTTCAGTTTATCCATTGCACGGTGTTGAGCTGTACCAGTTGAAGATGAAGAAAATTTTGTTCTAGGAAGTGTTGCTGGAGTGTGTTTCTTCCGTGCAAGCCTTGCTGGTGAACTATCTGATGAAAACTGATCACCTGGTGAACTTTTAGTTCTTGATGGTTTCTTTCCCCTGGACCCTTCACCACCAGTCCATGACTATTATAAAAACACATTTTTTGTTGCAGGATTAGTCCCTTACCAGCAATACATCAAATATATGGTACTATAGCAAGAGATGCCTAACATCAGAGCAAAAGGCTGTGTTGTACAATGCAAATTTTCTTGCTACTTATACACTCTATATTTTCTTACACATACATTTTGAAAAATCTTTACTTATTTATACCCCTTAAAAATACAATTGGATTGCAGTTTTCAAGAAAAAATGCATCATGTAACACAGCTTTAATTTAGCAGTTCATGACAGACCATCTCTTAGTGTACATACACAATATAAATCACATTATTTTTTTGATTAACCGTCTTATAGTTGTGTATGTTTCATAGTGATGAAAGTTTCTGAATCTAAATTTTACTAAAAAATAGTCTAGGCAACCAAATGATTTAAAGACATATATACCAAATTGTTTGGTAACGATCTTCGTTCCTCGCTTTCACTCCTTTGAAGTTCAGAATTCAGACTAAGTTCTGTTTCAAAGCTAGTGCCATATCTTGGTGGTTTCCTATTGCTCTTTGGCTTGTAGTCAGAATTTCTTGCTTTATACTCATCATATGGTGAACCACCTGATGCCATCTTGGAAATTTCTTATCTCTTCTTATTTTAGGTGGGGAAATAACTACAAAATATTTACATTAAAAATATAGGCTGGGAAACAAACAATATCCAAAAATAGTAGTGGGGGCAGTCTTTTAAGGGAATGTAACAAATGAGGGGCATTCAAAATTTGAAGCCTGGAAATTTGTATTTTCAATAAAAATCTCAAATAAGAAATTGGCTCAAGTAACCAATTGCAAATCTAGTGTATGCTCTTTGTATCTTTGCATTACTGCACTTTGATGCTGATTATCTCAAACATGCTTTTTAAAAACACACAAAATGACTTGATTATATATACATGAAAATATGTAGTGTGTAAAATAGTCGTGATACCAGAAAGTGACTGTCTTGTTTACATAAGAAACTGATAAAGATATACTCAGTCCACATGTAACAGATAATTTACATAAAGAAAAACAAAATTCGAAAGCAATTCAATTTTCTGATGTAGTAATTTTCTTTATAAGTTGAATGCAAATATTTAATAGTTAAGCTAACAAGTGGTATGAAACTTCCAATCTCTTTCATGATCATTGTTGAATTAAACTCTGTATAGATATTAATGTTACTCCTAAAATAAAACCAAATTTGCTAAACAAGAATTTCAGGGGACAACCTATTAACAAAGCCCTGGCTAAAACATCAAGCAAATATTGTTATACTATACTCAATATAAAATCAGGTGAAAAACCTGAGTGGCTCTATATTGGTTTGGGTGTAGATCAATGCTGTCAGAATGTATTCCTTTCAGTTAAAACTTTTTCTCGCAAAACTTTTTGCTCTGGGAAAGACTCTTTTATAGCGATAGATATCTCAACTAAAAAAGCAGCTTTGGAACGAGTAAAATAGTTAATGAAAACATACAAAACAAACAAGCCACTTTCCTAAGTCTCTAAGTGTCCAGAGTTATGATAAAGAAATAGAAAGGCGATGGCCATGAAAATACAATGCTCGCACATGCAGATGCACAACGCGTCGCTATGGCCATTTATATATGCATACACAGTATACAAGACAGAAATTAAGTTTTTGTGCAGCATTTCCGACAAATAAAAAACTAACTGATAAATTTTGCCCAAAAACGTCGTTGTTCCTTAACGAGTCCACAAAGCCTTGTATACTAGGCAACCAAACAAACTTATCGTTACTTCAACTCTCCAAGGCCTGGATTGCTTCAAGGCAGTCAGAAGTGGAAGTTTCACTTTATATATTTTCAATATACCACACACTTTATTCAGCTAAACCTACACTCAGTAACAATAATACAATAAAACCTAACTTTTGTTAAGTTGTGCCAAAACCACATACCTGTGTGCAGCAACAATATTTCAAAAAATATCACATGCTGTTTGTAATACGTTTTCTCTGCAAAATAGAAGAATTGGCATATAGCAAGAAGTACCCGCCATAAACTCAAGGTATCCCAGACAATGCGTGGAGATTGGTTGCGATTATCACCGGGGGTAGGGTAGGTCTATGTAACCTTGTCGAATTATTTCATGGCAATTTTTAGCTTTTTTATAAAAAGGTAATAGATATGATCTCTACGAAACAGAACATAACAGATATGAGATATATGTTAAAATAAATACTGTTCGTATGTGTATCTATTTCAGCCATCAACCACGGTACCCATGGAAAGTCAGAAGTCCGAAATGCCCAAATTCGCGCTGTCATCTGGGATACATAAGATATCAACATGGACGTTTTCTTGTAATTTTCGTTAGTTTTTTTGTGATTTTGATATAATTTGTTCAAGAATAAAATATTTAGAAACAAAGTAATAAGTGCAATTAAATGTCTGGTTTTTACTATTTTGCAATTGTGGGGCACAATGATAACCCTGTTTATGAAACAGAGTTTACCCACCAAATGAAGTCTAGTCACTCCGGTGCAGAATCTGGTCGAGATCAGATGAAGGTAGAACTTTTTATCATCATTCTTTTTGGCGGTTTCTCAGTTTCTCTTGCTGAAAATGGTGGGTGCCGCCAGTTGTCAGTTGATGGTGCCCAGGACTCAGCGGCACACTCTTCTCTCAACTCAGGGCTTCCATAAGGGAAGGAAATTTCCTTCCAAATGACAACCAAAAGGGAGGGAAGGGCTGTTTTTACAGAATATTTTATGCATTCTTTTCAAAAGTTCTTTGTTTCACTCTTTTGCCACAGCCATCCCCCTAGGAGGACTGCCATGTGCAAATAAGTTGTGGAAGCCCTGCCTCAACTATTCTGCACTTGCAATTTTGAAATATCACATGTCACATGATTAGTATTTTAATACTGAAATTATATAATATGACTTGTTATTTGTTATTCAGCAACGTGATTTCAATGGTTATAGATATGAGGGGTGGGGCAAGGCATGTTTAAACACACACCCACAAGTATATACCTATTGCAAACCCCATTGGTCTTGGGTAGAGCCACAGAATGGAGAATACTACAAAAGTCTCTAAGCAAATCTAATGCATTTCATGCGCCTTGCACTTTGTACTTGAATAATTTTGTGACCATTGTCGCGTTACAGCTTTCCAAAATTCCTTATAGTTTTGCTTGTCTGTGTGACTCAATAACATACAGGTATATTATTGTATACAACTTACTGACCAAATTTGTAATCGCATGAATGATGAATTACCAAAAAGAAATGTGTTACCAAAAATTTACATATTTTTATTAGAAAAGTAGTGATCCTCATCTACATCAGTTTGTTGTTCATGCAGCCCTTGATCTTGTTGATGAAATGATGTGGAGTACAAATAACATGTAAGGATACTTGTGTCCTTAAAAATAGGTATTGTAGTTTTGATGAACATAGTTTAGGCTAGGGAGGCTATGTACATGTTCTCTTTCCTTTCAGGTATCTAAAAGTTGTTGACAGATTTAATGAATGGTTTGTTTCTTCCTTTGTTACTGCTGGAGATATCCTTTTCTTGGACATTTAATAACATGATTAAATACACCCTTGAAAATAGCATAAGAATGTCAAGTTTTCTTAATGGTTCAACACAAAGTTTTTTTCGTAAATTATGTTTATATAAATAGAAAAAATCATCCTTAACATTCTTTAAGAATGAGATTCATGGTCTTGCATGATGTAAAAAATGAAGATGGAATAAAGAACTTCTTTAATGAAGTTTATGAGACATTTATCAAGGTATATCAATTTATAGGTATATTAAGTGCCCCCCCCTATCTCGTACACCTATGATAATTGTTTTTGTTTCCTTGCACTGCAGGTGATGATGAACCCATTCTATCAACACAACACCAAGATAAAACTTCCTGTGTTTGATAAGAAGGTCTTGCAAGCAGGAAGAAAACATTTGCTAAATTAAATATTGTCATTTACACCATTAAATATTTCGAACGAGTATAGTGGAGTATAAATTATTTCATACATTTCCAATAGACCTTTTTGGTAATTATATCACAACATTTTAACATCACAACATTTTAAATTTAGAACCACTTAAATGAGATGGATTTCAAGTTTTACTCTCACAAGATGCAAATTATGTTGTGACGTAATTACCGAAAAGGTCTGTTGTCTGACTGGTTGATATATTGTATGTTTTGTAAAAAGGAGTTATAATAAATAATTTACGGATACCTCTACAGTCTGAGCATGCACTGATTAGAGGAAGGTGCAGGTGCTGTGTCCCTCCTCCCTGTTCCCCTCAACAAAAAGATTCGGCATCTATGTCCCATATGAACCATTTATCCGTCGCGTTGCCTGATATGATAATAAACCTTATTTTTTTTTCTGTGCAAAAAAAATTAGAAAGTTTGTTATACTTTTTTCAGAATCACACGCATGTGTCAGAATTTGCTTTGTTTATTTATGTATATTTTCGCGCTCTTCGTGAAATTTCCCCTCTGTACAAGATGAACTGTACAAAAAAACATATAAGAGAAAGCGCTCCGTCTCCAAAAAATGTTTCGTTTGATTTTCTTTTTTGAGTGGGCGCCACCTGGCAGTTTCGCGCATTAACACACGAGATTACATTTATATAGGAATGTCTCATTATGGAAGCATTTTGCCCTTTCCAGAAAAACCATCGAAATTTAAGAATTAGTATATTTTTTAAACAACTAAAAACTTGACATAATTAAAACCATAATTATCATCATCTTTCCCTAAATCATGCAAACTTATAACGTCTTTAATGACCCTAATTGTGCATACAGCTAAATAGGTACAATCAAATACTTCTATATTTATTTTTTTCTGGATATTTGTTCACTTTAGTTTCGTTTTATAGATATCCTACTATTAATATATGCCTAATATTTCGTTTCGTAAATTATATAAAGTCATGCTTCGAAACCGCAATTTTCATTTGCAATTGGATCGATAATCATGATCAAATCACCTTGATTGACAAGTTGTCTGACAGCAGTTAAAATTTGACGAACAGTTCCTGAAACAGGGGAATAACACGGACACTCCATTTTCATTGCTTCAACAGTGGCTACTACTTGACATTCCAACACAGCTTCTCCAGGTTCAGATAAAGCAATTTCCCATATTTTACCAGTCACTGGAGCGAATATACCGACAGTGCCTTTCGGTAGACTGATTTCAGATTGAGAGCTGCCATTTTGTGTTGTTATCAGATCTCTGTCCCATTCATCATCTGGTCCAAGAAGCTTTAGGCTCTTCTCTTCCTCTTTTAGCATTGTATTCACCGCTTCTTTTTGGGCAGCACGATAGCACTCGATTTCTTTGGACAGTCCATGGACAAAGCTGCAAAAATAAAAAAATCAACCCATCAGTTGGATTTCCGTAAGTTATAAAGTATTATATTGTAATGGACTTAAGCAGTGTTAGTCAGGACATAATTATTTAATTCGAATGAACTGAGCATTTTGTTGAATATAATAATTTATCATTATACTGGCATAAAGTTACAAAGTTTACTGGTGTCGGCTTGTTTCGTGAAAGCAAAAACTGTCTTCGGATTCGGGGAAACAAGAAGTAGCATATTCATATTGATCACAAACCTGTTGTACTCGGCGATATCAAACATCTCGTTCTCTACCTCAAGCTCCAGTGCGCCACTCTTGAAGTTTGATCGCATGACATCCAACTCTCCCTCCGAAACAGGAAAGAAACGAATCTGATCAAACATCTGCAGCATCCACGGTTTCTCCTTTCTGAACAGTTTCGGATTGCTGTTTCCAAACGTATTCCAAATTGGTAAAGTGCGACCAATGAGCTGATAACCACCAGGACTATTCATTGGGTAGATACACATGTAGGATCCTCCTAGCCCCACCGTGCCTTCTTGGGTGTACGTTCGGGCCGGATTGTATTTTGAGGTAATCAAGCGATGGAGAGGGTTAACAGGAACAGCACAGCAGGCTCCCAGGTAGACATCTCCAAGACCGATGCACATGTAGGACGCAGAAAATACCCTCTCCATGACGTCTTCGACTCCTTGTAGGCCGTTGTTTTTGAAAATGTACTCGATGTTCGACGGGAGGTACGGTGCATGAGCCCGCACTGATTTCATGTACTTCTCGATAGCCTCGTTAACACCGCTGTAGTTGAAGCACATTGGTAAGTTTAAAATTCGCGTCGGAATTTTCTGATCAGAGATGTCCGTGATCTCGTTATCCACTTTCGTGACTATCTCGATTAATGTCAACAGGGACAGAACCAGAGGGTTGTAGCGCAGCTGAAGAGATCGCACACCTGGAGCGGATTCTTCTAATCCATCGATATTGCTTCTTAGGAGTTTTTGCTCCAGGATATGGACGCGAAACCGGAGATTAAGATCGAGAACCATTGGACCATATTCGATTAAGATGTAAGAATCTCCAGCCATGCGAATCTGTAACCGAGGCCGAGTGTTCGACTCCGGAATGGTGCGTAATACCGACTTTGTTTCAGGGAAAAACTCCGGATTCGAGCTGTCGGGTTCTTTGGGGCTCCATTCCAACGTTCGGATATACTCGTTCTGCTTTCGCCTTGATTTGATAGCATCTTCAATAGTCATTTTGAAGAAACTGATGGTATCTCCAGCTTTGACTTGACCAATTTTCCACAATTCTGACTGGACAATGGTACACGGACAGACAAACCCCCCGAGACTTGGCCCATCCTGACCAATGATTATCGGCATATTGCCAGTGAAGTTGACCGTACCGATGGCGTATTCACAGTCATGGATGTTTGACGGATGATTACCCCCTTCCCCGCCATTGGGTCGCGCCCATTCCGGAGATGGGCCACATAGCCTGATTCCCAAGCGATTAGAGTTCTGGTGGACTCGCCATTGAGTGGTGTAAAACATGTGCATGTCTTGATCGGTTAGATATTCGGGATTGTCGTGCGGACCAGGAAGAACTCCAATCGACCAGTTTGTGCCATACTCTCCCGTGATAGTCGAAGGGTCGAGTTTGTCTGCAACACCATTGATGCTCCTTTCAACAGTCCCGTTGTTTTCAGGCACTCCAATCGCTATCATGTCACCAGCTTTTAACGCTCTGCCCTGATAACCACCAAAATTACCGTTAGGAAAAGTTGCTCGGCTCCCAAGGTACTTTGGGACGTTTATCCCACCGGCGACGGCAAAGTAAGCTCGCGATCCTAGATTACTGCTAAGGTTGCCAATTTTTAGTATGCTTCCAGCTTTAATCTGGACTCTTTGCCACATCCTAACTGGCTCATCATCGAGTGTAGTCTCCATCGATGCTCCTGTTATAACGACAGTTGTATCTAAGTGAAACTTCAAGGTTGGCCCATATTGGGTTATTTCTAACACGGCATCCGTCTCTTTATTATTCACAAGACGATTAGCCACTCTGCTGGCTAAATGATCCATTGGACCACTCGGTGGGACTCCAATACGCCACAGCCCTTTACCTTGCCGTCCCGGCCAGTCTTGTACTGTGGTTAACAGCCCAGGGGCAATAACCTCAGCAAACGAGACACTGTACGTCAACAAATTTTGTTCATTTGTATAAGTCTCTCCTTTGACAAATTGATCCGTCATAAGAAACTTTCTGAAGTAGTCAAGGTTGTTTAGAGGACCAGCAATAATGGTGGCGTTCAATGTTTTGAGCATTGAATGGATTGCTTGTTCTCGTGAAGGTGCTAATTGAATGATATTTGCCAGCAACGAATCGTAATTTGATGATACCAGGCAACCACACTGAACCCATGTGTCTACGAGACGGCTACCTGACACATTACTTTCCTCAGAAAAGCTAATCTCGGTGATTAAACCAGTTGACGGCATGAAATTCTTTAAGACATTTTCAGCGTAAACGCGGCACTCAATAGCATGACCTTGTGGTTGAAAAAACAACCGTGTTAAATCAGTTCCCTCGTACGCGTGTCGTATCATTAACTCCACTAAGTCAATGCAATAACGAAGCTCTGTTACCCGATGTTCAACCTGTAGACGAGTGTTGACCTCAAGGAAAAAGAACTGTTTTTGAACATCATCAAATATAAACTCAACTGTCCCAACTGATTGGTAGTTCACTAGTTTGCAGAGGCGCACTGCCAGCTCACAAACTTGGTCTCGTTGTTCTTGTGTCAGCGCCGTAGAAGGGGACTCCTCGATAAGCTTCTGGTATCTACGTTGAACTGAGCATTCTCTCTCACCTAGGTTGATAACGTTACCTTTGCCATCGCCAAACACTTGAACTTCAATATGTCTCGCATTCGGGATATATTTCTCCATGTAAATGTCACTATTGCCAAATACCTTAGCGCAGAGTTTGCCACATATTTGGAAATTCTTGCACAACTGGAAATATAATAGCCAATGGTTACATCGCTCCTGCAATGTTGCCTATGCTAATATCTTACTTCGAAAGGGATACTTAGGAATAAACGTGGTGCATTGAAAAGAAATCGTGAGATTGAAATTTAGAAAAATTAAGATGTAACATTGTTGGATTCGGATATAAAAAACTGGGGTATTTTTGTGTTCTACCAACGGTCAGTTTGCGCCCACCATTTCAGCCGTATGTTCATGCTGTTTGTGTACGTAGCGAAAGCGCTTTTTTCAGTCGCACTTTGCTGGTTCCGTCAATTATTGTTGTAAGATGAGGAATTGCTATTCAATTTCTGTACATAATTGCAGTACTGTCTATTTTACCTGTTCTTTGTTTTCACACAACATAATTCCAATTCCTCCGCCACCATTTGCTGGCTTGAGCAGAACAGGATATCCAATGATGGTCGCCCACGAAATAGAGTCCTTGATATTTTTTATTACGCTAGATGAAGGTGCTGTTGGAAGACTGACATCGTTCTTCTCCGCGATTCGCTTTGCCGCGATTTTGCAGCCAAGATGCAGCATATTCTCAGCAGTTGGTCCAACAAATATAATGCCTGCTTCTGAGCATTTTCGAGGGAAGGTAGGATTCTCGGCTTGAAAGCCATAACCAGGAATAATGGCATCGCACAATGTTTCTTTTGCTAGGCGAATAATCTCGTCAATGTCCATATAAGAAGTCACAAGATATTTTTCTTCGGACTGAGTGACGTGAAGAGATTGATAATCCTCTTCAGTGAAGATCGTTGTATAGCCAATGCCAATCTCTTTGCATGTTTTTACAATTCTTGACGCACATACACCTCGGTTTGCTATAAGGATCTTTCTGGCTCTAACCATTTTCTTAGATATTCACAGAAAGGAAAAAATGCTGAAAAGAAAAAAATGCTGATAAGCAATGTACCTATTTTGGTATTAAAATTTTTTATATGTGTCTGGCATTTATGCATAGTAAAATGATGAAATAAAAATCTTGTTTACTGTATGGGTAAATTGACTTTATGCAATTTAATTGGATTTTTTCAAGTGTAAAAAAAAGCCATTGATTGGCTTTTTTTGTGTTGAAATATATAGTTAGCTTTGCCTTTGGCGTCAAAAATTAGGAGTGACTCAAAACGCATTCTCAAATTTCAAGCCAATTCCACATTCGGCACATAACATTATTCTATTGAACAAAAAATTACGAAGAAACTAAACGGTATAAAAAATATGTTTTGACGCATAAAATTCAGTTTGATTTTGTTGCTCGCTGCGTTTTTAAAAATATGAAAAATTGGTAAACTATACTTCTTATTCCGCATGAGATAAGAAAAATTGGTTGACTTTAAAAACCGTGTCGTTGTCAAATTGACCTCAATATACACATTTAATAAGGAAGTCACTTCATGGTTGGCTTCTTGGTACGATTTTTATCATTGCGATCCTTCACAACTCGTGCACTTGCCAACCATTAAGTAATCTACATATTTAGACGATTTAATGGCTTTGCCGTAATATAATAATTAATGTCCAGCATAAGGTATGAACAAATGGTATGAACAGTAAGTTGAAAGAGCATTCTGATCGGATGATGATAGAAAAAATAAGTTTTTAACTATATAGGCTCCAAAATTTTATCCCAACTCAAAGTCATTATAAATATATGAAGAAGCAAATATCGTCAATCGTAGAGTTGAATGAATCGTGGTATCATCAGTTGCTGTGTGACGGCTATCCCACCAATACAGATTTAGCAAAGTCGTATAATGATTTTCTGGTCGGTTTGACAGCTCATTTCACGCCCTTGAATAATGCTGACAATATTGACGTAAGCGTAGGTTCTAGATTCCTTTCCAAATAGCAAAACTATTAGAAAGCTTTGCCTTGAATTCCCTGTTACTGGAAGTTGAAAACAAATTAGATGAGAAACAATTTGCCCTTCCTGAAAATCAGCTACTGACGCATGATGTGCCTACTTCATGTTATTCGTAGAGGTCTTGATAAAAATGATTGTTCAGCAAAAAGGTTCGATTTCGTTGACCATAATGACATCGCTGAACTTGTTAACCTTAATGTCAACCTAGCCGCGGCTTATATAGAGCTAACTAATATAGAGCAATGCATGTGTACAGCTTGGTAGAGTCATCCTGGAAGAAAATTACTGAAAGATACTAAAGTTGGTTCTCTTCTCTTGGATCTCTTTGCAATCGTACTGGTTAATTCTCTTCTTGGGGATATTAGTTGTGGATATTATAATTATTATTCCCTAATGTTCACCAGGCCAATACTGATATATTATCACTGGTAGTTAATGAGATGTCTGACTATATGAAATTTCACAAATAATTTTCTAAGCTTTTTTTGAGAGCCACGTCTTCGGATTCATTTGGTATTCAGGTAACCAATATATACAGCTTCGTTTTTTCCACTTTCTTCGCCCGAGTTACTAGTTACCGTCGCTCAATAGTCACAACATCAGATATAACCGCTTCGTCATTTGTGCAGTAATTTAGATTATATGTTAATTTATACAACACAACACTTCAGCTAGCCTCCTCCGCAGGCATCTCTTATGCAGGCCCGGAGCTACGGGGGGGTTTAGGGGGGTGTCACACCCCCCCAGAAAGTTTACTCTGAGGTTTATAGTCGGTAAAATTGCTATTTTAGTCGGCAGACAAACATACTGTTGACACTATAGACCGATCCGATATAAACTTGACAAAGTTTCATCCAGAGTGTAGTCGGTACAAGTCCGTCGATCAGTCGGTTTAGATTACCTTACACCCCTCCTGTACATAAGAGTCTTATGTATTTATATTACTAATATATCTAAAATAAATACATAAGAGATGCCTGCGGAGGAGGCTACACTTCAGCCAGAAAGGCTCAGAAAACCAGAGAAATAAACAAAAGCGCAAGGTGTGCGTTACGTCGGAAGTTTAAACAATGAAGCGTCAATAAGCAAAAAGCAGTGTTACCACAGTCTCTAAGCACGGGTAACGTGCAGTGAAATATTAAGAAAAATAGACATAGTATATAAGTAAAAAATATCCTTTCAGTTTGTGTGCTAAAATTGGGATTTTATCATAGGCTGAACGTTGGCGTAATATTTCATGAACTATCAAAGTTCCAGACAATTTCAGTCAGTCAGTCATGGTGTAAACATTCCGGGGGGGGTGACTAGTAATGTAACGCTTTTAAATCAGTTCAACTTGTTATATTTATTAACTATCCCTTTTGCTAAGTTCACAAAAATATTGAGGAATCGTTTAGTTTTCAAACAGTTTTTCCAGAGGAGTTGAGATTGCGGGCACATGTTTCGCTCTAAGGAGCATGCCCAGTAAGCGATGATAGCGTTTTCAAATCGTTTTCAAAGCATAGACAATCCAAAAGGCATGTCTTTGCAACTAGACAAAACTTTTGTCTGGTTGTCTTTTGGATTGTCTATGGCATGAACAACTAAAATTATAATTTATATGATCGCGGCTAACGTAATTTGAGTACTTTGAGTAATTTCCTGTTTCATTATAAAGTGTAATGTTTAACCTAGTTATTTATATTTTTCCCGGCATAAGTCAAAACGTTTATGTTGGGACAAACGTCTGGTTACAATCCCTAGTTACAATTCTACTCTAGTTACAATTCTACTCGAAGTGTTTTTAAAATGATTCATTCTCTGGCAACTTACATTATGTGCCTAAAGGACCGGATCATATGAATTTAACGACCTCTCATGCCATTGGAGCGCAATAACTGGGGCCCCGTCCACACGTATCCGGATTTTTTTTAAAAACGGAGGTTATTTATCCGTTTTGGCCTTGCGTCCACACGTTTTCGGCAACCGAAAACGAAGGTTTTCAAAAACGCTCTCCAGAGTGGAGTTTTTCGAAAACGTCGGTTTCGTGTTTACGTGTCACGTGTGGACGGGCGAAAACGGAGGTTTTCGAATTCGATGACGTTTATAATCGGATCCAGTCTATTAACGGCGCGTGTTTTGTATCTCTAATCTCTTCAAGATGGTGAACTAAAATTGCTTGGCTGTTTTACTTTGGCCTATTTCATAATTTCAAGTCTAATAGCATGCATTCAGCTTCATGTTACTAGCTAAACCTTCACGGAGAGTGTTTAAAAAAGCGAATGAATATAATGAAGTTGCTTCCCGTCTCACCAGCTAGACCTAGTCGCTAGACCACAAAGATGTTGGTCATTTAGTCATTTTAATTCAAGAAAGAGCGAGCATAAAGCGAACCCAAAGTGAATACGCGGAATTGTTTTTAAATTCCGCCAAATTAACATAATTGCATGTTATCTAGGCGCGCAAAATTAATACCCTTCTGCGATCGTTTCGAAACGCTCATATTACTTGGAAATGCGCATGCTCTACGCCTGGTGCTATCAAATTTCCTTCCTTTTAGCGTTCACGTGTGGACGGGCAAAAACGATTCGAATACGCTTCGTGTGGATGCGAATTTTTTTAAAAACGGAGAAAAAATTTTCCGTTTTTTAAAATATCCGGATACGTGTGGACAGACTGGAAAAAGAAGCCAAACATTAGCCCCGTTTACACTACACTGAATTTATCGGCACGGCACGGCTGAAATTAGTACCCGACTACCCGTGCCGCCCAATTTTATAAGTGTTCAGGCTACCAAAACAAAGGCCGAGAACAGATGAAATGGGCACGGGTGCCCATTTTAGCCGTGCCGTGCCAATAAATCGAGTGTAGTGTAAACGGGGCTATTGTTTTATTCGGCCCGATTTCTTTGTTTGGGAACAAAGGTTATTGTAATAATATTTGGCTTATTTATTCAGTAATCTGGCAACTCGTATACTCACTGTGGCATACTTCAGCAACAAATTTTGAGCTGGAGTTAGAACCCCCATGTTCTTGTGTTATTTTAAACGCATTCGCGTGCGTTTGTGTTTAAACGCACAATTCGTTTGTTTCGCAATGGAATTTTTTATCACAATTTCAAAAGATCGAGAACCCCCATGTTCTTGTGTTATTTTAGACGCATTCGCGTGCGTTTGTGTTTAAACGCACGATTCGTAATTCGTTTGTTTCGCAATGGAATTTTTTATCACAATTTCAAAAGATCGTGAAATGACCAATGAAGACAAAGACTTCAAAATGTTTTTAACACATAGTGCGACAGCTTTTTCCCGACGCAATGTTTCTTAATACACAGCGAACTTCCAAATCCAACTAATCTTTGGCGACAAATGAACAAATAAGTTGAACGAAATTCTCGATATTAAAAGCATATATAGGGTCTAACTCTAACCGTCTAACAAAGACGGCCACTAAGGGGCTGTTCACATGCATGAGCCCGGATAACGAGATTTAAAACTTATTTCAATACTTTACGCTTCGTTAAATATTGGTAACCGGGCTCATGTGAACAACAGTAGCGTAGCCAGCCTGACGATTTTGTCCCGCTATGTAAATTTCGAGTTATTATAATTATTCATGTCTTTAGAAATCTATTGTTTTCACAGTAAGTGAACACAAAAATATTAACATAGCGGGACAAATCGACAGGCTGGCTACGCTACTGGTGAACAGCAACTAAAGCTGCTTATATAGGTCACGAAACTGGAAACTCTTTATAGAATCATCATGTTGATGACCATAGATTGGCCGGGATTAGTGTAATGGATTAGCTTTAAACCTAACCACTAAAAAAACTACGGAAGAAAAGGACGACTTACCACAATTTTCACAATCTTGATTAATGCGATGTCTTGCGTAATGTTGATCAGTTGATGTCTGAGGCGGAGTGCCCGTAAAGCCTGGTTTACATATGACGCCGACTTGTAGCCGACTCATTGTCTGTAATCATCTAATTGCAAGGAGAAAATGATTTCAGAAAGACAAAAGGTTTCACTCATCAATAATCACCGACAATAATACTTTGCGGCCGGCGATGATGCCAAGGTCAAACTCATTGATGGTTGCAAAGTAAAAGTACTTCGCCTCATTTTTTTATTCGGACGATATATTCGGACTGAATGCCAAAATGCAGAAAACCAAAAATTGTGTTTAGTAAAAAATTTATACGCAAGTTATAAATTTGCGGTTAATGGAGTAGTATGTTCCAGAAGGTCCTATTTTACCATAGGCAGCCCAGAAATCTGTTTATACTCAGTCTTCGACTGCATTGTTTACGCGCGCGGTCAGCTTCTACTGTCTGTACTAATTACTGTATTATGCATTGATCGAAATATCTATTCATAAAAGACATAATTTCAAATGGATAAAAGTTGTTATTTCCTATGAGATAACACGTTATCTCACTCTGCAGGGGGTCGCGCTGGCGACATCAAAATTTCGTTACTCTTGCGAAATCAAAACTTTGACAAGTGGTATATACAGCATTTGCATGTCATTTAAAGAAAAAAGAAGAACATTTTAAAGAATGATTGGTATTTCAATAGCGCTGAAAGAACTACAATAGCGCTGATTGAAAATCAATTGTATTAGTGCGAAAGTTCAAAGCTTTCCTACTTTTAGACAGCTAAATAATATCTCAATTTCAGCTTCACATTTTCGCGCGCAAGCCCTCTAAATATCAGCAGTCACTGAATATCAGTGGAAAGGAACCACCCCCCCCCCGGCCCGGTAACATAATTTTGTTAATGAAAAACCAAACTTGGCCTAGGTATACCAGATATGTCTTAACTATCTCTAGGAACACAAAAATTTGCCAAATTTTGCAAAATATTCTGAAAAACGAAAATTTTACATTTGGGACATTGTTTTGATACACCCTGTATATATATATATATATATATATATATATATATATATACATTTTCCCCTTTATTTGCACATTTAAATACTATTAATTTCGTTCCTGTTGTACTGAACTCAGCCATTCAGCAATTTTATTCATCTCCGGATTTGAAGTGTTTCTTGAAGCATTTAATGTTGGAATGACCATGCAATACACTTGTATCATCCGCAAATAAAAGAATTGAAACAACTTTGATGCAATTTTTAATATCATTTATGTATCACTAGTAAAATGAAGAGTAGTAGTCCAAGTATTGAACTCTGTGGTACACCTGTCAGCAAACATTTTTCTGAAGATTGAACTGAATTAAATTTAAGTACTTGATTCCTATTATTTAGATAGCTTTCAAAGCAATATTTTGTTACACCTCGGATCACATAATACTCAAGTTTCCCAATCAGAATCCTGTGATCGATGGTATCGAAAGCTTTTGATGGATCAAGGAAAATGCCAGCTGTATATTTTCCTTCATCAATAGCCCTAGCCACTTTATCTGTAAGTTCAATGATAGTATGTTCTGTTGACCTGTTTCTTCTAAATCCATGTTGACTCTTGTTTAAGATATCATTTTTTTCAACAAAGTCAATTAGTCTTTTGTATAGCAACGAAAAGAAAAGGCTGCCCACCTGACTCTTGACCCATCTCCTGAGTATTCGGGTATTAGGTTGACTCAGTGTACTCAAATAAGACTGGAACGCCAGCTCTGCGAAAAATTTAATTTTAGCTCGGACAAGATCATAGCCTGAATAGAACAAGGCAGTCTTTACCAGCCATGTTAATAGTTATATATAGTCCAAAATCTGACCGAACTCTGGCATCTTGAATGACTGTTGGCACGTGAACAACTGATGCAAACTCGTGTAATGGCCAATCGAACTCCCCTGACTGTCTTTCCCTTCACCCGTAAAAAAATAATGGGCAATGGCCCCCTTTTTCTGCAGGGATGAATTGCAGTGATTAAACAATGGCAGGAAGTGCTGTCTTCCTGGACAACACCTCACCACGTAAAGTGCTTTTTTACAGGTCATTCTGGTCGAAAACGCGACCTGATGACCTGACCTAGAGTCACTGTTGGTTTCGAAACGGAAGGTCGTTCAATTTATCATTCCATAAAAGACTTTCTGGCAAAAACAAGTTGTTCTTTTCCGTTTCAGCGCGAAGATTTACATCAAACGCGTAAATTTGGTTAGCATGCAAATGCGCAATGCATGCGGTAGCCCTGCCTAGCCACGCTATGTCAGCCACAAAAACACATCGCGGTTTCTATGTTTTTCAAAATCCGGTTCATTCTACCCAAGAACAGCCTGCCTAGCTTAGGTCACTCACAAACGTTGAGTCTCGAATGTGGTAGCCCGCGAATAACAATATCTATTTATACGCTTATTCCACGGTGGGGGGGGGGGGTGATTATTCCGCTTGTAAGAAAACAAAGGTTTGTGCTACAGTTCTATTCACATTGTGAGACAAAATTTCTATCTGTATTCTACCTCGATCAAAGCTATATGTCTACGCGTATTTTAGTTAAAGTTGGTGCTTCTGCAAACCAAAGTAAGTACATAGATAATACGTTGTTTCAGTTAGCAATTGTTCCGCTAAATGTTTCACACAAAAGGATTAATAATCTGCGCTTTATTTCATGCATGATTAAGAATCTGTTGTAATCGGTGTATATAACTCATTTGTCTAGTGTACGCATGTAACGCACCCTCGCGCACCAAAACCTGCGCTAAGTGTTTCGATAAACGCTGCTAAAATCGGTTTAGTGGTCATATTGCACGCTAATAATACTCATGTTATAGCATAGTTAGTCTGTTTGCTTATCATATTTTAGTTCGAACCGACGGAATCTGAACATGCAGGGGTCTGCCTCACCGCCTGTTCCTTTAGAAAAACCATGCTCTGTCGGGTTTTGAGTGCCCTAGCTTAGTGTCATAGTATACTAATGGTGGTCCCTGGATCATCAGGTCTCAACTCACTGAACATGCACAGAGCTGGCCCACACCCTCTGCAACTTAGAGGTCCTCCTGTTAGGTAAAACTTAGGTTAATTAGAGCCTCTAGACCTTTTTTCGCGCGCTTCCTGCCCAATTTATGCCACAAAAATGTTTCATTGTGTTGTTGTTTTGCTAAGTTGCCAGACATTCACAAATCCTTTATACTGATGAATCTCAACATATAAACTACATTAATTATGAATTATTACAGTAAGACTTTCATTAACCCCCAGATATTGGTCTCTATCTATATTATACTTTAAGTTCTACAGAGCGGTAACAGTGCAACGTTTCACGAAGTGTGTATATATTCCATACTTTCTCTTTTAACTTTAGTTAACTCTTTCCTTTTTCTCAAAGTTTCAGTGGCATAATCTGCAATGATTAAACAAAACGGGAAGACATTCAAGAGAGAAGAAATAAGTTGTTAAACGTAGAGTACGGGCAACAAACTTCCGCAAAGGATAAACATATTTGTGCTACAACATTTAATGATGTGTATAAAGCCCGGTGGAGGAAACAACTAAGCTGAACGTCACTCGTGACTGTTAGCTGAGCTGTTTCCTCAAGTGTGCGGTGTCATATTCTGCATTTTCTGGCACGCATGCTATCGGGGTCGAATATTCAACATGAGCATGTTGAGCAGATTTTTAGCCCAATCATCGTATTTAGCGGATTTTTGGCCCGATATTTCTGTCTGTGTCCTGCAGGAATGACCCATTTACCCACTTTTTTCGGTGCCGTTTAAATGATTTGTTGACCGCTGAAAAAGTAATAAATGCAATGTTTCTTAAATTTAAATGTGTTTGAACCCACTGTTAATCAGTTAATTCATTTTAGGCGATTGGCATTCGCAACTGTTGAGCCGATAGCTGAGGAGTCAGGACGCGCGCACACTGTGAAGAAATGTTCACTTAATGTATGCCTAACGTTGCCTCGTGCCCGCGCACTTTTAACATGCTTATGATCCTATATTGTGTAAAATTCACATTCCAGTTTGTCCTTGCATGTCTTTTACTGCACTGTACTACAGCTAACACGTTTAAAAGCGTAGTACTATTAATTGTTTAAAAGCGTAGTACTATTAATTGTGCATGTTTATCATTATGAAAACAGTCATACTCATAGACATAGTGAAACCATTGCCATTGAGAAACAAAGAAAGGTAGAAGTGAAGAAGAGCGAATTACAGACTTCAAAGTACGCTTATATGACATAGTTTCGGACAGAGAATATAGTCACAGAGGCCAGTCGGCCAATCAGGAACACAGCTTGTCGACACACTACGTCACAGCCAATACTTTTCCCTAAATGTCTAAAATAGACATCAATTTAATCTCATCTATTCAGTAGGCGGTTATTATAATCAATTATCTGTAATATGCATACATTTCTATGGTGATTTCTGCGAAGAATCTAAAAAGAGATTTGAATAAGAAATGGGTGAAGATTATCGTATATCTCTCGGGACGGGGGGAAGGCGGAGGGGTTGTAGCTTTCCCCTGAAAAGGGTTAATCTATGTGAATGTGAAACTTTCTATGCTAGTACAAACTCATTTTTTTACCTGATTGGAAACAATCCTTATCTTGAAAACATATCACCTGACCATCCTAATGTGTTAAATAATAGTACAAAATAAAGAGCTTGAAATAGTTAGCGATACTCCTAGACGTTTGTCGCGAATTATATAAGGACGGTTTTATTCCATTCATTCCTAGTTATCACTTTATTCTTTTGTCCTAATGTTGCATAATAAATAGATATTTCTACATCATATAATAATTAGATACAATCATAGAATAACTATAGATGATATATCGAGAAACACAAATTGTTTTTACCTGACATAAGCACCTACGACAATCACCGTCCCTCCAATCATCACTGTTTTTATACGTCTTTCCTTTGTAAACACATTCGTTGCTTTGAGCAGAAGAACGAGATTTCCAGTCTTGAAGAGCCTTCACCTTCGCAATAATGTGATTGATATAAATTAGTAGAGATAATATTATAATTTAGTCCGGAAAATGGATTTAGATGGAAAATTTTTCAGATATCACATATTAACGGCCGCTGAAGTATATGCAAAAACTGTTACCTCAAGCTGAAGTTGCTCAATGATGTTGATTACACTTTCAAACGTCTCACAGGTTGGGCAATCTACAGTAGAAATATTCACGACAACTATACGACTAAATTTATGATAGCAAGGCTGCAGGGCAAATGAACAAGTTTATGGTCTAAAGTTATATTACATAAGCGTAAATTGAGTAAATTTGCATGCTGAAACTAATATATTTTAGCCAAGACAAGACTTTTTGAGTCTTGTGAATATATATAGCATCTTATGAATATAACTATTTTTTTTCCTTACGATCACAAGTCTTTCCGTCAGCTGCTAATTTGAATATTGGTCTGCAATGACATTCGTGGCTTCCCTCAGTGTTGTTGCATATTTGAGAGCAACCTCCATTTTCCTAGCATGCCCAATTCAAAAACAATAATTAAATATCAATTTGAGATTTATACCCAATGCAATATGGGATTTTTGAACCATTAAGTGCACTTAACTAACCCTTTCACATTCGTTTATATCCAGACAACGGCTTGCATCATTTGGATCTTTTTGATACCCAGGACGGCATGAACAACTGAAATTGACGATATGTATGAGGGAATTATAACAGGGCTCTCACAATTGAAATATGCATACTTTTTACTTGGGGAAGGATGTTTTGAACAAACTGAGACAAAGAAAATTTGAAAAGAATATATTAAATATTCCTCCCTCCCCTCGAAGGAGTCAAACTTTTCTAAGGAAATTTCCATGGAAGTGAAGACGCTGGATTATAATCTATATCTATCAAATAACGATTTAAAGCAAATACAGGGGAACCCAGATATTTTTAATTCTCAGAAATAGGAAAAAAATATTGTGAAATACCAATATGTATTATATTTTCTGTAGCTATTAATATAATAGTACCAACCTAAATCCACCTTTTGTGTTGTTGCAGATGTGCTCACAGCCACCATTGTTCGTCATGCATTCGTTTCTATCTAAAAAATTTCAAAAGATTGCATGATTAATATAAAGTGATATGTTTCTAACTTTTTGAGCGACAGTAAACAATTTTCCCGGTAAAACTGCACGCCTTTTGGCTGCCGAAGTTGGCTGCCCAAATTATGCCCTTACCTCCCTGGCCCTTGCCCACTTCAACAAATTGTAACTATACGACTAACTACGGTAACTATACGTTACCCATTCATTACCTTGGCAAGTACAATTATCTTTTGACAAGAAATGACCATCGAGACAGCTGCATGAATATCCACCATCACGGTTGTTACATAAACTATCACAGCATGCTGTCTCCTCCAAACACTCGTTAATATCTGCAAAATCCATGCTTATATAGTTTATAGTTATTGAAAACGATTGCGAAAAAAGCATGGCACATGTCTTGGTTGAATTTCGAAGCACGAAAATTAATATTTTTTAAAACAAACGAATGATAAAATAAAGTTACACACACCTTTACAAACTAATCCCTTGTTCAATGAGTTGTAGCCATGGCGACATTCGCATTTGTGGCTGCCGGAAAACAGAACACATTAGACTAATTTAAATGGCTGTATACAAGTAAGTAGTTGGTTGATTGTTTAATTTTTTGCGGTTAGTTGGTTGTTCCCAGACAGTAAAAGTAGAAAGAGAGAGTTGCCGGACCATTTTATGTATAAACAATAGAGACATATGGTCTGGGGTCGGTTGTATCAAGCCCGTTTAGCTTAAACGATGGATAAGTCAAAATTAAATAACACTAGCTCTTACATCTCTCTTGAATTAGTCAACTAGAATATCATGCACTGAATATGTAGTTGTAAACCGTGTCGTTGTATTAAGGTTGAAAACATTTTGTTTGCTTGTTGAATAAAACGGTAGACCGTAGACCTGTTGTCTTTTTGAACTTAACCACCGTTTAAGCCAAACGGGCTTGATACAACCGGTCCCTGTCGAAAACAATAGATTTCCTGCATATCAATGCAACAACATTAGTCCCATAACATGACCTGGTCAAAACGCGCAATCCGCATATTTTTGAACAGGCAAGATTGGTGCTTGGTTTTCAGTGACGCAGCCTATAAGAAGTTGCGCGAGTTTCCGGAGTTAACGGTTCAGGGAGTTACTGGTTTAACGAAATATAAAACAGCCGTATAAGTACCTTCCGTTCGTATTGATACAGTTATGAGCACAAAGACCATTGGCGATTTCACATTCATTTATATCTAAAATTGGTCAATCATCGGACTCAGCAATACACCGGGGTTATATCCAAGCTTGCAACATATGCACATCTTGTGCAGTATATGAAAAATAGTAGCATATATGTGTTATTGAAATAACCGATAATGAATGTGCATGCATATTTCTGAAGATATTGCTTATATAGTTTCTTTGGCAATTACGTACAGTATTACTTTCTTTTTATATCCTTCACAATCACTGTATAGACGGCGTTCATTGAATTATTCAATGTATATATAAATCAATGTATATATAAATTAAGAAAATACTGCTGGCAGGAAACCAGCCATTGATGCTAACACTTGTGTTAGTTTTTAAAGTTCAACGACATCAGAGATGTAACCATTAAACGTGACCGAAAATCCAAGAAACTAATCGAATTTTAAGGAAATGCATACCTTCACAGGTTCTGCTGTCATTACCAAGCTGAAAGCCTCTGTTGCACTCACAGTAAAAGCTCCCAACAAAATTAACGCACCCATGAGAACATGGTGAATCAGCGCACTCGTTTATGTCTAAAACGAACAGAAATGTTAACTGAGGATTAACGCGACGTCTTTAAATGTAGTTGATTTATATACGCGACTAACCAGCACAAAAAGCTCTCAGCCACAACGCAATTTGTTAGAATTACATGTTGAAATTATGAGTTAGAATTCCTCTATAAAAAGTTTGAAAGGAATTCTATATTATATACTGTAGCTACCTGCACAGATTTTCGTGTTGGGGAGCAGAGAATATCCTTCCAAGCACGTACAATAGAAACTAAACAAAACAAAAAACACATATATCAAAATCCGCCTTACCTTAAACGGGTTCTGCTAAAAGCACCAAGTTACTTGTGAAAATTATATTAAAAGGGCACCCCGTGCAATAGACCTTTCTCATGAGACGTCACACGTGGAAGACCTGATTGGCTCTGCAAAAATCTGACACGAAGTCTGATTGGCTCTGCAAAACTATCACCAATGATCATGCACGACCATGTCATATTCGGGAGGGGGGGGGGGTTAAAACGAACCTTCCAGGAGTGTTTTTACAAACATGGTGACAGCCATGTTTATTCACATCAAGGCATTCGTTAATATCTAAATAAGGAAACAACAACACTGATAATACTGCAAACATTATCAGGAGGGCCGCGCGCAGAGAATTTCGAGATCGGGGCTAAAATTCTCGCTTGGGTGGCGTTGGCAAAGTATTTCTTTAGAAGATAAAGGATTTCTAGGTTTGAGGGCATATTATAAACACCAGAACTTTGAAATCTCGGTTGATAAATTCAGCAGATGCCACTTTACTTTGTTGGAGAGAAAACAACGCAGCCTCTGCGACGGAGGTTTAGTTCAGACAGCGTTCAACACTTCAACTCACCGACACATTTGTTCCAGTCAGCAAGATAACCACTTGGACAAACGCAGGAGTAATTTCCAATTGTATTGAGACATGTTGCGCCAAGCCTAGTATCACACTCGTGGCGTCCAGTAGTGCATTCATCTAAACAGTCAGTACGAGGTGTTATTTGGAGATAACTGAATTCATAATATTTCGGCTACAGTTTCAAAGATGATTAATTCATGCAGTTCACAACGCCCGTGAATTGCATGCGATTATGATTAATTGTTCTGATCTCCACGTGACAAATTTGATCTAATTTGTAATTATTATATAGCATATAACACTATATAGGAATAACTACGCATAAAATACCATGATTAACAAGGCAAAACGTAAATTGTACAATTTGGGCCTACAAGGGAAAGGTCCATTCTCAAAGGGAAAGGTCCATTCTCAAAGGGAAGAGCGAGTTAGAAAAATATATCAGATGACTGAGTACTGAAGGGAGTATCCAGTTAGAAAAATATATCAATGATTGAGTTTAAATCTAACTCAGTGCAAATAGTTAATAAAACAATAATAGATGGGATTTGAGTTTGAAAGTTATCACGCCATGGTCTTACCTATATCTCTGCATACAACATCACTTCCATTTTTACCAATCTCGTTATAACCATCATAACAAGCGCATTCATAAGATGCAGGCAAGTTAACACATTTCTGATTACATCCGCCATTATTCACTAAGCATTCATCGATATCGAAACAAGTCAACTGATCATCCCCTAGTTCATAGCCATCTGGACATGAGCAGTTGAATGAACCAATGGAATTGCTACACTGGTATGAACAGTTTCCTTTGCCGTTATTGCCAGAGCACTCATCTATATCTTCGCAGTTTATCGATCTACGCGGGGTTTTAAAACATTTTTAGAAAGTTTAAATACAAGTTTAGTGCAATACTGTAGAACGATAAATGTTAAACCTATTGCAATACGATTCGCCTGTATGCTGTAAAGATAGCTCTTTGCTGCTTGCAACACACGAGTACTCACTGGATGTCCGTCGGATAAAACCCTTTTTTACAATGACATTTGTAATCTCCAGGTTGATTGATACACAACTGCGAGCATCCTCCATTATTTACAAGACATTCGTCAATGTCAATACATGATTTCTTGTCCTCGCTCAAGTTGAAACCTCTACGGCACTCACATTGATAACTACAATGATGATATAGATGTAAATCAATATATACAATCTGAATTGATATTGACGATTTTGCTAAATGCCCTAGCTAGCTAAAGGTATGCTCAAGTCATTTTAAGGTGTGGCACATCTTTAACCATTTATAAAGATTTAAAAATTAAGCTAAACTTGTAAGTGTCTGTCGTTGCCTCAGAAGATGCAAGCGAACATTCACCAGCGATCAATAACCATGTCAGGCTATGAAAAATCAAGTTATCGAAACAGATACCTTCCTTCAAGATTAGTACACGCATGACAATCAGGCAAATCCAAATCACATTCGTTAATATCTCTGCATCGCTTTGATCTCCCAGGATACGGTTCATACCCACGAAAACACGAACATTTAAAACTTCCCGGCAAATTGATACACTCTTGTTCACATACACCCAGACTACCAACAATACATTCATCGATATCTGAAACACAAAAGTACCGGCTTAAGGTTGTGTCTTCCATGCACTTATCAAAAAGTACATTCAGACAAGTTGTGTATTCCTAGTATGGGATTACAGTTAATATACGGTGGATTTTTAGCGTCCACATTGTGCAATTATTATTATTATTTTTATTATTAAAACATCTTTATACACGGTATCTAATCAACCATACAAAATCGTTGTTTTTCATTAGGCCGTGTAATTACAAGCAATAAAAAATACCCACGTACCCCTCTCACCTGAAAAATAGTAACACATGCATGCACTCTAATCTACCCAAATAAGTTAAAAATAATTTACATGTTTTTATTTATTTCGTTTCAAACCTTTGCAGCAGCATACCCAAAGTTCGTTTCGTTGAATTTGTTTTTGGCTTTGACAAAATCAACTTATTATTATCAGTGCTTCTTAATTCATATCTTTCTGAATTTGATAGTTTAAACATATCCGAAATGTCAAGTGTATGGTGATGTATAGTGACTATTTACATGCACCAAATGCAGGGAAGACACTACTGTAACAATAAAGTATTTCGCCTACCATTGCAAGTTTTTCCATTGGCACTTAGTCGAAATCCAGGAGAACAGGTGCAATAATGACCTCCAGGCATATTCGTACAGTTGTGTTCACAATGATGGACGTCACGACCGAGAGAACATTCATTCACATCTAAAAATGCAGCCGACTCTCATTACCGATTCAAAGCAAGGGCAAAATTATTGCACTTATCAAAGATATCTGCAGCAGCAGTCAACACGTTGCATGATGTTGTCAACCTGTGTTTACTTTTCTCCCTAGCAATTATCTCAGTCGTAATTCGTAAGCTGGTTAGTTACTAGGATCACAATGTCTTTTTCGTCTACTAATTTACACTCATTTTCTAATATCAACAGCATTACCGTTTTTGGTACACAAATTGTGCAAGGAAGATATAAAGGGTGTCTTTGAGCTTCAGATTTGAGATTTCAAGAGTTTGGGTAAAATTAATGTACCTTCACACGTGCGTTCATCAGCCCCAATTCGGTAGCCTTTCCAGCAAGAACAGAAAAAACTCCCCAATGTATTATGACATGCCTGGTCACATCCCCCGTTACTTCGGGAACATTCGTTAATATCTGCGTCTGTCCTTCCTGAGACGAAAAACACTGGTAAGTATTGAAAATTGAAATCAACATAAATTAAACTAAACAAGTGTGCTACTGCCAGTGTCAATTAGAAATTTTATTGGAATTTTGCGCCCACTACATTTTATTAATAAAAATAACGCGGACAACTCCTGGCCGACATGGTGATTCAGTTTTATCGTAGCACTTTACTGTATGACGTAATCATCTTAAATCAGCTGGATGTAACGGTATCACTGGGAATCACTATCGACTATACTAAATGAAGTATTCTTAGATTTCACGTGTGACGTGTGGGGGCCAACTTGAGACGCAGTAATCGCGAGTGTTAGTTGTTGCCATTGTTGCTCGCTGCTGTGCACTGTGCAATATAAGCATCGAAACGTAATCAAACTTTTAGGACTGATCCTCATGTAAATTACTGATAGAAATGCTTAGTGAAACCCACCAATAAGTAATAAAAAGCTGTTTATTTGTTCTGCTATATAGCTACTATGCAGTACATCGCAGAAAAATATAAGGACACATTTGGAACTAAAACGATATTCAATTAACATGCTATAGTTATGCGATATTCAATTAATATGCTATAGTTATGCGATACTCCAGGAAGTAGCGTGGCACGTCTTCAAACAACTTCGCATCAAATGTTAGTATAACAACTGCTTAAGTTAGTACGATTCTCCTCACAAACACCCTTAGGTCAAAACTTTGTCTATTTCTAACAGTTGTTATACCACAGTTGATGCGTAATTATGCTATAGTACATTGCAATGAGTAATGTTGCGGAACAAACTAACCCTGGCATTTTCTTGCACACTCAGCTTCAGTTTCAAAATTATTTCCATTTGAATCACAGCCACCATAAATAAAAGTCTCACATTTTTTAGTGACTGTGTTGTAGAACCAACGATCAAAGCCAGCACGACAGTCACCTGTGTATGCTGGTCTGTTACATATATCATTCGTAGAAGCTCCTGCAATTATCCCAAAACAAGATTTAAGATTTAAGGGTCTAGACGCGCTTCAAAAGCCGTAAAAAACAAGGCCCTCGAGTGAAAACGTTGGTCACAAATTAAAAGACTACATGAACTCTAGACGCGAGGAACTTTTCAAACAATATACGTATGTATGATTTCGGGAAACTCTGAATTCAAGCTTGGGCGGGTGGGGGGTGTAGGGGTAGTAACGTTAATCCGGGCAAGGTATAACGACATTGTCTTTCTCAAAATCCCTGGAAATACTCAAAGCATGACTCGACATTCCAGCCGCGGTAATTTCTCGTGGAAGACAAATTGTATCATTTCGTGTCCTTGTTGGTCGAACTTTACGCATACCTTTTGCGATGTATTTTATTCGAAAACCTGTTCTTGTTACAGTTGCGTCAGCAACAAATCTGATAAGCATCTGATTCCGGGTTGACGGCCTAACGATAGGCTTCGTTTCACCACAATATCTTCCCAATTTCGGGGATTGATCAGTAGGACCGTCATAAACCTCGACATAATCATATTCACATCCATTGGCTAAAACGAAAAAATGCTTGTAGCTATATATACGGTATAGATCAAAATTTGGAAGATGAATATACGTGTTTAAATGAAAGAAAGTAAAAGTGAATCAGTGACAAATATATATTAGTACTAGAAGTAATCAAAGATTAGCAAGTGCGTTCGGTGGTCGACTATAGATATCCTTGATGTGGATCGAAATCCTTAAGGCAATGCGAATTAAAATCTGCTGTGAATCTTCAAGAAGTAAACGCGGTTTGTTTACTTTGTGAGAAAATAAAATTCCGGATTTCTCATGGCTAAACCAACGAAAGATAGATTCCTGAATTTTCAGTCATATTTCAAACACTTCAAGATCAAAATAATCGGCGAAGAAGTGGCGAAAAAGTACCTGGGTCTTCCAAATGAAATTCTTCAAAAGTCAATCGGATTGTCCAGCCACTTGTGACGTTAATTCGATAGTTACACTGAGTTGGTTGAGGATGGTTTCCGGGAAAATTGGGCGATACTATCTCACCAGAGTCTCTTGTGAAGACACGGTCACATCCTACATTGTTTCAGTTAAAATTATATAATTATACGTGTGATATGAATGTCTTATCCATTTGTGGTATTACGTTCTCTAGAATATTGTTAGGTTTGTGGTTTACCTTCATACTTGAAAAATCTATCTTGAGTCCAGTCTTACCGTAAGAACTTGTGAATTGCAGGGCGAATCCTCGCGCCTCAACGCCAGAGTCCGAGTGAAAGACGATATGAATTTTTGATCCAGATGAAACCAGTTTACTTGGTACTTGATTCCCACAATATCGCCCTATTCTCCTGGCAGACGTGGAATCACCGTCATAAATTTCCAAACGATCATATTCACAGCTAGGATGACGTTCAAACTAAGAAACAAGCCGATCAGTTTTTACCGGCGTAAGGAAGACCGAAAAATAGTGCGATGTGAGAACGAGTCCGGTATCTATATACGTTTGTGAATTCAACTTTTAAATTTTATGTACTATTGTACTATAGTGTGACAAAGCATCGATCATCGTCTTGATTCTGACCGGGTAGTTATGTAGCTATATACACGCAACTTACAGCAAAAGTAGAAAATCGCAGTGTTAGAATTTTCCCTTGAGTAGTGGAAATAGTCCATTCACAGTCGGTACTTTTAGGGTAGAGATTAGGATGGCGAGGACTTGTGAGGGTACCAGGCGCATCCAAATGCCTTTTTCCACATGACCTACCTACACATTAAGATGAAACACTAGTTGGCGTTGTCAGTATATCACTTTATAAGTACATATTACAACAAACAGTGTAATATCATGGGTTCTGAAGAACCTGCTGAGACATAATACTGCTGAGATATGACACATAATATATAGAATTTCTACTGAGACATAACAATTTACGACAAAACCACCATGAAGATTACGATACTCCAACTCTATATATTCAAAATTTATTTGAATATTTCTCTTAGCTGGCTTCCAGGCATTGTTAGCATTTTTATGGTCATTTTGGGAAGTCAGTACGTACCCTAATTTCGTTTAAAAATTTAAATGATGTCTTTATGAATGAAGGGTACAATAAAAGTTGTTGTTGCCGTTGCTGTTATCTTGAGCGGAATACAAGATATGATTTAATTTAAGTTATCGGCGAAACATTGTTTTATATGAGAATGTCGTAAGTATAGTTGTATATTTGTCACAATGGGGAGCATATATGGCTTGGTCTGTAATACTAGTTTATAGTACTAGTAGCATACACTACACGTCCACAGGGTTAACATACTTTATAACAGTAGTAGTATACACTAAACTTGTACATAGTTTATAACACTAGTAGTATACATTACACTTGTACATAGTCTATAAATCTAGAAGTATACACTACACTTGTACATAGTTTATAACAGTAGTAGTATACACTAAACTTGTACATAGTTTATAACACTAGTAGTATACACTAAACTTGTACATAGTTTATAACACTAATAGTATACACTAAACTTGTACATAGTTTATAACACTAGTAGTATACACTAAACTTGTACATAGTTTATAACACTAGTAGTATACATTACACTTGTACATAGTCTATAAATCTAGAAGTATACACTACACTTGTACATAGTTTATAACAGTAGTAGTATACACTAAACTTGTACATAGTTTATAACACTAGTAGTATACATTACACTTGTACATAGTCTATAAATCTAGAAGTATACACTACACTTGTACATAGTTTATAACAGGTGTAGTATACACTACAATTGTACATAGTTTATAACATTAGTAGTATACACTTACAGTACATAGTTTATAAATCTAGTAGTATGCACTAAACTTGTACATAGTTTATAAACTAGTACTGACCAGTAGTATGCACTAAATTTGCGCATAGTTTATAACACTAGTATACTACTATACAGTACACTTGTATATAGTTTATAACACATTTAATAACACTGGTGCTTGTGTAAAGCTAGTGGAAAATCTTTGTACTTGTGTTGTCGCAAGTAGCTAGACAACTTATAACACTATTAGTATTGATAAACATGGTAAACTAGTACAGGGTACACTGGTATACAATACATGTGTAACACTAACTGGTACACTCTGTACAAAGTCCAAGTTTCCGCTTTGTATAACTATAATATAACTATAGTTATAATTCAGACGACTAATAATAATGGTCATACTGATCAAATGTATACCTGGTTTCCATTTAAGGATACAAATTTATGCACAATAGTACATATAAACTCCCCGTGATTAGCATATTTGGCGTATGAATCTCATAATTTTCATGTGTATATGAAGTGTATATAAATCTTTATTATATGCATAGAAATCTATCAGGCATAAGCTTTCATACTATCATGAGAGACTTATTCAATGATTAAAGATCAAATATCCAACCACAACGTTGTTCTGATAAACATGTCAATTAAATTTGCGCACTTGTTGTTAGCCTACGTAACATTTGTAGCCCGAATGTTGGCGTCCGGAAGTTATTACTATATAGCGTCTGCGCGCAGGCTATCTTGTTGTTTGTCCCCTTTTGAAATAGAATCGCTTCCCATAGGCCATATGTGCAATTCAGAATGAGTCATGATTTTTTACATCGGGTAAATAATAAGCATATACGCAAAGCTATTTTTTAAGCAACGCTTGCTCTTAATATTGTCTCTAAATGATAAAATGAGAAATTGATATAATTCTGTGAAATAAAAACGAAAGATAAAATTTCCTGACTTCCTACGCAGAAAGTGAACACCAAACCATTATCAATTTAATTTCCGCAGCATTGCGCGCGCGACATATTTCACCTCAGTGTCTTATCATTTTATTAATTTTCTAAACCATATTCCATAAAAATTACCGTTTTTTAAAAAACCCTAACGTCTAGACGATTGGTCCTCGAGCATTCTACAAAATTTTATAGCTTTTAAGAGAATTCTGAATCCGTTGCTGTCCTTGAGCCTATTGCTTCAAGGGTCTAACAACCGTTTTTATCCAATTTGACAACTCTTGCAGACAGATTAGGTATCAAAGTTGAAGAAAATCAAACGTACCTCTGAAAGCAGTACACGACTTTGCCAGGAGGGATAAAAGCCTATAGCGGAAAAGACAAGTCCTCTTCGTAAAATTTTTCCTATGGTGAATATTCGATAAACACGAGAGAGAAGCACAAGTAATATAGCTAGCAATGCGTAGTTAAACGCAACGACTTATGACTGATTTAGTGAATCGCTAGGGTTAATTTATTAGTAAAATATACTTACGCAAAAACCAAAAATACGATGTGTGTCTTCATTTTTACGGACATTCAAAATAAGAGAGTTCCAGAACAAGCCACTGCGAGCATGAAACGGAAATGTAAACTGCGTATTTGGTACGATATTCAGTTGCCGTTTATATCATCAGGATATCAACTTTCAACTTAATTGTATTGTGTAAGTGAGATAAGATCTGAACTAATCGCGGAACTTATTCATCGCGGTTATTCTAGTGAAACAAGGTAGTTTAGGCCTTAGGGCTTAGGGAAGGGGAAGATTAATTGTGTTTGCATTTGTTATCATGTTATCTCATTTTTTATTGGTTTTTGCGCCTATCCCGGGATTTGAAAGCAAACGCTTTTAAAAAAATTATTGAAATGGGATATATATAAAAGGATGTTTGCTATAACCTTTCCAGCGCAGGCGAAACGCCCTTCGAAGATCTGCTGATTTGGGCGTGCAGGTTTCAAAAACCGAGGACGCTATTGTCGCTATATGAAGCGACGAACAAGTGAGAGCCTGAGGGCTAGTGACTGGTAAGGGTTGTACATGTGGAGGAGGAAGTGTTAAGTTCAGACAGCAAAATAGAAAAAGTACCTGTGCCTGCAGGGATTAAACGCCCTTTAAAAACTTTCTGCATGATGAGGAGGATATGACAACTCATGTGCTTGTATACCTTTACCATTACCTATATATAGTACTTATATATAGTGTCATGCATATGTCACGCTAGTTATAGCATCAAACTACTGGAGAACGGGTTCCAATATCCCGAATCAACTGTTTAGAATTACTCTGATTCACTCAGATCTCTAAATGGACGTCTTGCCATTTGTGAATATACGAAAATCATTAACCATATATGTCATATAAAGGCTTCCATCCAACAAATATTTACTAAACATTTGGGAAACTTTAACATGTCACTGTGGCAATAAATTTTAGTTAATCTTTTGCCTATCGAATATTACCTTACTTCTACCACAGTACTTGATAGTCGGCCAAAACGGTCAGAAGATGAAAAGGCATTGCAGAATGCAGCCATTGCTCGACCAATACGATGTCATTCACAACTCCGAAGGCCACTGGCCACTGCATGGTGATGATATAGTTGGCTTTTTGTGTCAGGGTTAGCAATGTTAGACAGGCTATAAATTTTTGACCATTCACAATGCTTTTACTCCAAAATTTCATGGGAAATCTTGATTTTAACCTTTGCTAAATTCGCCCAAACCATGGCGAGAACGGAAGTCACCCACGTGTGACGCCAAACATTATAAAAACATGAATCCGAAATGAGAATGATATCAAGGAGCTAAAGCCTGGTCCATATATGCCAATAGCATGTGTGCGTTTATAACTGTGAAGAATTTATGTAAATTCTTTTCAAAATTACCGACCACCGACATACTGTAGTCAGCTATGTGCATCGGTGGAGACAGTTTGTAGCACTTCGTGGAGGTTTACTTGATCCCGCTCGCGGAAATGATTTTGGGGTATTTAGTCACGTATATAACATGATCCTGCATAGCAGAGGTGTAGTCATCCCAGCATGGACTTCTTTCCTTTTATGAGGACCTATTTCAATACCTGAAATTTCGTTGAATCTCGGGTAACCATGCAAGATAACCGTGTAAACAGTCCTTTTGATGACCGTTATACTAGTACTGGACTGCTATGAATTTTCGGGGGGAAATTCTCGTCAAGGGTCCTAATTCCCCAGCAAGAAAATCACAGAAATAGCATAGTTTTGGCATAGGTAATTTTGTATCTCTGTAATTCGATAATACATCGTTTGCAAGGTAATTTTTCATTTTTGAAGGAGGCAATTTTTACCATTTTGAATAGAATATATTGCATAACCTACATTAACTAGAAACAACCCAAAACTTATTGTTTGATATTCCTATAATATTTTGAGGGCCCTGTCACCCTACATGGGGCCCTACTTCCAAAGCAATTTGGCCGTTTGGCGTTTTTGGTGTCCCTTCTGCGAGCGAAGGTAATTTGAGCACAAATAAACCAAAAAGTCTAAACGTCTAAAAGTGAACTCGTTTATGAAACCTTAATGACTTAAACATTTTCACTCTTCGTTCCGGAGTGACAGAAAAGTACTAAAAACACGACATGTTCAGTAGTGCTTCAGTTTCCTCTCCAAGTTTGCATAGAAATAACTACCAGCCAAGTTTAACTATACGACCTTTACGAGTCATCAACTTCTGGTAATATAATATTTCTGTTTTAGCAGGCATTAAATTTATTTCCTTCAGTTATATTACTATATACAGTAGAGCTATATCAATAATATGTTCCTCACAGCAAAATTTATTGAAATATAATACATTTTTCGTTGATATCATTGGCCATTATCAGGTTTGTTTCAATATAACCAAGTTCCAAGGAGCTACGTGGCAGCGTTTAAATGTGGTATAACCGCCTAATATACAATTAGAACTTCTCGACGTTTCGACCTTGGCCAAGGTCTTGGTCAAGAGAGTGATTATTCGTATACTTTAGGCATTTTTTCTACCACATTTGATGAGCAAAAAGTTGGCAAGATCTATGATTCTAAGGAGTTTTTATTACTCCACTTGCACTTGAGATAAAGGCCTTGAAAGAAAGTTTTCATATTTGGCGAATGAACAAGAAAATTTGACAGGTGAGTCAACTCGTGAGGAATGTCAAATGTCTGTATCCGGTAACATTTTGTAAAAGTGGATTAACTTTTCACGACCATGCAACTCATACACGCGAAAACATTAAACGAAAACAGCTGGAGTTTAAGCTGTCCAAATGGTGTGGTTAGCCTGTGCATGTCAACCTAAAGTTTACCATTTATGGCATGATACATGTCCGATTCGCCCTCAATCGCAATTGAAGACAAACAATTTCAGACTTTAATACCTGCACCATTTCTTGTGCAAAACTGCACACTTTACACTTTGCCATCAAATCTGCACAAAATGTCAAATACCGAAGAAAAAAATTTCCCTCTTGGAAAATTGAACTTAATTGGATATTTTCCCTGACAAACTTCATGCATACAGACTCGTGAGGATCCAAAATGCTGCTCACACCGTCGGTCAAGATCTTAAGCAGAGGTAATATTATAATCAGAATACGATTAGAAACGTTTGGAATGAGGAAATACTCTTGGAAGGCTCATAGTGTTTTTCGGTTTTGTTATTTAGGAAAATGTTTCCTCGGATCCCGAGTTAACGGATTTATTTTTCATGAGAATGCATGTGACTGAAAGGAGGAAGTTGTAAATGAAGAGACATAATTTAAGGGCTCGTTTAGCATCCTGATCTGCACCCTTGTGGTATGAGTTTATTAAAAATACGTAGATTTCCTGTACGAAACTTCATTTATAACGTTTCCTAATAACCGGTAATTGGTTTGCACTTTGCAGTATAGGAAATACGTAAACTTGGTAAAACCAATGAAGTGAACTTTTTGAACCCTCAGTCCAAATATTTCTTTCGCGAAGAGGCGAATTCATAATTAGGTACATGCATTTTGTTAAGAGATGTGCGACATTCCCTAATTATGCATGATGATAAGCATTCGCGTATACATTCCATTGGTCATCAAGTTCGCTTGAAAAAATGCACCTTATTTTCAATCGCGCATTTGACATAATATTTTCGTAACATTCCACGTTTTTTATTTACTAAGATTTGTTAAATACTTTTAAGTTTAAACTTTAAATATTAATGTTATTTAGGGTTGTTGTTGCAGTATAAAAAGATGGGGGGGGGGGAGGTGGTAGAGTTGGAGGACATGCCCTCAAAGACGAATACAAGAAGAGAAGTTAGTTGCCCATTAATTTTTAACATTCGTCCCCTGGATATATATGGAAAGGAGAAATTGCAGAACCTATATTAACCAAAGCAATCATGTTTGTGTGATTTCATAATGGCAGTATAATTGAGGAATTTGGTCAATTAGCGTCGCCAGAGTGGTGGACAAGGTAATTACTCTTGAGTCACTCTGAAGTCTCTGAAAATGCTAAACTGACAAAAGACTTTTACAAATTACAATAGATTGTGTTCTGTTTATTACGATCAGTTAGAAGCATGGAGTTAAGGTCCCACCGCACAAATGGAGGAACTTTCAGAAAATGTTGAGGGTGAAGGTTGATAGGTCCTCAACCAGCTTACTAAAAGAAGTTGTTTATTTCCGGCGATCTAGAAGCTTCCAATTTGGAAATATTTCTCGTTTGGCGCCATTGCGACGCCTCGTGATTGTGACCCTCCCCAAATACTAACATAAAGTTTTCCCCCCTAATGCCTTAAGATATCGCCTGTCACTAAAATTAAAATTTTACTCACTTTAAGAGGGCAGATGCAAGGTTAGAATAAAGTTTAGCATTTTTAGTTTGAATGTTCACTGTCCCCTCCTAATACAAGTTGACCGGCCTCGTACGCCTATAATTGATTGTCACTTTATCACAATTAACGACGATTTCCCCATTTCAATGTACCTGTATTGAAAGTACTATAAAACATTGTTTTATATTTCGAAGGGAAAGGCCAAAAAAGGTTACCTTTGGTGGTGTGACGTGTTCACGTTGCAGTGGTTTTCATAATCACAATTGTCGGTGTATTGATCACTACGAGAACTCAAACTGAGGAAGTTAATGAGAGGAGTATATTTTTAAACAGAATTGGAAGTTAATTACTAATCATTGAATGCCATTATATGTCTGGAAAAGCGTTGCAAATGGGTATGGGGAATTGTGACACCGGATGAATCAATATTGAGAATCATTTTATTTCTCATATATAGGATGCGATGAATATAGCCTAAAGAGCTATGTGTTGAAAGAGGCTGTAAGACTATAAAATGGGCGTTTCACACGTAGCATCATCGCAATTGGCGCGCCAATCAGGAATATGCTACTCGAGTGCGTTGCCCAGCCCTAGATTGTTCTAAATGTCCCTTAGGAAGTCGGTCCCTTGTGAATGAAAAGTCAAAAAATGCATTTGCATTTCTGAGTATCATTTGGCCAAAACGCAGATTAAATACAACGATGAACATATTAGTAATGTGTTTGGGACTCAAGAAACATATTTGCGCCTGACAGGTTCTTACAAACGATAAGCGATACAAACATGTAATCACTTTTGTACATTTTAGGTCATAGTGATCAATACTTGAATGTAGATCCACAATAAGCCGATTTCATATAATCTAAAACATGATGTTATCTCTTTCATAACCACGTGTTTTGCGATAAAGGTAATCATCAGGGTCCGGTTGTATAAAAATGTAGATAATAACCCTTAAGCTATAGTTAGTGTCTTAGTGACGGGATTAACCACCGATCACCGACAATCGCGTGTTTTAGAGTTCATTACGATTTAACTATATCCTAAAACGTAGTTAAAAGTCCTATGAAACTGTCCCCAGATGCAACCTCGTTCCCCGAGTTGTCTCTAACGAGGTTGCCACAGGTGATTGTTACAATCAAAATGTTTAAAGACAGATGTTCCAACAACATTAAGTCTTAATTCTGCTCACCATAGCTTGATTCGAGTGAATCAAGGATTATTTTATTCTTA